AGGAAATACATTTTAATAATTATAAGGAGATAAAATTATAGGTCGAAATTGATAAGGACGTCCCCTATACTAAAAGTCTTTAAATCCTCGATTATGTATAAATATATATATATAAATTCAATAAATATAATTAATTCTAAAAGGTTAAAGCTCGCTTCGTCGTTAGAGGCGATTAGTAATATAATTACAGCAAAAAATATATACTTTTACTTTCGCTAATTAATTATTTCGATCTATTATTATTTAAATTATTCTATTTAATTTCGAATTTATTTAATATAATATATTTAATACCTTTATTGATACCTATTTTAATAAAAAAATTTATATATATATACCGCTTAAGTATTATAAATATAATATTATCTTTAAATTCTTTAAAACCTTTTATAAATTATAATATATTCTTTTATTATAGTAGAAAGAATTTAATAGTACGTTTGAAAATCTTAAGTTGAAATTATTATTCGAAGACTTATATATTTTTAAATACAATAGAATTTTAATCGTCTATTACGTTGACGATATTGTATTTACTTTTAATAAATTATAATATAATAAAATCGTTCTAATTTTTAAGAGGTTAGAAGAAAAGTATAAATTTATTAAAAGTAATAATTTTTAATAGTTTTTAAGTATTAAAATTATTCGAAACTGGGAGAAAGGCCTAATTTAACTAATTTAGCAGGAATATATTTATAAAATTACTAAATTAATTAAGAATCCTTATACCTTCGCTTTTATATTAATAAATAATAAAGAACTCTTATTTTTCGATAATATAATTACTTCTAATAAAATTTAGGAATATTAGGTCGTCGTTAGCTCTATTATATACGCTACTGTTATTACCCGGTTAAATATTGTTTTCGCCGTTAATAAACTAGTTCATTACAACTATAATCCCGGTCTTTAATATTGTAAAGTTATTAAAAAAGTCTTATACTACCTAAAATTCTACCCTAACCTTTCCCTCTATTATGATAATTAGAAGAAGCTAAAAATAATTTTTAATATATTATATACTAATAATTCCCCTAATCGAAAGAACTTTCAAAATTTTACTATTAAATTATTTAAAGAAATAGTTCATTAGGGTACTACTAAATAAAAAACAATCTTAATTTTAATTACCAAAATAAAATTATTTTTTCTCTCTAACGTAATAAAGGAAACTATTATTATTATACGCTTTTATAAGGAGATTAAAATTCCCTTTAATATAAAAGTATTTGTAATTAATTATAATAATACCTAAACAATCTAGGTATTAATTATTGAAATAATTAAATTAACAACCAAATTAAAATATATCGATATCTATAATTACTAGTTAAGGTAAGAAATTTAAGTAGGGAGGATCGATGTTAAATATTTAGAGACGAAGGAAATGCTAATTAACGGATTAATTAAGGTTCTAGGATAGTAAGAATATAAGAAATTCTGGGAATTAATAGGGATAGTAAATACGCTAGCCTGTAAGGAGAAGGAGAAAGAGATTAGTAATAATATATTGGAGGATATTTATAGTTTGGCTAGGGAAATCGAAGTATTAGAAGAGAAATTCTATAAATAGCTTTACTTTTACCCGTTTTAAAAAGTCTATAAGTAAGGAGGTATATCAGATTCAAGGGTAGGGATTCTAGCTAACTCGTTAAGGGTTAGACTCCCAACCACTTAATTAGGCCTAATTTATGGGCATATCTAGGTTACCCCAACACCTCCTATACCTTCTAGAGCGCTCGCTCGAGTCAGCTACACACACTCTTTAATCAATCAAATCTGCACCGTCTAATCTGATAGAAAGGGTATTGCATCACTTTCTCGATCTATATATGTACCCCAACACAGGCGTCGCGTTACGGCTTCGGCCCCTGGCTGTTAAAGGCGAGCTAAGGATAAAATCGGGGGACTAGGCGGGGTATCAAGGACGGGTTTTCGTGACAGTGTAAGTGGAAGGCCGTGCGATGTCATGTTCCCCAACATGTCGACAATTGCGCAATCTTGGACTAACACACAATTGGCTTCACTTTCCCCTTCATTTTCCATCATCGAGCTGTCGGCTTCTGTGCGATACAGTACCAAAACTCAACGAGAAAACGCCGAAATTACCTCACCAGGGAGACCAGGGTAATAGAGCTAGAAGCCTCTCGCCGCTGGCCATGCACCTTCCTCCCTAGGGCGGCATCCCGAACGGCCGGAGCTAACAAGGCCATAGGGAAAGCTATGATGCACGGTCTAATCCGTCCGGGGACAGGATAAGCTTGCTCCAAAACCTCAAGTCGAGATTGCAAAAGTGGACAAACAACGTTGGGAATAACTTCATATTTCACACCTCCAGAAGTCGGCCTCGAAAGACAAGCCTTTGACGATGGGGCTCTCCGCATGCGGTCCGGCATGCCAAGCTTTCTAGGGCTTAACCATCCCGTCGATGCGCTAAACAAATAGTCCAGCAAAGACTGTGGCTTTCGGATAAAGCCGAGAAGAGCGAGGCTGTCTGGCAGAGGTCACCGAAACGAGAAGGGAGCAGCTGTTGATCCCGAAGCCCACGATAAAATTGGATATGAACACGGTTCAGCTTGTCAGGACTCGTCAAGCTACCCGTGTTAGTTCCTGTCAGAAACCGGGTTGGGCTGCATCATCAAACAGGGTCCAGGCCCCGAGCGAGAAAGCTTCTCTCCAATAAGGTGTGGCGAATTGGAAAAGGGGGTCGTAACGACACCGTCGCCAGTACCTGTGGTTTGTGAATAACCTCACTTTCTGGCCAGTGCCTGATCCCGGTATCTGCATACCTGGCTCACTCGCCTGGATCGGTACCTCAGGCTCACGTACCCTCACCCTGACCGACGACCTGAACCGCCGACATCACCACCCTCTCACCCGCCGTCCCGGGTCGATGAACGGACGTAATCGAAGGTATCCGGACGCAGTGGATGACACAATGGAGAGTCAAGGTCGATCATCAGAGGGACCATGGAATTCTCGAATGGAAAAAAAAAACTTGCCGGAGTCGGTTTCTGAACCCTTCTGCGTGCGAAATATTGATTCACATGCGCCGGACCCCATACGTAGTCTCATATGTCATTACCTGAACTGTCCCGGTATCGCCAGTCGCATCCCACGCAACACCGAGACGACTGTTGACGTCCGTCCCAGCCAAGACCCTGTCAACCATCAACACCTTCCCCTGTTCACCTTTCAGCCTTGTCATCATCCGCATCCTTCCGTATCCTCCTCAGAACGGAAACAGCCAACCACCTCTTCCGGCCCGTAATGTCCAGATCCTCCGCCCCGCGATCCCACGCCCACTCCCGGTCATTCCCATCGCAGTCCCTTTCCCACAGCCTCTCCACCTCGAGCCCGACCTCCCTCAGCTTCTCCGCGTCAAAGAATCCCCGCATCTTCTCCCGGCCGGTGTGATAGCCGCCCACGACCCACGCCCGGGCCCCCGGGTCGTCTTCGCTCAGGAACCACGCGATCGACCGCCGCAGGTTCTCGTGCTGCCACGGCATCCACAGGCAGTCGGCGCACAGGACGCGGTCGAACGCGCCCTTGTTCTCCAGCGCCAGCGGCGTCTCCAGCTCGCCCCACCCGTGTCCCTCGACCGCGACCCCAACCTCGACGCCCCCCCTTGCACCACCTTCCCGATGGTCCTTCAAATTCAACTCCACGTTCTTCCTCAAATTCTCAATCACCACCGGCGCCGGGTAATCCGTCACCAGCACCCTCTTGGCGCCCAGCAGCGCAGCCATGAGGCTCGGCAGTCCTGTTCCAGCGCCCATCTCGATCGCCGATCGGCCGCGAATGTCAAAGTCCGCCAGCTCCGGGACGGATACTTTCTTCCCTACATCAACCGTCCCCGCGCCGGCGCCGGTCGTGTCACCCCCCGGCGTGAGACCCAGCGTGCCGGCCTCGATCAGGTCTGCCAGCAGCAGCGAGGCGTTCCAGAGGAAGTGGCTAAACAGCGAGCGGTCTTCGGCGATTTTGGGGTCGGATAGCTCGATCCGCAGCGGCTTGGACAGGTGCGGGGAGGTGTAATGAAGGGCGGTGGAGGCGTCGCCGTGCTGGTTGGTCACGTCGTCGGTGAAGATGACGCCGAGGGAGCCGGCGAAGAGGTCTTCTGGGTCGCCTGAGGGCTCGTTCTCGGTGGTGTTGATGAAGGAGAGGCGGGCTGTTAGGGCCATTTTGGGTTGGTTTGGTTTTTGGATAGGTTGGGATGGGTTGGATGTTTGGGTTTGACTTTTTGATCAGCGAGTGATGATCCGTTTGGGTAAGGTAGGTAACCTAAATAGATGGGTGTTGTTTGTTGGTGGGAGGTAAGTTTCGTGTGTTGTGAATGTGGTGAGAGGAGGTCGAAGGTGAGTTGACTGAGTGATGCGGTTTTGATGCAAAGTGATGATCAGACGTCTGTCCCTTGCAGAAGATTCGTTCTGAGGTTCTGATCGCAAACAGGGGAGAGATGAAGATCCTCTGATCCTCACAGGTTACCGGTAGGTTGGCAGGATATGTGAAGATCTTGACTGGAGAAGGCCGTCTGGTCTGTGTGGTCTCAAAATTTTGATTCGCCTGCACGATACGGGGGTGCTTGCTATCCTGTTCAGCTTGCCGTTGCCGCTGCTAAACTTCTATAACGAGACGATATCCTGAATGTCCTCTGATATATCAACTGAAACCGACGAAGGAACCGATCACAGTGGGTGTTTCTCGCGACTTTTGGCGGGACAGAGCTCGAAACAAACTTTGGTGGGCCTAGACTGAGGTAGGGCTAGGAGTTTAGGGTAGTGACTAATCATTTAGTGGCAGGCTTTTCTATGTTCTCCACAAGACAGTTGTTGATCAACAATCCCATGAAGACACTCTGAATAATGTGCTTCCTGGGTTGAAAGAAAGTTTCAAGAAATCGGGCTGTGGTAGACGTCTACTAACACAATGTCTGTAAACACCCGATCAAAGGTGTTCATGGTAACTGAGGTTGGAAAGGAAGTAAGAGTAAACTCAAAATTCTATTCAACTAAGCAGTAATGAAACAGGTATCGTAGCGTCATTCATCCAACAAGCAAACTAGACCTCAGCAGCCCCAGGTAAACCAAACACGCCTTCAACTTTTCTTCAGCTCTTCTCATCATTTCTTCAACTTTTAAAACTCCAACTCTGTCCGCCGCTCGTACGACGACCTCACAAATCCAGTATCATTCAAACATTCCCACCAGCACCAGCACCAGTACCAGCAAAAGCACCTTTAAACCCACCCCCAACCCACCCAGCAGCCCTCACCACCATCGTCACTGGCAAGAACGTCCACCCCAGCATACTCCTCATACTTCCCACGCCCCAGACCGCGCCAATGACACCCAGCACAAAGACAAACTTCCACATGAACCTCACCGGCCCGATAGCCAGCAGCGACAATTCCTTGCTCTTCTCCTTCAACTTTTCTTTGCCGCGCTTCAGCTTCTCTTCAGCGTGATCCATTTTGACCTTGAGTTTGTCTTGACCATGGGCGAGCTTGTTCTTCATTTTGGCTTTTAGACTTAGGGCTGATGAGCTTGATCCGGATGGGGAAGTAGAGGTAGAGGCGGAGGCAGCTTCGGTGATGGATTCAGTGACTACCACTTCGCTGCTGGCACCTCCACCACCACCAGCATCAGTACCTTCGGTTTTCTTCTCTACCTTGGTGATATGAGAAGAGAACCAGGACTTGATTTTATGTCGTGAAGATGAGGATGAGGAGGATCTTTTCAAGGACGGCCTGTCACCACTACTAACGTCTTCCGTCATCGATCCGCCGGTTCCAGATCTAGATCTGGTGGACTCTTCTTCACTACTAGCAGCAGCAGCGGTAAAGGGTTGCTGTCGACCATTACTGCTTCTGCTGCTGTTGGTTTCCACCCTTTCCATCATCGCAGTGTCCGTAATTGTGACATATATAGTCCCAGGTTCCCCAGGGCCCGCCGCTACTGTCTCCGTCCTTTGCTGCTGCTCTTGCGATTGCTTCTTCTGCTTGTCAGAATCAGAAGAATCATCAGCATCAGATCCGTCGACGTCAATGATGTGGATAGGTACAGTAGGAAGAGAAGGTGCATCCCCACCAGCAGCTGGGTTGTGGTCCGATGTTGGAGACACCTTTTCGGTAGATGATTTTCGTCGACGTTCTGCCTCCTCCTCCTGGTCCTGACTCTCAGAGTCCTTTGGCTCGGCTTTCTTGCTGCTGCCGCCCGTGGAAGGCTTTTTGAACCTGACGGTCTTGCTTCGGATGAGAAGGGAAGACATTTCTGATGACGACGACGGCTGCGCACCGGCTACTGTGCCTTGCGCATTCATGCTGCTGGTGAACGGGTCGACCAGGCTTCCGGGGCCCGAGGGGGACGACGGTTCCGATGTACGACGGGTGGTGGCCAGCTTGCTCTCGGGTTTCTCTGGCAAAATAGGACTTTCTGGATTCTCGTCAATGGAGGTGGATTCAGAATGGCTGTGGGAACTGAGGTGAGCAGTCCGGAGACCGCGTTCTCTTGATACAGCGATGCTGTCGCGCAGTCGACCGCCTTGCTCCATGGGCCGGAGCAAAGAAGCTACCAGGTATGGAGACGGCACGTCTGATCTGTCGCCGCGTTCGTCAAGTGGCTCATCGATAGAGACAGACCGAGAACGACGATGGTTTCTCATGCCGGGGGCCGTTCGGACACCCCGTTCCTTCGAGAGCATGATGCTGTCGCGTATCCGACCACCTTGTTCCAATGGCTTGAAGGACGAAGGTCCCGGTGAGGGTGAAGGTGAATCAGCATCAGCATCAGTTCTCGTCACGTTGATGTCCAGAACGCTGTCATCTCTGGTGCCCTCCAAGAAGACATGATCCAGCTGCGAGACAAGTGCGAGCATGTTCTCAAAAACATGAACAGCTTCGTGCACAATCCTCGCCCGCTCCGAAGTCGTGAGTAAATCTTCCGCCTCCACCAGGCGTCTCTTAAACTCGCGCTTCAGATCTTCTCCGTCTTGGTTGGTGCTGAAGTGGAAGAACCGGAGGCGCTCACTCATCGGTGCTGTCGCATGGGACTTGTCCGGATATGCGCATGCTTTGTTGAGAGGCATGATGGGATCACACTTTGTCTTCCAGAACTCCGGACCCGCCTTTTCCAACGAGCTTCTGAGGATGCGGCCCCCGGAGAAGAGAGCCATGTAAAGGACCCATGCGTAGGCGAGTAAAACATGTGGACTCTCGCCCACAGATTGTTTGATATGGGTGATGAACTTCTTGAGGTTCCCGTTTTGAGCCGCGACCTCAATCTGCTCATCCACCACGTCCTTGGACCAGCCTGTCAGGCAGCGTATGTCGGCCCGTAGGCAGTCGGCTCGCATGAGCCCTGGAAGACGGAGGCTTTCGAGGATCGAAAATATGCGTTCAGAGGTGCCGGGGCGTTGAGATAGGCCCGCATCGCCGCCATCGTGGAATGGGACACGGTGTGAGGTCTTCGGGTCAAGGAGGAATCGGTCTTTTTCCTGCGGTGGTTGCGGAGAAGGCGGTCTGTTTTGATATGGGGACGGATTCCTGAAGTCTTTCGTCTGCTCCTTATGGGAAAGAAGAATCATGTACCATAACGTCTCGAAGGTGATGTACACCGGAGCCACGTGGAGCAGACCGGATACGTAGGTTGAGGGGGTGTTCGCAGCCGGAGGTAGAGCCAGAGGTAGACGGCGGATGATCTGACTGTTAAGCTGGGTATGCACCGATCTTGTGGCCGCGTTGATCTGGTCTCCGAGATGGGAATACTGGGGAGCGGGACTTGAGCGTTCCATGGTCGTATCTGTAGCCGGACACTCGTCGGTGTATTTGATATCTCAGGTGACAATCTGATAAGAGGTTCGGTTCGGTTGTTGATGCTGGAAAGCGCGCGATATTGGAGTAGCAGCCTTGAGGGTATTACTGAGGGGGTACAGACATGCTTATGGGGAGAACAAGAGACACGATACACAGGCTGAGACCGTGGTCTGGAAGTAGGACAGGACGGCCCTCCGATCGGATGGATAAGGATGCTATAAGGATGTATAGATGTTGCAGTTCCGTGAGTGAGATAGGTACCAAAAGAATGGGGGATGATTCTAGGTACTACTGATCATGTCGTAGTATTTTTCTTTGGATGGATCATAAAAGTGACACGGAGGCGACAGAACTGCAACTCATTCTCCCGAGGAAAGGGGCCAGTCAGGTAGTAGGTAGGAAAGAGCAATGACGACCGCATCTTGACCCGATCTAATGAAACCTCTGGCTGTAATGACTTGGGGCAATGACTCCGGCAAACTGTTGGTTCAGACTATGGAAGTGTCAAGACCTCTCGGACCATGATGGCGAAAGAGAAAGGGAAGGAGAGATGGGTCCATGCTAGTATCGATGAACTGCGCCTCAAGACTGGCATGTACGCCACCCCAACATCCACAGCCCCAGTGGCTCGTTTGTTACCGAAGTTCTCAAAGTTCTGTCATGTTTCCTCTAAAAAGGGGTCCATAGCCTAGTGTATCTCCTCGGAGGGCTTCTCGGCTTGACCGATGGGCGATACATGTTCTCCCAGCAGTCGACGGTCAAATCACACCATGCCTCCCTTCATGGGTGACAACCCAACACAATGCGCCTTGTTAATGGGACAAGAACCAGGCAAATACTATATTTATCATTATGTCGAGGTTCGTGAATATAGACAACTGAATATGTATACGACACCGTTGGGTTGTGTCCCGCTCTCTCAAGAGCTTGTATACTGGTAGAATGGAAAGAGAAATAGCCAGGATGCCATGCCCAAAAGTAAGAACGCCCGCATCTCTATATGCAATATCCCATAGATGCCACGCTCTCCACAAAAAGTCACCCAAGAAATCTTCGACCTATTAGACAGCGATAGCTGCGTCGGAAGTACTTGATACTCCCACAACGACCCTCAGCTCAGCTGTTGTCTGTTGCTCCTTATCGTTCGCATTGGCTTCCCCATTACCATCACCTTCCTCGTGGCTCTCGTTGTTTACAAACACGAAGGAGAAGACCACGATACCAGCTCCGACCCAATAAATCCAGCTGGAGTATTGGTGGTATTGGATCATCTCGCCAATAAGTGACAGCGGTATCGTAAGTGACAGTCCGACGGTAACGACTAGCGGCGTGGTGAGGAGCATGGCGTATGCCCATATGATATCGCTGAAGAAGGAAGAGATGGTGTTAATCTGTTTGGATTTGGTTAGTGTAATTTCTACATCAAACGTCATCGTACTGTGCCTCAGCTTACCCAGATGATGGCCCAAGTTGTGCCGTTTGGTGGTAATTCGAACTAGGAGAAGCAGATGTTAGCAAAGGTATGTCCACACCACGCACAGCTCGACAACTCTCCCAGAACATCCCTAATCGCACGATGGGGACAGCTTACAGTCTCGATCCCTGTGACATGCAGGATAATAAATAGTGGCCAAAGAAATAGCATATTAAGTACCCCCACAATCCCAAAGAACAGCGTCATGTTCATCCGATCCTCATCAACGGCCCTCTTCTTCATAACCGTCACATAAACGCCATACACAATGGCACTAAAGAAGGCCATGGCATCGCCAATTGCAATCTCCGTCCTCGACTTCTCCGGGAAGTCTCCTCGCATCTCATCACTCGCGCCGCTCATGTCCAGCGACGAGATGAGCACCACGCCGGCCAGCGACGCCAGCACTCCCAGAAGCTTCCGCACCGTAAAACCCTCCACGCCGGCCAGCGCGCAGAAGATCAAAGTCCAGATACTACTCGTCGATGTCAAGATGGTCACGCTGCCGACACTGGTGTACTCGAGACATGCCGACGCAAAGTAGTTGGCGGCAAACCAGAGCATGCTGAACTCGAGACTGAGCCAGAAGGTCTCGGCCAGGCTGAGCTGCTCAGACTTGTTCGTTTCGACGCTGCCTGTGTCGTCGACCAGAAGGCTCTCGCCCGCCATCGCCTCTTCGTCGTCGACCGTGGCGACCTTTTGGTACGACCTGCCCTGCCGTATTTCGTACCAGGCCTCTATCAGTTGTCGCTTCGATGCCGGCCACCCATACTGCATAATGTGTCGGATTCCCATGGGTATTAGGGCGAGGGCGAACATAGAGATGTTGACGTAGAGGAGGAAGAAGGGCTTGTTATAGGAGCCATCGGCGAACATGACCTGTGAATCATAGACCGACAATTGGCTGTCAGCGTGTGCTCGCACAAGAGAAGAGGGTAGAGGTACGGATAGGGGTTTGCGCAACTTACACTGGCAAGGAAGTTGGATACCGTCCACAAGAATACCACAACCAGGAGCAATATGATTCCCAGCGTCCGTCGTCCCATGTTTGTGACCCATAAGGGCATCTTGGAGCGAAAGCTCCCCTTACTCGCTGTTGTCGACACGGAGAGCGAGCGGGATGATCGCCCTCGCGCAACGAGTTCGACACTTGCTGTTGACGGGGAGTGCGAGTTGCGGTCTACAGCATTGTATGAATCGGCATCGTCGTCGTCTTCGGGCTCGTAGCTGCGGCGGTGATGGTAGTTTCCGTTTGAGGGCGGCACTAGTTCGGCAGCCGCCGGCGACACTGACCGGGCAGCAGAGACCATTTTCTGGGAATCGCGAAATGGCCGAAAGAAGCTTGAAACACAGCAGGAGTCTCCTGGACAGCCCTGGGGAGTTAAGACAAGCTCGAACCAGAAAACAGAACGCCGAGAGGTTGCAAGATGAGGATTGACAGGGTCCCGAAGCAGAAAGAGAGAAGAGTCGGGAGATGCGAAACGGACGCAGGGGACCTTATCGGTATCATTGGCTGCTGGGCTAATAGGTGACGCGGCGTCAGTGGTAGAGAGCTGAATGAGGAACTACAGCAAAGACAATTAGTTACCGGGCTGTTAAGGGTCAGGAAGACAACCTACCAATATTATATCGTCAACGCTAACAGAGAGGCTAGACCAGCTGCTTCAGAGTTCAGAGCGCAGAACGACGAAACGGGTCATCCCGAGATATTGGACTGGAAACAGGATGAAAAGGAGTAAGAGGGGCATATTTACATTTCGTTCCCCTTTGGACGGGAGCCCTTCTCCCCTTGTGCTTGTAGCCACGACGCTCCAAGCCGACACCGCCTATAACTACTGTATACCGATCCCGGTAGGGGTCCATAAGGTGGGTTTGTCGCTGCTTCTCACTCCGGGGAAGTGGAATCTCAAAATCTCAAAGTCGAGTAGAGTTGCGGAGGCGCCATGGGAGTCCCTATGATACCGTCCAGCCCCTGACCCAGTTTCCGCTATTCTCAGTCAACAAAAAGTCGGCGGGCCGTTGAGGTGTCCGTCGCTTTTTCTACCACTCATGTTCGACCACTGAAGCATCGCGCCATTGCGCTACTGTCGCCAAAGGCTTTGTCATTGGTCCATTGATGAGAATTTTCATTCAGGCGAAGAAAACAGAAGATGGGATGTGAAGAGGTGAAGTTGAAGAGCCAAGTGTTGTCGTTGCAAGTTGCGAAGAAAAGGTGATGCATCTGTAGGTGAGTGTGACATTTCCAGTTGCTGCCGAGACGCATATCGTGCAAGCGTGCATCGCTTATCGGAACACTGATAACGGGCATAAAGAAGCTGCGTGGCATCGCTGCTATGTAATCTACAGCTCTGTTTGGCCCAGAGTATTGACTTTGGATCATCTGTTACCCAGTGTTGATGGCAGGGTGAAGAGCGCACGAGGTCCACCTTCAAAGCGGGACTCTTGATTACCAGATATGATCTTATCGTCAGCTATAAACTACCTCTAGAGGCTTGGAGAGGGACGGCAGTCAAGATATTATTAACCTCTCGTACCAGCACCATGGCCATGTCCATTGTCCATGCTCCCATCTACACCAATGCATATCCATCATTGCTCCCCATCAGTCACAATCACTCTTGCGCAACCCTCTTGTTCCAAACTCACTGGTCATTAGCATTCCGTCTCTTCAGACCAACATCAAAACCGCATTCCTGTCATACCCAGCGTGATATCATACAAATGAAGACATGAAAAACCAAACTCCCTCATAAACCCAAAAAGGAGGACTTGAAACTGGTTAGAGCTCATCCGCCTCAGCATGCGCATCCATCGCGGTCGTTCTCAATGTGGATGTTGATGGGATCCTGGAAGTCTCCGCTGAATTCCTCCGATTCTTCTTGCATGAGCGCATTTCTGGCGATCACCTCAAAGGCCTGCTCGACGTTGATGGCCTCCTTTGCACTGGTCTCGAAATACGGAATGTTGCCTTTGGATTGACAAAAGGTCATAGCCCTCTTGGTCGAAATCTGTGCCAAAATGTCAGTAAACAATGGAGCGCCAACATAAGGCCCAGAAAGCAAAGACATACCACCCTCTTGCTCTCTTCCATATCGATCTTGTTACCCAGCACGACGAACGGGAAGTTATCCGGGTCTCGCGGAGATGCTTGGATAAGGAACTCGTCTCTCCAGCTGTCGAGCGCATCGAAGCTCTTGGAGTTGTTGACATCGTATACTAGCACGCAGCAGTCGGCACCACGGTAGAAGGCAACGCCCAGCGATTGGAACCTCTCTTGTCCGGCCGTGTCCCAAAGCTGTCCGACGAGAATCATGCGTATTAGCAAGTCGTCCAAACTGGTTAGACCAGGATATTTGCCGCACACACCTGCATGGTCACTTGGCGGTCGTCCACCAGAACCTCCCGCGTCAAGAAATCGGCTCCGATGGTGGCCTTGTAGCTGGCACTGAACTTCTTGTTGACCTGTTTTGCGCCAAAGAGCGGGGGTCAGATAACGTCCTCTATGTGTGTGTATCATGATGCATGGCAATAACAGGCTCGAGGATGGCGTACATATTGGTTCATCAAACTGGTCTTGCCGACACCGCTGTCGCCCAAGATAATAACCTGCCATTGGGAGTCATTGTTAGCTGTTGCTGTCTAGATGATCCGATTTCGCGGCCGACACTCACCTTGAGAAGGACCTTCTTCCTCGAAGACATGACGGGCGGTATGGATTAGGTAACGTCGTTCGATAAGGCGGCTGTTGCTGGGGTTTCGGGGCAATCGTCGAGAATAACAGTCCACCGGTGATGATAATCGAGAAAGACGGGAGTCGTAAGAGTGAGGAGGACGACGGGCGCAACAAATGTTGGGTCAGTAGGTCGTGGCAGGCTGCTAGATTCGGCAGTCTAAACAAGGCCAAGCGGCTGGTTTCGATAAGTGAACGTGACCGACGTTTTGTTGAACTGGGGGCTGACCACTGAATGCTGCGCTGTTGGAGGAGCGACGGCTGCGACACAACCAGTGACGGAGGTGGTCGCAGCGCTAACACGCCCTCGACGCACTTTTGGCGCGCCGTCGGGCAGGCACGCACCACTGGTCCAGTCTCGCCAGTGCACAGAGGGGCTGCCGCTGCTTCCTGGAGCCAATGAAGTCACCCGACGACGCCCAAAGTCGGCCTGGTCCGAGCTGAAACACATTCAGTGCCTTGAACCCGCGGCCCACCATACCCAACGCCAAGGATTGAATGGATGGAACTCCGTTGATCATTCATCTCCATCATCCCCCCGTCATCCTCCCCGGCCGTTTCTCAAAGAAACAGTCCCAGGGGCAGAAGGGATCGACGCATTGCGACCGACTCACATTTCTTCCATTCAGTTTTGTCACACTCTTGATGTACTTGTACGCTTCACAGGAATAACTACAATTACAGACAAACTCTTAACATCCTGCCGATTACGCGACTTTGGAAACCGACGGGCCATCTCTCCATCTCCATCACCCAAGAATGGCCCAGTCCCGGTGATCTTCTTGCTCTTCTTACACTCCCTTCTAGACTTACCTAGTCCTGCCCATGGACATAATCCTCATGCTTCGACATGAAAACGGCACCGGAAATGGAGGATGATAACAAGGAGCGACAACAAGCCGAACTTTTGGACAAAATACACAGCCTCAGCGACCTCGAGCTCGCCGTCCTCCTCTCCCTCATCGCACGGGAGCACTGTTTGATCAGCACCGAACCCGACTTTGTCGAGGACCTATCGAAAGAGCTATGTCTGACCGCCGTCAAGACCTTTGGCCTTACGCCCGTCATCGTCCCATGCCACTCGCAGATGACGCTCGATGAGTTCGCAGCAGCACTCTTGGTCCCCGTCACTCCACCAAGCTCACCACAGCCCAACAACAACAACGCCAACCCTCAACACTACCACTCCCACCGCTCTGTACCTTCCGGCTCTGGGTCATACTTCTCCTCGAAACACAATAATGTCCCAGGCTCATCTTCCTCCGCCCACCCGCCCCCACAACAACAACAACAACCACCAGCAACGCAAATAGCCAACGTGGTGCTCGCCCAAAACCTCGACCACGCCCCGCGCGCCGTGCAGATCCAAGCCCTCGATCTCCTGCGCACGCGCCGCCTCTTCACTCGAACAAGTGTCCAGACCGCTCCGAAGCAGTTTCTCTTCGTGGCCGTCGTCGGCGCAGAAAGCGGCGGACAGGCACGCGTCACTCACCATATGAACGATTTCCTCTACCTCGCGCACTGGCACGATCCAGAAGATGGTTTCACCTACCTTGAAGAACAAGCGGAAGAAGGATGGGCCACCGGTGTTGGGTTCGGCAGCAGCCGTATGGGAATAATGGGAGTGGGGAATAACAACGACAACAACGATGACAGCCACGGCGACGACAGCCCCTATACCAAGGCCGATGATGACCGAGCCTCGATCGACTCTGGAAGCAGCGTCGTCAAGAGGGGCGTGGGGAGCATGGCCAACAGCGGATTAATCCACGAATCTTACCACTCTGCCCTCAGCGGTCCCGGTCGTTTAGGAGCGTTGGGAGCGCCCGTGTCCCTCTCTCCCCAACTCACCTTCCACAGCAACGAGCTCACAGCCGTCGGGGGACCACAACCACCCCTCCTCTCCGACTCCGAAATCGCCCACCTCGCCCACCTCTCTCTCAGTGTATGCGTGGACATCGACGTCCGCCGCTACCAGATGAACATCGTCGCCTTCTTGCGCATTCACCGGGCCGTTAGCGGCGGCGTCACGCCCCAAGCCACCAAACATTTCGAGCAGCTGATGAGGAGCCTGGCGCCGCTGCACGGGCTGGATTTCGTCACGCCGGCGCTGGTCGGGTTAGCTGCTAAGAAGGTCTACCTGCACCGCATCGAGATTGTGACCCAGCCCGAGCGGGAGAGGAGCATGCAGTGGGGCAGCGAGCTGGCGGCGGTTGAGGCCATGTTGGATGGGGTCGGGCCGGAGGAGGTGATTGAGGATGTGCTGGGGATGGTTGCTGTTCCCCAGTAGGATTAGGGGAGGTGGTGGGAGAGTGAATGATAATGGAGGCGGGTTATGAGGAGGAAGAGAAGGGAGGGGGTAATGTTTAATCGTAATGGAAGAAGAGAGTGCGAATTGGGAGCGGAAAAATAATGAATTTTGGATGGTAGCAATAGACAGAGGGTGCAGACAAAATTACATGTAAATTAAAACAAAGCTACAAGCTACCTTGACCACCTACCATTCCATAAGGTGGCGGCAGATAGCTCTTAATCTATGATTTTTATCCCAAAAGTCATCCCGTCCCAACTCTCATTATGTTGGTTTAGTTGGTTATCTTTCTTTCATCCGTTGTTGGCGTTTCCCATTTTCTGTCATCCGATCCCTGCGTTGTCCCAACCCGTGATCGTTCGTCGAATGCACCCCTCGCTGGGTATGTAGGTAAAACGCCGATTTATGAAGCACGTATTACTGGTCATCTGCCCGTCCATAGAGCAGTACAATAGTAGTGGGAGAGTCCAACGATCCCACTTCAGGTCTCTGAAGTTGTAGAGGAAAATACATGTTCATCGTCAGGCCAGAAGCTTCTTCAAGCTAATTGGCGATTTAGTGGATCTCCTTGATCTTGCACTTCCAGCCTGAGGACTGAGAAAGCAATGGCAAGCTGTAGCAAGAAAAGACATGTTAGCAACAGTAAACAGAAGGAACAGCCAGCAGTGTGTATAACTTACCTAGCACCAAGGCACCAGCCAAGCTCGTTATCCTTGATCTTCTTCGCAATCCTGACCTCGCGATCAATCGGCATCTCGTAACCCGTGTGCGTAAGCGCAAGCATGAAGTTGAGATCCATGCAGTGCTCGGGTCTATCGCCGATCTCCTCCAGCGCACCAGGAACGCTGGTGAACACGTCCCAGCTCTGCTCGCCGCCGCACACCTGGGCGGCCAGGTCGTGCATCTCGCGCAGGGTGAAGGACTCGGGCATGCCGAGCGGCTGGGTGCGGTCGGTGAAGTAGGACAGCAAAAAGATGTCCTCGCGGGCGAAGGTCTTGGCGATCTGCGGCTGGTGGACGCCGTTGAAGGAGCAGGGCGCGAGCTTGCACTCGGCGTCCTTCTTGAGGATGCGCTCGGCCAGGCTGCGGCACAGGGCGGGGGCCGGGGTCGAGGGGCCCGTCATGTTGAGCTCGACCTTGGCACCGAGCGGGTGGTTGTCGCCGAGGGGAACCTTGACGGCCTTGGTCATGCCGGTCGAGAAGCACGGGTTGATGACGGGCTTCTGCATCCACGACTTGTCCTGCTTGTTAAGCTCGAAGAGGTCGTTGACCAGGGTCGCGAAGATGGCGTCGCGCGCCGACATGAGGCCGTAGCCCAGATGCGAGTGCTGGTACAGGTCGAACTTGCGGCCGCCAAAGTCGAGCTCGTACTTGTGGTCGCCGTCGGCCAGCTTCTGGGGCATGCCGCCGCCGGCGAGGCCCTCAAAGGTGGGCTCGAACACGATCTGGGTGGAACCGCCGCCGAGATCAAAGACGGCAGCGGTAGGGCTGTGGTCGGGACCGCCAATCTTGCCGAGGAGGTAGTTGACCGTGATCCAGGCGTAGACACCCTCGTCGGCACCGTCCATCATGGCGACGCCGTTCTCCTCCTTGGAAACCACGGGGAAGGGGTAGTCGTTCTCGAGGTGCTCGCGGACCGCATCGAGGATCTTCTGGCTTTTCTCGGGGCCAATCAGGCGCAAACCGGCGGTGGCCTTGACGGCGACGGGACTGCAGGCCTTGAGCTTGTCGGGGATGACCTCGAGGGCAGCCTGCATCAGGGGGTCCAGACTCTTGGCGGCGGCCAGAGGATCGTCCTTATACGCGCTCAGTCCGCTGCTCTGGCCCTCGATCTTGGCGGTCATCTTGAAGAGAACCTCTCCCTCCAGCTCGGGGGCGGGGCCGCAGTTGTTGAACTTGTAGACATGGATACGGGAACCAGTGCTGCCAGCGTCGATCATGGAAACATATTGCACGATGGGCTTCTCCTTGGAGAAGGATCTTGTGCATCGGTCGGTGCCATAGGACGAGTCGGAGGGTACTTGGCCCTGGTTGCCTTGAGAGGAGCCTGGTAGAGACAGGTTGTAAGCATTCGGACTCCCGTCGTGGAGACAAATTTCTTCAAGATGCTTTGCTTACCTCCAGCGGGGATCTCGACGCCTGATGGGGTGAAGAGGTAGAAGAGGAAGAGGACGGCAAAGACGATTGCGCCCGTCTTCAGGTAGCGCGCCTTCTGCGACTGCGACATCCAAGCGTTCTGCATCCTGATGAAGACGCTGGCCGGTTCCTGATTGTGCTGGTCGCGGCGGTAGCGGTCGGGCTTCTCGTGGGGATCGTGAGCTACGTGCTTGGTCGGCAAGGAGACCGACGTGCGCCTCATGGGGAAAGGGACCGAGCCACTTTATGAATGCCTGGTACCTGGGGGTAGTGGAGGGACAAGTGTTGGGGTCGATGCGTCCAACCTAGCGAGGAACCGAACGCGGAGATTCGAGGAGGTGAGGACCTAGCGGGATCTCCAACTGTGGGTGGACCTGGTCGAGGCACTTCGATAGCGATAAACCAGGTTATGCGCCAAGAAATATAAAGAGGTCAACGAGAGACTAGAATGGGCCAAAGGCAAGGGTTGTGAATGAATTAGAAATCGCAAAAGTTTATATGGTTTTGTTTGTCGACATTGAAGACTCAGGTCAAGATGGGAATTCTTGAATCAGATAGGGGTTAAGGGGCGGCAGTAGTGGTGGGTTTGGGTTTGAAAGATTTCAGCACTTCTTGGTTGAGGCTGCAGGTGTGGGAGATTTGGCTTGTTGGATCTTTCCGCTTTCTGGCAGTACATTACATAAAAAAGTACGCTCATCTTCCCGACAGTCTTGACACTTCTCATGCAGTGGTGATGCTGCGGATGCCAGGTGCCCCCTGGACAGCGAGGGTCTGGATGTGGCGTCGCGCCAGCCGGTTCGGGCTGTAGCGCGGGACCTGGACGAACCCCTGCTTGGTAGCCAATAGGGTTCTCGAAGGGCCATATAGGGGCCAGCAGTGGAATTTGTTAGTGATGGAATACATAACGGGTTCCGACGAGAGTCGAGACTCTTCACCTTGTTGTCACCTTGCTGGATTAGAGGTATCGTGATGAATGTGAATATTCGATCACAGATTCTTCAAGGCGGTCACAGATTTGGTGCCTTTTCAAAATGAGCTGCTGATAACAGAGACATGAGTTTTGGTGACGATTACCAAGTGCTGTCTTTGACGTGGCCCAGGCAACTCCAGCAGTGCGTCCTCGCCCCACGGCATAACCCAGACAGAATAAGCAAGTACCAGGTACCTTTCCGCTTCTTTCGTCTTCCAGAATGATGATTCCACGACTTCGTAACCACTGTTGCCTCTTGGCGAGATATAAACACTTACACACCGATAACCTCCTCTTTCCTTATTTTCCTCGTCCATTTACAAACTTTGTCGGCACTTCTCAGCACTCACGTCGAGTCTTTGTCGTTCTTTCCTCAAGATACCCCTACGTGCCCTACTAGTAATACCACGTTCCATTCGAGTACCGGTACCACCGCACACGCCACTCGCCTCAAACCAATTCTCAAAATGGATGTCCACCTGCTTGTTTACGACCTCTCGCGCGGTTTGGCGAAACAAATGTCTGCTGGTCTCCTTGGTTTTCAACTAGACGCCGTTTATCATACTTCGATTCAACTGAACGGACGGGAATATGTGTACGATGGCAACATTGTCTCCATCATTCCGGGGTCTTCGCACCTCGGCAAGCCCTTGGAGGAGATTTATCTTGGAAAGACTGAGTGTAAGCATCATATCGCTGGTATACTTAAAAGTCCGATATGCTGACGTGGATTTAATAAGTGCCAATGGAAGTGATCGAGGAGTATCTAGACTCGTTGAGGGAAATTTACACAATGCAGGTAAGTCAAGATGAGATCCTGCTTGCTTAAAGTGGGAACAGCCACTGACCGCTTCCACAACAGACATATGATCTCTGGACACATAACTGCAACAACTTCTCTAATGACCTGGCTACGTTTCTCCTTGGAAAGGGCATTCCCGACTACATCATCAACATGCCCCAGACGGTGCTCAGCTCGCCCATGGGACAGATGCTGATGCCCATGCTCAACCAGCAAATTCACGCCAACAAGCGTGGCGGTGGCATTTTGGGTATTCAGCAAAACACCCCTGGGAGCACGTCTAAGCCAAAAGCACAACTTCATCACCACGAGGGCAAGGTTCACAACGTCACCAGCCTGAAGGAACTTCAGTCTCTTTTGGAGAAGTACCAGAACTCGTGCGCTGTCGTCTTCTTTACTTCAGCAACCTGCCCACCATGCAAGGTCCTTTACCCTCTATACGATCAACTAGCGGCTGAGGTGGGGGACAAGGGTGTTTTGATCAAAGTCGATGTCTCAGCCGTCTTTGACGTGGGAAGCGCTTACTCGGTCAGCGCAACACCTACCTTTGTGACCTTTCTGAAGGGCAAGCAAGAAAACCGATGGAGCGGTGCAGACCGCGGAGCGTTGCAGGGCAATGTGCGTCTTTTGGTCCAGATGGCGTGGCCGGCTCATGCCCACCAGTCTTTGAACCTCCCAACATTTTCGAACCCGGGCACGAAACCGGTTCTCTACACCAAGGTGCCACCGCTGGAGAAGCTGCTCGCAAAAATGGGCTCAGACGCCCAGAACCCGGCAGTGCAGGGTGTCAAGCATTTCATCGAGGCTCGATCGCAAGACGGACCTGCCGAGGCGACACTGCCCGACATGGCCGCCTTCACAACATTTGTGCGCCAGTCGATCAAGCACGTACCTACGGATGCTCTCTTCACGGTCGTTGATTTGATGAGAATCGGACTCGTTGATCCTCGTTTTAGCGGGTATCTGGCCGAAGAGGTGGTACACGGGACCGTCACAGCGCTGCTCGAGCACGTCAACGACCTGAAAGAGTGCCCGTACGCTCTTCGCTTGGTCACCCTGCAGATGGCTTGCAACCTCTTTTCCAGCCAGCTATACGCCGATGAGGTTCTTAGCAACGACAAGCTGCGGACTCCTCTCACGCAGCTCGTTTCGGCCAGCTTTCTCGACGATAACCATAACAACGTGCGGGTGGCAGCGGCATCTCTGCTGTTTAACATTGCATTGGCAAACAGTCGCAAGAGACGGGATGGACCGGGTGACGTGCTTCCGCAGGACGATCAGATCGAGCTGGCGGCCTCGATTCTGGAGGCCATCACTCAGGAGGAGTCTTCGGGTGAAGCGCTCGAAGGAATGCTGTTGGCTTTGGGATATCTTGCGTATCGGATGCCACTTGACGGCGAGCTCTCAGATCTGTTGAGAACGATGGATGCTGGGAACAGCATTTTGGAAAAGAAACAGGCTTTCCCGGACATGAAGCTGATCGATGAGGTCGGGAGCGAGCTGTTGGGTAAGGGATTGAATAAGCCCTAGAGGGGTGGTAGACGGCGTTGGGTAATCAATGGCATGGAAGTGTTTACAGGTACGGGAGTTTGCGTGTTGTCAAGCGTTTGGATCTTTTTGCGAAGAGGCGTTGTGTGGTTCTGGTACATGGTGGTTGGGTGTTGGGTGTTATCGTTTTCAGAGACATTCTGCTCGGGTGGCGGCGTCTTGGCCACCGAATCTTGCATCTAATATCGTGATGATAGAGAGATATCGAGAAAAAAGATGTCCAATCATTTGCGGTATGTATTCTGTTGTTTGCCTTCTCAAGCGTCCATGAGCCTAGAGGTACTGCTTACTTTGTCATCAGCTTCGAACTCTTGATTTGATCATTATTTTCGAGACGAAAAATACCGAAACCTGATCTGGATGTCCCCGGCCTGAGCAACCGACCAGTCAATGAAGCGCGATCCAATCTTGTTGGTTTGATAAACGAGCAGTGACGCGCTGCCCTGGCAGGAAGAAAGACTCCGCCCGGCTGCCAAATGCACGTCAACAAAAGGCCCCACTAAACCCCTTGCAGAACCCCAATCTTGGCATCCTGTGGTTCCTAGTCTCGGCTGGTGTACACGATCTCTGGTAAGGCAAGTCCAAACGCTCCTGCATTCCCGCTACCTGCATCGTCGAAATGCTGGTCCTAGCTCGAAGAATTCGGGAAGAAAAAGCACCGAAACCTCGAGGAGATGTTTTGTAAACTCTCGATCTTCATCACAGCCAACGAAAGTCGCAATTTTCATCCTCAAGCACCCTCAGCACGTATCGCGCTATCGGTTATTTTTTAACACCCCGCGAGTCTCCCCGGATTCAGCGCTACTGCAGGACACCAACACCATCCTTGGTCCGCCCTGGCAACTGCAACCCAGACACCCCCCCTTTGCAGTGTAAACATTGGCCGATCCCTGCTCCCTTGTCACCAAAAGCATCTGAACGTGGAAGTCGTGCCGTGCCGTAGGGCGTAACCTTTCCCTTACACGGCAGTCACACAACTTACAGCTACTACCACAGCAGCAGCACCACTACCTACCTGGACCTCACCTGCCCGCCTTTGTCAGTGTGGGCATCCAGGTTGGTGGTATTCAATAACCATCACCCCTGCCCAGCTCCCGCCCTCCTACCATTGGACTCGACCATTCGTGGATCGCATCTTACATGTTCAACCTTCTTCGACTGCGCTTTCGCAACACCATTGTTGATATCGAGGATACTTTATACGAATTATCTTTGGAGCCGCGCCTGATGCCGAACTCTCTGGACGTCCGCCAGCGGCAGACCCGTGACAATGTCTCGACCCCAACTCTACGACCTCGAGATGGAACAGTTATGCCTTTCGTCCCCAAGGACCCCGGAGCAAATGTCCGGGTGGTGGTGAGAGTTCGGGCATTTTTGCCTCGGGGTAGGTTCTGTGTGTTCACTTCACCAAGAGACACTCCCATGCTAACACTTGTACCTGTTACAGAACTCGAGCGCAATGCTAAATGCATTGTCGAGATGGACCCGGCAACAGAACGGACAACCCTTCTGGTTCCTCAAGAGACAGACCTCGCTAATTCTCGAGGTGCCCGGTCTCGTAGGGTACTGGAGGAGAAGTCGTTTACCTTTGACAAGAGCTTCTGGAGTCACAATACAGCAGACGAGCACTATGCGACCCAAGAACACGTCTATGACAGCTTAGGCGAGGAGTTCCTCGACCACAACTTCGAAGGGTACCACACATGTATCTTTGCCTACGGTCAGACTGGCTCGGGAAAGTCTTACACCATGATGGGGACGCCTGATCAACCCGGACTTATCCCCAGGACTTGTGAAGATCTGTTCCAGCGCATTGCTTCCGCCCAAGACGAGACACCAAATATCAGCTATAATGTCAAAGTCAGCTATTTCGAAGTTTACAATGAACATGTGCGAGACCTTCTCGCCCCCGTCGTGCCTAACAAGCCGCCATACTACCTCAAGGTCCGCGAATCTCCTACCGAGGGACCTTACGTTAAAGACCTCACCGAGGTTCCCGTGCGAGGTCTCGAAGAGATCATCAGGTGGATGCGTATTGGCGATAGAAGCCGCACAGTAGCCAGCACCAAGATGAACGACACCAGTAGTCGCAGCCACGCCGTGTTCACTATTATGCTGAAGCAGATCCACCACGACCTGGAGGCAGATGAGACCACAGAACGCAGCAGTCGTATCCGCCTTGTCGATCTGGCTGGTAGCGAGCGAGCAAAGTCCACCGAGGCCACAGGCCAACGCCTCCGTGAAGGGAGCAATATCAACAAGTCCTTGACCACTCTCGGCCGTGTCATCGCCGCACTCGCCGATCCGAAATCAAGCCGCCCTTCTTCTCCTGTAAAACCCGGAAGAGGACGAGCACCAGGGCCAGCCAACTCAGTCGTCCCCTACCGTGACAGCGTCCTCACCTGGCTCCTCAAGGATTCCCTCGGCGGCAATTCCAAAACCGCCATGATAGCTTGCATCTCGCCCACCGACTACGACGAGACTCTCTCGACGCTCCGCTACGCCGACCAAGCCAAGCGCATCCGCACCCGTGCCGTGGTCAACCAAGTCGATGGCGTCAGCGCTGCCGAGCGCGACGCCCAGATTGCCGCCATGGCCGCCGAGATTCGCCAGCTACAGCTGGTCGTGAGCGACAGCCAGACCCGTGAGAAGAGCGCCCTCGACGCCGAACAGCAGCTCGAGGAATACCAAGCGCGCGTCCGAGGCCTGCAGCAGCTGATGGAGGAGAAGAGCCTGGTAGCCGAGGGCAAGATCCGCTCGTTGCAGACAGAAAACGAAGCGCTACGGTTACATCTCAAGCTGGCTCTCGAGAGTCTTCGAAACCCTATCAAGGTGTCTTCGTTTCCCACCACTTCGCTGGCTATGTCAGCGGAGGACTCGACCATGCCTCTGGTGGCCATGGGAGAGGTTAGTACCGCCCGCGGCCGAAAGACGGAAAACAACGTGGCAGAGGACCCCTTCGTCGACAGCGGAAGTGGCATCACTAGTGATGATGATCAAGGCCTCATTTATGAACATGATGATGATTATGACACTTACGAAGAAGAAGACGAGGAGGAGGAAGGAGTTATTGATCTTAGCGAAAAGGCTCATGACATGGACGAGTATATGAGTGGCTTGCTCAAGGATTTGAGCATGTTTAGACGCAAGATCGGGGATGATAAGACGAGGTTTCTGGATGAGTTGGGCGTCAGGAAACCGCTCGGGGTGAGGACTAATATCATATGATGATGGAAGTTTTTGTGGTCTGGGACTCTGTGTGTTTTAAGCAGACGGATGGATGGGACAAGGCAAGCAAGCAAGCATGGAGTTTACGGACGGCGTTTCACAAACGGATATGTGTGATTCAACGAGTTTGGTGTTGGTGGGATGGATCACTGGACTTGGGAAATGAAAAGGCTTCGCAAGGCAAAGGCAAAGGAAAGGAAAGCAGGTAAAAGCCATGGCAAGGACTGGAGTCTGGTTGGGACAAGGCGCGGCGCGGTACGGCATTTGCTTTTTACTTACGTTTTCTTTCTCTGAACATTGTCTTACTATTGCCCGGAGTCATGTACAGCTCTCGTTAGGCGTGGTTTAGTTTTGCTTTGCAATATCTGTACTTTTAGAAGTTCTATTCCCGTATGTTGCTTTTACTGGTTCAGGACGATGCAATGCATAGCATAGGATAGCATAGTCTTCCGAGTTCCATAAGGGATTTTTCAGGTTTCTGATTGTCTATTAATGGAACTTGATACCTCACATTTTCACGATGCGTGGTACGTAATAGGATGTAAATGCATATGTGCCTGTGACGTTGAAGGTCAATATTCGTCGGTGTTTCTCATTAACTATTACGTTTAATCAGGACAACCTGCGATGCCAGTATCATTTGTTATCCAATAATATAAGTAACATCCCAAATCAAAGGAAAAATTGCTCTCACAACAATACAATGTTGCACACCCATTCTCGTCCATGATGATGATGATAATGATGGGGTATTCACTTGGCGGGGTCGCGACCCCCAAGCCAGAAGAAGACGTTGCCAAAATAGATTGGACTCCAAAGTAAAACCTCACTCAACTCTCAACTCCTGACGCCCCGTCATTTCCTTGAAGGTCATCATGTCTAAGAAACAAGAACCCAACCAAGCAACAAAAACTCCAAATAGTATGCGTCCCCCGTAACTTTTCCTTTTCCCTTCTGCTTGTTTTCCATTCTCCCGTCTCTTCGAACAAAGGAGAAATCCTCCAAACGATCCAGGCCATGTGGCCATGTTGCCAGGTTTAACATTCGTGAAACTTGTGTGCCGAAATGCAGAAACATGATGTATGTCGCCGTAGTCAACGCCAAACGCCTCCAAACGCAATTGGGTTCTGGTGGTCTCCAAACGATGATGATGATGATGATTGTGCTGGTATCATTGCCGCCGCTTGTTGAGTTGCCTCGGTTGGTTTGGTGTACAAGTAATCCTCAGGGCAGCTCCGTTCCGCGTTTGTAGTATGTATGTAGTATGCAGATATGTTGTTGCGCTATACAACAGGAACAAGTGATGCGCTATGTATTGATGGGTTAGTTTACATAACCACTGCAGGTAATAATGTAGTGCGGAATCGTTGCCGCGGAGGGGAAAAAGGGGGAAGAAACAAACGTACCTTAATCCCAGAGAGAGAGGAGGAGAGAGGCTTTTTTTTGGCTCTCGTTACGCGCTTCTCGTAACCCTCCGGGTAGCAGCCTCCTTCTCCTGTTGGTCAGTCTGGTCGTCTACCCAGGCCTGGACGTTCTTCTGGGACTGCTTGGCCTCCAGGCGGCTGATCGGGACCGGCATCTTTCTGGACGGGGTCCCGGCAATCTCCCTGTAGTCCCCTGTGGCTGATGGCTGGTCATTGATCCAGTTCTGGACATCTTGGCCCTTGTGCACAGGAGGGGAGGGGCTGCGTCCTTTGACGACGATTCTCTTGGTTGGGGGTGGTGTTGGTTCGCGTGGAGAGGTCTCAGAAGCAGCAGCAGGGCTGCCAGATTTGCTTCTTGGAGGGGGCGATTTGTAAAGCTTATTAACGATAAGCTGTTCCGGCTCGCCGTGATGGGGATCGCGCGGAATCCTGGTCATGGACCCTTTGCTTGAGGAGGAGCTTGAACTGTCTGCGCTGTCCGCAGATGCTTGCGAGTCCGGTGTGCCTTCCCTAGCACCGTCTCTTTCCAAGATCTGGATCTTGATAATCCGAGTCTCTCCCTCCGAGCTGCTGCTGCTGCTGCTGCTGCTGCCGCTGTTGGAGCTGAAGCAGGAGGAGGATGAAGCTCGGCGCTTCCTGTTGTTGTTGGTGGTGTGTCTAACCTTGACAGGCTCCGAGATAAATGGCTCGACATCGCTGTCGCCATTAACACCATCCCCGGCCAAGGGTTGCCCGTTGGGCATAACAATCTCCTTCTTCGGTTCCTCCGCTTCAAGCACGCCCGAGTAGAGATTCATCTCGATGACCTGCGTTTCGACCTCCTCGTCGCCGTCAATCTCAATTCGAGCTGCCTTCGGGTCGGCTGCCATGAGCTCCTCGGTCTCGCGATTGGCCCGGGCCATCTCTTCCAGAAAGCCAGGAAGTTTGCTGGCAAGCTCGGAGTTTCCGAGCGTGGAAAAGTCTACCCGCATATCGGGCTTGCGAGAAGGGCCAGGTTGGGCGTTCTGGGGACGAAGATCAACGACTTCGTCCATGGCGTCGTTCATCTTGGGCCGAAATGCCATATTGGTCATTTCTGAAGAGATTAGGGAGCCGAGGGCAATGCCGTAAGCTTGGGTGAGAATTGCTGTGGCGGAAATGAGAAGAGGCGAAGACGAAAAGTTTCTGGAACGTATCGGGAAGAAATGTCAGTGGGAATGTGGTGAAATGGAAGGGAGTTGTCGAGCTACTGAGGACGGATGGAAGGATAATATATAGGTTGTAGGTTCCAGCTGATGGCGAAAATGTAGCATTAAAAGTTTTGACGTGTCAAGTTGTAAATGAGAGTGGCGGATTGCGAAAGTTCCCTCTTGTTTCCAACTCGAGGGAGAGTGTATTTCAAGAACAGCTGGAGGGTGTCATGGTGAGGATGAAGGTGATCTGAACTTGGCCTGCGGATGACTTTTTGAGATTCAAGTGGATACCACAAATCCTGATTCCAGGTTCCTATGCTTCAGTGGGGTGCCCTGTTCATCCCCGGCACGTTAGGGGAGAGGGTTCCCACTAACAGATATGTATGAAAGAGCACAGTCTAGTCTGTTACAATGCTATCAGGAAGCATCTCCAAACTTCACTTACACCGAAGGAAATGGCATAACCACGAGCATACTCCTCCTTATAGAGATGCTTTGATATCGTGGGATTTGGCATAACGACCTCGTTCCCCCGCACCCTCCACACAACTGATTCAAATTTCAAAAGGCCCTCCTCGTCTGGGACCGTTGAAACGATGTCGAGCATGTGTGAATGGGTCTAGCTTAGGAGCCGGTGATCGGATGTGACGTCTGCCAGGGCGGCTGTTGGTGGTTGAAACCTGGGGAACATGATCCCCTGTCGCCTCCCTGACACCCCTCGTCAGCTGGCAGTGATAGTGTTTCACCTCGTTGGTCCGGAACGACACAGCATCCAACTGATGGAACGCAAAGAGGTACGGTAGCGATAGCCGCCGGCTCATTGTTTTATCACAACTCTGTCTCTTTATCTGTTCATCCGATATTCCCGTTGACCACCGGGCCTTGCAATATCCCAAGTCTTGGATCAATCATTTGCTAACGGTGACAAGTCCAACAAAGAAGCCAACCAGCGTTGGTCATCACATCCGACACTCACAAAATCACAGCAGCGGGCCGTCACAAATTCACTATCATAGGCTCACAGCCCCTCCCCCTCACTTATTGCTCATGTACCTCTAGGGGCAAGGTAGCCTGCCATTGGAAACACCACTTTCTCGGCCTTCCCCTTTTTGTTCTCAAGACATATATATCTGTCTCTCCTCTCACTCAAAGTCGCTTGGATTTTGTGGTACCTTGGGTCTCCATCAACTTCTGGCATCACCAGATCATTTAGCAAGACACCCCGATCGACATCACTCACATCCTCTCGAACAATGTCATCAAGACCAGGTCTTTTCACGCGCGGCCTCTCCGGCCTGTCGCAAAGTAACGATGCCAACGTGAGCTCGCCAGCTGCAGAGCGTGATGACTTGAAGCGCAACTTCCTCAAGACGATGCGTCCTTTGCCGACGCAGCATTACTGGAACGTTTGGTTCGATAGGTATGTATGAAAGTCTGTATGCATGTGCAATGTACAGCAGCTTCTAACACATCGCATATGTATACAGATCTGATAAGGACCAGCAGGGCAAGTCCGCCGATGGTAGCTACCACTCGAACCTGGAGAAGCTCGGGTCCACGATCGAGAGCGTCCAGGATTTCTGGCGCTACAACAACAACATGCCCATCGAGAACATCAAGATGCGCGAGTCCATCTACCTGTTCAAGACCGGGTTCAAGCCCGTCTGGGAGGATCGCCGCAACATTCTCGGCGGTAGCTGGACTTTCCGCGTTCCCAAGGCCAACGGGGCTGATTTCTGGACTCGCGTGCAGGTCCTTGCTATCGGAGAGGAGTTGCAGGATGTGCTTGAGGAGGGTAAGTTTCATCTCTTTCCCTCTACTTACTGCCATGACTTAATGAGGATCCCGGTGCTAACATAACAACCCCCCCAAAAAGGCGACCAAATCTGCGGCGTAGGCCTCTCAGCCCGGTTCAACGCCCACCTGATCTCCATCTGGCACCGTGACGCATCCAAGCAAAAGTCCGTTGACGCCATCCTCCAATTGGTCCTCTCCAAGGCTATTCCGGAAGATTTTCCCCCACTTAAGCCGGATAGCTACTTTTACAAGAAGCACTCGGACCATGCGGGCTTCAACCCTTCGCCGGAGATGCAGGCGGTTCTGGACTCGCAAAAGGCTCGGGAGCAGCACGCCGCCGCCGTTGCGAAGGCTCAGGCGGAGGCGGCCCAGCAGACGACGGCCCAACAAGGGAGCCAGGGCCAGCCGGAACCACCCCAGATTGTTGAGATGCCGCCTTCGGGAGAGCCATGAACTTGGAACAACGACTATGAAAGACGACAGCTTTATGAGCAGTGAGACAGCTGCTTTGAGAGCTTTATGGCCCCGAAAAGCAAGAACAAATGCAAGAATGCGACCCAACAGGAATAAAGAAAGAAAGAAGAACGGAGGAGGCGAATGAAACCGAATCCTACAGGGAAACAGTTACTGAACAACGAAAACGATATGTCCAACTACAGGATCCAGATTGTTTTGGTTATACACGGAAGAATAAAGTTGGTTAAGATCTGCATTGTCTTGGGCGTTGGATCAGTTAATGTATTATTATGGCGGGCGCGATTCTTCATTCGTGTTTTTAAAGATGCCTCGAAGATAAAGTCAGTTACCTATACCTCTGGTTTTGATTATCCTATAACATGTCATCGCATATAACCTCTTCAAGCGTCAAGCGTGAATGAGCTGCAAAGTTTCCATAGGCAGCATATCGACTCAACCTGACAACCATACGATATTTTCCTCTTTCCATCGTCAACAAAGCATCAATCAATTCGCCGGGTATATCCTCTCCCTCTAAGGCCTATATGTACACCCAACATCCCACCTCTTGTCTAACATGGGACCCCTTCGAAAACAACCCGAGGGCAGCCATCACAACCCCTTCTTCCTCTCCTCCACTTCCCTCCTAGCAACCCTTTGCTCCTCCCACTTCTCCCACCCAGCCTGCGGCAGATCCTCCTCGACAACCAGGTCCCTGACCCGGAACCACCTAACAACGGGGAAATCCAAGATCTGCCCCAGCAAGCCCGACTGCCGCACCACGTGCGTGACGACAAACCATGCAACCGCGCATAGCGTTCCCGCCCCGCAGCCCACCAGCACCTGCTTCTCCGTGTGATACCCCAGGTAGGTGCGGCTCCATGCCACAGCACCCGCGAGCACCAGCGCCCCCAGGCTGGCGACGGCGCGGTGGGCGAAGGACCAGGGCTCGTGGGCGTAGCGCTCGAGGTCGGTGGCGCTGTCGGTTAGGGTCTTGAACAGACTCGGACCTGCGTTCCCAGTACCATTTGTAGTATTCCCATTCGTAACCTGCTTCTTTTTCCCCTGCTTTTGTTGCTGCTGCTCCCTCGGCGTATGCCTCCCCAACAAAAACAGTCCCACCGCCACCGCCCAAAAGAAGGCAAACTGCGCATGGCTGCTCGGCATCCCATACCCTTTTCCTCCCGTCGCGTGTATCCTGGCGGGCCGTTCCTCCTTGATCAAGCGCTTGAGCGCAAAGTTGGCGGCCTCGCAGGCGAGCTGGCCGGCGAACATGAGGATCACTTCGGCTTCACGGGTGGACCAGATCAAGGTCGCGTAGACGACGCAGAGCGCTTGGGGGGCGAGGGCGAGCCAGGCGCAGAGGAGGGAGATGGGGTCGTCTGGGTTCTACAAGAAAGATGGAGAGAGGTTAATGAAGGTTATTGGGGGCATAGGGGAGCGATTGGGCTTGGGTTTGGACAGATGGGGAAAAGGGAACGTACGTAGTAGACGTGGGTCAGGGAGAGCGAGGCGAGAGGTGTCACGTCGTCGGCCATGGTTGAGTAAGTGGGTTATAGGGAGGCGATGAAAGATTAAAATTGCATTTGAAAATATGTAGCAGAAACTTGGCGTGATCGCAACTTGGATGTAAGACAAAAGTACAATGACAGCCGAAGCTGAAAAGTGGTGATTGCTTCAATTGTGGAAGATGTGTTGTTACACCTAGAACATGGAAGATGCACTACGTAGAGGAGTGGAGCCCAGCAGCAAATGGCAGTTAAGGCCCAGCCTGTCGGCCTACCATTTTAGGCCTGTGCGCTAACAGGCGTTGATTTGCCAAGAAGGGGACAACCACAACACCGGCAGGCGAGTCATCTTTGGAGACGGGGACCCGACGGCGAATCTCCAGCTCCGTCACTCAACAGTCAACGACCATCAACCTCAAATCGCTCTGGCACTCGCGGGGCACCGACTGTGGAAAAAGATATCTCCTACGAATTTGCCTCCCTTTGCCTCCAAAGCTTAACTTTACGGAACATCAACGTGGACATCGGTGTACGATTCCTGAACATGAAGGGCTTTTCCGTCTGCTTCTGACAAATCTACATTTCCCTTCTGGTCTCTTTAGCTCTTTCTCTTGGCATTTCCATCTCACAAAAGTCTGGACTTAGACTCCGACTGAAGAGATCTTGAACTCCTACAACCTCATCCATAACTCACCAATTCTCCTCAAGAGCAAACTTACTGCATGGCTTTTCAGAGCTTCTCCTCACATCAAACCTTCCTTTTCTCTCAGATCTGCTACAAGTCATCCAGGTAGCAGCACGGGTGGGCTACATCGACCAAAACACCAAAAAGACATATTCCCGAGTCTTGGCGCCACATCGCGTTTCGATGGCCTCTTTCAACTATGATGACTCCGACAGCCCCCGCGATACTGAGCTCAGCTCTCTTATAGCGATTTATCCCGAGATTCAGCATCCCCGACCAGACGACCCTTACGCCATTGCCATCGACATCCCTGTCAACCCCTCCAAGCCAGTTCTCGTCTACTTCCCCGCCGCCGCGGACCCAAATACGGACCCGAGGGCTCAAGGAAACCCTCAGCAGAACGGAGTCAACCACGTCAATGGAGCTGCAAATGGAGGTCCTTCGAATGGTGCGGATCGTGTGGGAGGAGCAGGTACGGCTGAAGGTGCCGGCGCCGGGGCTGGGGCTTTTGATCGTCACGAGGTAGCCCACTTGCCTTCTGTTCGCCTAGAGATCATCTTCGGGCCCGACTACCCGGCTGAGAAACCACCGGTTGTCAGCATCTCTGCGGATCCTCCATGGCTTTCCAAGGAGACCATCAAGAGACTCGAGGATGATGGGCCGCGGCTGTGGGAAGAAATGGGTCGTGATATGGTTGGGTTCACGTACATCGACCACATCCAGCAGGCAGCTGAGAATGTCTTTGAGCTTGTTGACGAGAAGGGGACCCTGGAAGTTGACCCACAGCATAGGATCGCCATTATGGATTATGATATCCAGGCACGCCGGGCAGCGTTTGAGAAGGAAACGTTCAACTGCAAGGTGTGCTTAGGTATGTGCAGATGCTGTTATCTCCAGGTAACAAAATAGTCTACTAACACGCAATACAGATCCCAAGAAAGGCACCGTCTGTCACAAGATGATTGATTGTGGACATGTTTTCTGCGTGGAGTGTCTACAAGACTACTACAACAACGCCATCAAAGAAGGTGATCTCGCCTCTGTCCGCTGTCTAGCCCCCAACTGCGCCAAGGAGCGCGAACAAGCAGCCGCCTCGTCTTCAGAGAACAAGAAGCGGAAGAAGCCCAAGACGCACCTCAGCCCGAGCGAACTTTTACAGATCCCTCTTGACCAGGAGACCGTGAAGCGCTACGTCACGCTCAAGTACAAAACCGAGCTCGAGTCTGACAAGAACACCATCTACTGCCCGCGACAATGGTGCAACGGAGCCGCACGATCCAAGAAGCACAAGAAGCCGCAAGGGCTAGAGTTGAACGAGGACGACGAGGAGGACGACGAAGAGGAGGAAACCAGCGGTGCTTCCAAGCCCTACAACGCGACCGACCTCCTCGCCATCTGCGAAGATTGCAACTTCGCCTTCTGCTCCCGCTGCCATCAGTCCTGGCACGGCGAGTTCGTCCGGTGCCAGGCACCCCGAAAGAACGATGAGCTCACAGCCGAGGAGATTGCTTCACTTGAATACATGAAGCTGCACACCACGCCTTGCCCGACCTGCGCGGCGCCTGCTCAAAAGACGCACGGCTGCAACCACATGATCTGCTACCGGTGCCAGACCCACTTCTGTTACCTCTGCTCGGCGTGGTTGGATCCTGGCAATCCCTATCAGCACTTCAACGAGATGCCCGGCGGTAGGATCACCGGGTGTTACCAGCGTTTGTGGGAGCTGGAGCAGGGTGATGGCGATGATGTCGGCTTAGGGTTCGAAGGCGGCGCCGGTGCTATTCCCCCAGGTGCTGGGCGTGCTGGTCCGGGAGCGGCAGCAGCAGCAGTAGCAGCCGGCGCACCCGCAGCGCCTCCCGGGGTTGAGGGCCTACCGGAGCGACGGCTAATGGAGCTGCTGATGGCGGACCTGGAGATTGAGAGCGACGATGAGGAGGACGAGTTTAGACCGCCCCCCTTTGGTGATAGAGAGCTTAATAGGCAACTTGCCGAGGATATCGAAGCGGAAGCGCAGGACGGTGCAGGAAGAGGTGGTGGTGAAGTCGCGATTGCGCGCGAAGGACCGCTCGTCCTAAGGATAGACGGAGGCAGAGCAGGAGGTGGAGGTAATCAGCCGGCAGCAGGCCGCGGTGGTCGTGGAGGTGCTGCTGCTGGTGCTGCCGCCCCCAATGGTCCCGCCGCAGGTGGTGGCCGTGGAGCTGGTGGTGGACGTGGAGGAGGAGGAGGAGGAGGAGGTCGGGGAGACAATGCCCGAGGAGGACAAGGGGCAGGGGGAGCAAATATTCGGGGACAACATCAGAATCGAGGAGGTGCCCCGAACAACCGGCATAATAACCGTAACAACCACCCGAACCACAATGGCGTCGGTGCCGGTGCGGCCAGAGGAAGAGGTGGTGGTGTGGTCAGGGGTAATGTGGGAGGCAGGGCGAGGCCCAATCCTAACGGTCCTAGAATGGACTTTGATAATCCCGATAACATACAGGTCAACGTGCCTGACGGGATACGACTCGATCCGCAGCAGGAGGCGTGGATTAGGCAGTTTGTGCACCTGGCGCTGGAAGATCAGGAGGACCTGCTTTTCGACGATGACGACTGGTAGTCAGTCACGCATCATTCAGCAGCAAGGAAATATGTACAAGGGTCGGAATCAATATAAACTACAGTTTGTACAGCGGAGTTGAACACAATTGTTGCTGTTTTGTTGGCTTTCATCAGCGGCATATGGGGACAACGGAAAATGATAGCAAATGAGTTAGCTACCTCTGTTTGCATACAGGCGCTCATGGAATTTGGAACCGAAAACGTACATAGCAGCATTGTCAAATTCATCATCACCATTAAGACGTACGCATCAACCTTCGTTCGAGAGAAATATCCCTGAAGTCTCCCAGAACAGTCTCCCCCCCTTCCAGTTCGTCACAACAGTCAAGTGATCAAATCTCCTCAGTTTAATCCTCAAAGAAACGGCCACTATCTTCAACAAGCAACACCTGTTGCCCAATTATTACCATTTCAATTGCTTACGTACAACTGACTTTTCCGCGTTTCTTGGTCCCCATGTTTTCACCCACAAAACTTCCTCGTTGTATATATATCCCGAACCAAATATTGGGAGCAGACGGATTGATGCTACGTGCTTACATCTTCTGTCCTTATGTTCTTGCACAACCTTATTTCCGTTTTAATTTCCATCACTAGATACTTTTCCTTGTTAAATACATGCCTCTACATCATTTTTAAGCGCAAATTTCCTCCTTGTTCTCATGTTAGGTAGTCCTTGAAATTTTAAGGTTGTAAAGTCAGCTTTGCCACTGGTGTGACACTGTGATCAGTAGGTAGGTAGGAACATCAGTGTGACCGCTACTATTCACATCTTGTGCAAAACGATGAGCAATTCACGGGTAGTCCAAGTCGTCTAAGTGAATGTTGAGTTCTCTCTATCAAACCAAACCGAGCTACAGCTCTAAACGATAGGCCACTTCGTCGTCAATATTCTGTTTTCCGCACACAATGAAAAAAGGAGGTCCGGTTGTCTGCCCTTCGACGTTTGTTGCTGAAAAGTCTCCAGTGTTCTACAGCATTTATTGGGGTCTCTGACCACCGAAATATCTCAGTCTCTCATTCTTTCCCCTCTCCTCAGTAGGTATCTTTTTCACTCATTCCGAATACATACCTCGTTATATGCCCGGACGAACCACGTAAGGACCTAGTAGAGGTATCTTACGAATCCCAAACATAACAAAACAGGTCAGGTTGTTCGTTGGTGGAATAAAGAAGCAGGTAGCTCAAGAACACCCATTGAAATCCAACATCAACATCCCACACGACCGACCGCGAACGCGAACGCGACGTTGTGATTTGGGTTAGTTCAGTTTGGTTTTGGTTTGAATTGGCCTCCCAGCCGCCAGCCTTCCTGCACGATAGCTCGGTTGGATGGACGGCTATATATGAGTTTCTATACATAGAATGTCTTGCATGTCGTCTGTGTCGTCTATCTGTCTGCCTGTATGTATGTATGTCTATCTGCTTGTCTGTCTATCTCGAAAGGGGGGGGGGGGGGGGGGGGGGGGGGTTACTTTGTCTGCCGCTTAGTATTTTCCCCGTCTCTTCCATGCATATATGAATAAATAACCTCTTCCCTCATCTTCCCTTCCCCCATCCCAGGCTACGAAATAAGCAGTGTGATAGACGTACATCTAGACACATACATGATATGGCATACATGGCCATGACATGACATTACGCGCGCCACCACGCAGGAGCGGGAAGGATGTAAGGACGGTTGGGTGAATGAAGTACGGAAGCGAGGCGAGGCGAGGCGAGGCATACCATACCAAAGGAGAGGGAGAAAGTAAAGGGAAGGGAAGCCACGAATGCTTTTTTAATTTCGGGATTTTTGGGGGGTAATAAGCAAAGGGCCTCGAGAGGATGGGGAAGTGAAGAGGAAGCCGAGGTAAGCGCGGTGCGTGTTCATCATTATCTTGATTTCTACATAGTACATGGAGAGGGTCTCCAATGTACAGATGGCTATAGTACTTACCTGTCTTGGTAGATTATATGATTTTTGCTTCCCAATAACGAGTCATCCGTTCTCGTCCGCCGGAGCTCATTTCGATAATCCGGGTCATCCACCCGGGTTTGTTCTGGTGTTACACACTTCTTTCTTTTTCACTTGATCATGTGCGTGTGTCTTCATGAGCGAAAGCACACGTTAAAACCGTTTCTGTAATCATCGTGGTGGTCGTAGTTATCGTGGCCGCCTACCTGGTATTCCAGGCTCACCTCTCAGAGCCCGGACGGACTCTCCTGCTCCTGGTATTTTCTTTTTTTACCAACAAGTGAATACAATAATAACTAGGTAGCAGCCATCAGCCAAGACACCCGCCAAGAGAGGGTGACTTCTAAGAAAGGCAGGAGCTTTCAACTACCGCAAAGAACGTCTGAGAGTTTCATCAGCAACTCGGCTTACTTCCATTTTCGTGTTCATCGATTCGCGTCGGTAATGTAGTAATAGACAGCCTGTTAATCCCATATCATTTCCGAGCAACAACTACCCGAGGCCCTAGGTGGTCAACTGGGCCCCGTTCACGTTGTAACTCAAACTGACTGACAGTCACTTTGTCTTATAAACACGACACGACTGTTGCTGTGCCAGTGCCGTAGAGATGGATCATGACATGACACACCTACCGTGCCATCCCGTCCGAATTGCACACTGCTGCACCCAGCTAGTGTATGATTGCGGGTGCGGATGGATTAACCTACCCATACGCAACGCTGTGGCTTGCGGGCTGTTCCCATCCATCGTACGAAGAAAGAACAGGAACAACCCTAGCATGCTTGCTGCCATGCTTTGCTCTGCCATTCCCTCACCACAAGCTTCCATGGTCGAAACGGGCTGGCTGGCTGGATGTCGAACTGTGACAGGAGTCGGCAGGGGAAGGAAGAGACGAGGAAGGGTAGGGAGACGTGTGTCCTGACAGTGTGTGTTACATCCTCATATCCACTCACAAGTCACACTCCGTCCCTTCCCAGACTCGCCTCGCCTCGTAGCCAGAAACGATGGGTGATGGTGTATTGCAACCGCCCTTCTTCTCCCTCAGCCTCTCCCCCCTTTCGCCATGTCTCCATCCATCCATCCACCCATAGTCCCATACAACCATCCATCACCACCCCTCTCCCACCCAAAGCCGTCGCCCATCCTTGCCTTTCCTGTCCTGCCGCCTGCAGTCGTAGAGGTTCCCCGACTCCTTGTGGGAGTCCGTGTGCCTACCTACTACCCTCTCTTATTCCGTTTCTGGTTCCTGTAACCATCCCCATGCATTTTCCTCTGATAGCAAGGGACGCTGGTGTGGTACAAACGAACTGGTTTCTTGGGTCTCGGTCCATCACTAGTCAGTTCAAAGGAAACTCCGAAAGAGAGAAATGAGAGATGATCATGCCCACAACCACAAGCCAGACCAAAAGCAGGAACGAGGATGATCCCCCAGTTTCCAGTTTCCCTCCTCCGTCTTTCTTTTTTTGGAGTTCCCACTGTCACCTCCAGGTTGCTCGGACGATTTACCCTTTGGCACCCCCACTGAGCTAGGATCTGTCACAACGGCTTGATGCGACAGAAAGGGGGCTTGTCACCGGCAGAACAACCCCTAACAAGCCTGGTTCCGTTTGATTCTCGGCGATGGTGGTTACATAGTGTACCCCATCAAGGCATCTGGAGATGAGCAGGTCAAGGGCAGTTGAGCCGACAGACCGACCTGGACCGAAAGAACCGAGGCCGGTGTGCTTGTGTGTGTTCTCGATCCCTGAACACTCCAGGATGGGGGACAAGGCCATTGTTAGGCGCCTGCCTGATGTGTCCAACTCAAATCTTACTCTTGCCCTGTTGCGCATAAGGATATCTCATCGCACACCGTTGTTGTGAGGCCATTCCATTTCGGCTTTCCGAGTGCCTTGTCAAAACGAGGGGGCGTGCCCGCCCCGTCGAGGGTGTGATTCCGTTTCAAGCAGAAGGAAATGAGGATGGAAAGAATGGCAGGGTGGTATCCGAATGGACATGAAGGAAGGGGTTTGAAAGGTCAGCCAGAAGGGATGACCGTGCTTGGCTCTTCGACACTGAAAGACGCCAGGGGCTGTTAGGGTCGTCGCATTTCGGTAGCTGCTTTCCGCAAGCGCATTTCGAGAACCCAGGGGGTGGCCGGACCCTGCTGCTGGCGGGGATAGGACGATCGAAAAGCGGTCGCTGGCGCGCCACCTATGTACTTCACCGCTAACGCTAGTATGTCTCCGTACCCATCACGCTATAGCCCAGTGTAAGCCCCTAGAACCCCTTCATACTCGACTGCTGAAAACGAGAAAGACCAAAGGCAATAGACCACACAGAACCCCCTAGAACTCGGCTAAGAAGCGGCAAGCAGTTAGACGTTAGCCATGGCGGGGGTTCAGGATTGAAACATGATCAAAGTTGACTGATGCTGGGCCGGGTGTTCATGGAGCTAGTCGCTCCCTATCATGAAGTTGGCTAGGCTTTTGGTCCGAGATCCGAGAGTTGAAACTTAGTCTTTGTTGAAGACAATGAGTCCCTTGTACTTCTGTTTTGCTTGCACATTTCTCTTCGTGGAACCGGCGAAACACCTTCCCCAAACATCACGGAACTTCTGGGTCGACGGACGGAGTTGGACCGTACGCACGGTGATATGGAATCATGTGAAATGACTATCCACCCAAAGCCAGTGTCGTGACAGGAACACCAGCATGCTGACAGCCCGTCCCACGACGCAGAAGTACGTATGTAATTTCTGCAGCAACCTGTCACAGCAAGGACAAGGGCCCGACTATGGTCGTAGTAAAGGCCTTGGCTGCTGGTTTGGGGGAGCTGGGGAAAGGGAAATGAGAAGCGGAGGGGTTAGGGGTATTGGACCAGAGAGCCAGCCACAAAGCCACTTGCTAGTGTAGAGAAAGCAGAGGGCGGACGTTGGTAGGAGGCCAGGAGGCAGCGTTGCACTTGCACCCGTCCTTTACAATTGAGAATGTCAAGATCGATGATCCCATGTTGTTGTAGATCTGAAAGGTAGCAGTTATCCGCGGCACTGGCCGGTACGACATAGAAGTGTAGCAACTGCAAGAGCCCAACCCCGGCGTTGGGACAGAAAGGCCCTTATCCTCACTGTAACATCCCATAAACCCGAACCTGTAGAATGTCAGACAGAGCCATTGAAGAAGCGAATGAATGCCTGAAGAATCAACAAGTGGGCACGGTTAACATGAGCCATTGCCCATGCATTGAAGCTCCGTCGTTGTCGTTTCTCAATGATTTTGGATCCCATGTCGTTACACACTCAGATGATGTTTCCAGACCCCCAGGCAGTACAATGTTGGGCTCGAGGGAAGGCAGCAGGGGCAGTTATGCTCAGCTCACTTTGAGTGGGTCATGACCCCTCCGAAAGGGCTAGGCGCCGGAACAACGGCAACGGAGACGACAACGACACATCATGGGCTTGTATCCTACTTCGCAGTATTAGCTGCTATCTCAACGTTTAAGGCTCACAGAGTCTAGGGAGCTTACTTTCCAATAGAAGCCGTTGGCTGAGCCCCGATTGGTTTCCTTACTTGACCTTTGCTGATGGCCGATGCCATGGAGTGTCCTCATGGACCGAAGACCTGAAGAACGAATTCAGTCAAAAGCGGAAGGTGAGTTAAGAATCGAGGGCGCCACACCTTGTTCTGTTGTCTTCGCACTCTCATTGGTTGGTAAAAGTATTACGTCGCTGAATCGGCCCTTCCAGGCTAAAGTCGGATCGCTTTGGAGTCAACTCCCTCCATGTAATTTCGGGACGCATCTTATACGGGCTGCGGTAAGCCCCGGAGAGCCCCCAGATTCGCTGGGATGTGGTGGCATCCCGCAAAGGGAGCACCTACATGGGTCTATTCAATGTCTTGAATGACTGCTGAGCTGCCTCTGTTGAATGTCGATGCTGTTGTTCTAACTGCCCAATCCAATAGAACAGGTAAGCACGTGGAAGCCTGACAACGGATTCCAAAGACGATGTTCCGACAAGCGAGCGCAGCGCCGCCGAATATCGGCTCATCTCCCAATCAGTTGCTTGAGCGTCAGCTTTCGGGGAAGATAAAGAAATTTGTTGTGAAGGGCAAAGAGCGAAAATCAAGAAACTCGGGCCGCGATGTGCAGTACTCGAAGCTGGCGTAGAGGTGGCCATTGCAGTGCCAGTAGGGCATTATACAGCTTGGTAGCTTGGAATGTTCTTTTCGCCTTCCAGAATTCTTTCCCTTAGTGCAGATTCGCAGGAGCCAAGGGAAGACATCATGGTATGGGAACGGAGGGATACCAACCTACAAACTCAATATGATCCAGCGCCTTTGAACCCACAACCTGGCGATGTTATGTCCGGCCGCGGACATGCATCTTGCATGTGAGTAATCATGTGTGTGCGACAACACCATGAATGTCTGTTTGGGCGCCTGCAACACTGGATTTGGCAAAGGGACGTTGGATTGCCCGTGATTGCCGTGCTAAAATGTTGTGGAGGGGCGGGTGAGCACAACCGTAGAGCATGTCAGCCTGGCAGATCCAGCGTGTAGCTTGCTGGCTCGCCAGGGCGGCAGATAGCTCACTGGCTCATAGAATTGCAGATTTGGTTATCAACGCCTAGCCTTCCAGGCTCCTTTGAAACTTGTTCGGATCTTGCCTAGTCTTATCGTTTTGGTAATTCGCAATCCTCCTGCGAGAGCCGTCGGTATGAATTGTTGTAAAAGACTTGCGAATAAGTAGCCCAATCCTGCCTGTACTGAAGTCGGATGTTGTACTTCTTTCTCGAGCCAAAGGTTGCTGGTGCGACCTTCCGTTGAAGAAGCCCAGAGATGGAACAAATCACCATTTTGAACAGTATCTTTCAGGCGAGCGAAAGAGTCCAATAGGGGGGTAAAATACCGCGTTACAAGGCATCTTGCGACCCTCTCAGGGTCATGCCGTCAGATTATCGTGCTGCATCGCGGTTTGGATGATTCAGCGATGACAGTGAGGGTCGTCGCGCTATGGCCCATTTCCTAACGACGACGAGGTACATACCTCTAGCGGAAAATAGCGGCAGGAAAGACTTTTCGATTGAGCCGTGGTTCCACGGTGGAGACAGAGATCTTCATCTGAATGGAGCCTTCTGCTCGGAGAGGGCTGCTGAAACGGGTCTAGGCCGATTGATCCTTGCCGAGAGATTTGCAGCAGACCATCTCCGCGAACCGCTGGACTTTGGTGATGGCAGTGACTAACATCTGATGGACTTAGCGATGCGATGTTTCCATATAGCATCCCTCGGCCCAACAGAAAAAGGCAGCTTGAAGGGGGTCAATGCGCTGTATGGCTTGTTCCAAGGTACCGGTGCTTGTTAGACCGAGTAATGTTCGTGGCATAAGGCTGGATCAAATCGAATTTGGTGTAAGCGAGGCATAGGATACGATAAGGGTGTTTATCGTCTCAACGTTACATTTGGTGATGATGTACGGTAAACATACTGTATACAGCATGACGGAAGAGAAAGCGTGGTTCCTCGTTGGTTTCCTGGAAGTGGGCCCCGGGAATTTCTGGCTGCAAAGTGGATTTTCGTTTAACCGTCTCCATCTTCCGGAGCCCTTCGTCCATCCAGCAGGCGGCAAAGGGTACATGCGAAAACATCGACATTTCTGGTGGGTTATCCTTTCGGCACCCCACACGGAGCCAAGAGAGGGGGGTCCGGTGTCAGTGATAGGCATAGGCCATTGACGAGGTTGATGCGAGACTGCGACTCCGCGACTGGCAGGGTATTATTCGACAGCTGGATACCTTGACAAATTACACTGAGCAACTCCATGAGCAGGGCATCCTATAGTGTAGAATTTCCGTAGGTCTCCTCCACAGCGTGGCCTTTGAGTAACAGTAGCATGATCTCTGCCGAGGACTGTATCCCATGGACGCGGTTTGTGACATCGTTGTCGGGATATAGTAGCTCCACGTGAATGTGGTGAGCATTGCGTTTTGGGTGGTGACACCAAACGATACTCTCACACTCTGTGGCTGCCGCGTGCGTACGGCGTGCATCGCGCGGAGAAAGTGTGAGAGCGAACTTGGAACGCACAGGGGTTGTCGTCCAGTTCTAACTATATTACCCAGCACATATAGGCATTACATAAGAAACCGGTTGTGTTAAGATAAAGAGCAATGGGGACAATCTCGGTCTGCAGCTTACATGGAATATTGACGCGCAATCCCAGTTGGTGCCTTTTCTATTTCTAGTAGGAAGGTGAAATTGCCTTTCCTCTGAGTTGGTTTGGGTGGAGGGGGTGTTCGACTTTGGCCTCTTTGGTCACCGACAACGTATAACGTTCGAGTGGTTATATAATGTGTCGAACAGCTGAAACAACGTCCAGAACAGCATATCGACGTCATGTGGGAAGCGTGAGTGAGTTTGCCATGCTTATGCCAATTAGTACTGCGTAATTTGGTCAGATAGATGTATGTAGGTGATGTAGCGGTGGTGGCTTGCCTCTGGGTGCCATTGCTGCGAACGTTGTCTCGATCCAAGTTTCATCCGGAATTAAAGTGCGTATATCAGGGTCGACAATATCAAGACTTTGGACAAGGGCCTCCGGGCTGGAGACATTGGAGAGTCGTTAGTCAACATTCACTCTCTTAAAGTCCAAACCGAGACCCTGTCTGTCATTTGTGATTCGATGGCGTCTGGCGACTCGGATCAGTTGCCTTTGTGTAACTGGGAATTTTGCAGACACATCGATGGTTGCCGAAGTAGCTCAAGCCTCGAGACTGCCAGGCTGACATCCCGCAAGGACACCCCGTCGAGGAACTGGAGCTGGCAAGCACGGCACCGCAGCTTTGTCGCATTGATCATCCACCCTGTCGTTCTGGACATCGAAAGCTGGGGCATCAAGAGGATTTCAACTGTGGGCTTATTGTTCAGAATACAGTGGACTTGGCTGTCCTGGCCGTGTACACTACACAGTACTGCGTAGCTATGGTATCTTCTGATGGGCCGGGCCGTATGTGGATGTGCGGCGCTACAGTATTGGCATCCGTCCAGTCCACAAAGGCTCGCACGACGTTGTGATGCGGATAGGTAGGTAGCATCCGTCCCCGGGCAGATCTTGCAAGCTTCAGCTCTGGTCCCCTGACTTTGCCCAAAGCGTAATCGTGACTGTAACGTTCGCCAATGCACGGCACGGCAGCGCGGTTGCAGACCACAGTGGTAGCGGAGCGGGCAGCCACAGGCCAGTGCCAGACTGCCAGTGGGGTGTGGGAGTGGTGTACTGTGGAAGTAGCTCTGGTACCTACATAGCCAGCCAGCTAGGCTCCGTTCCCTTGGTGGTTCTCGTGGTGGAGGCTTCTCTTGGCTGGCGCTGGCCTTGCTACCTACGCAGTACCCAGCGAGCCCATGTGGTCTGTCATCCTCAACTGGAATGGCAGAGTGGTACCTGCCAGTGATGTTGTGTGCCGTAGCGTAGCATATGTACCCGGGTTTCTCTGGCGGTTTCTCGAGGCTTGTCCTGGTGTTGAGGTTGTCTCGCCAGAGGCCATGGTGCTTGTATCTAGTCGGGTGGATTCGACTGCTTTCAATTTTGCCCGCTCAACCACTGTCACCGGTAAGTATATTAGTTAACGATTGGCTCTCGCAAGAGTGATTGGGTGACAGGCGGCTTTAGCTCTGGGGGTCTGGCCCTGCCCGGTGCGGATACCTATCTTTAGTGCGAAGAAACACCTGAGGGAAAGTTACCTCGAAACATGAATCCTTGTGATCAAGACGGGAGGTCGGGGGGTCTGCAACTTGAAAAAGCAAAGGCTGGCTTTTGATCGTTGATCGCGGTGTTGATTGAGTGCTTGGCCGGTCTGCTGGTCTCCTGGTCTACCTAACCCTGACCCGCCGGTGTGCCTGGATTGAAACCGACGACTAAACCCACGGTGCGGCATCTGAATGATACGCTGGACGTTGGTCGCTGGAGAAAATGATTTGAGATCACCATCATTCCCAATTCCACAAGGTCTTGGCTTTGTGTGACGGGTGGTGCTAGGCTCGTTCGCTGGGCTCGTAGGGTTGGGGTTGGCCTGGAAAATAGAATGAGGACCGGAATCGGAGATGGCTCGCAATTCAACGAAGCGCTTGCGGTCATGAAATTTGAACGATTCCCTGCCCTGCCAAGTTGTGAGCTGCTAAAACGGCATGGGGCGGGTTTGTGAGCGTGAAATGGACTTGGTCCCTTCGGTGACTTTTCCATTGTGGGTGAAGTGAAATGGAGGGGAGCACGGGGCCTTTGCGGGAACCTTGGTCGCGCTTGCTGCGCTTCTTGCGGAACGGCACTACCAGAGCCGAGTAGCTTCCTTTTTCTGAGCACCGGTGGGCCTTGCGGAGAAGGCAAGAGCAATGCATGAGAAACCACTATTGAAATCCCGCCGCGGCCAGTAGGTATCGCGGCCGTCAAAGTGAGTGGAGAAAATCCGAATGGAATGACTGACCTTGTCCGGGAATTCAAGAAGGTATTTATTCCACACTATCATGCCTATTTTGCATCGGGTGACTAGTGAATCGAGGGTCGAGTGGTTGTTGACCACAAAGACCATTCGCTCAGGACATCAGCCCTTCCACTGTACGATCGGGATGAAGCGGTTGTGATATCAGGTATCTTGATATTGAGGTGATGGCGGGTCGGGAATCGCGCCAGCTCGTTTCTTTTTTGGGGGAGCAATATCGGGGCATTGCTTATATCATTAGCCATGGACACCTCGTAGGAGTCTCTCCAATTTCGGATACCTCACCCTCACATGGCAGGTCCCAAGTCCAGGCAGTTTGATGAGATACACACCCTCTAGAGCTGCGTCCTGTAGTATTTGACTGACTTGGAGACGGGTTAGTTCTATGGCCAGAAATCAAAGGAAAATGTAATGTCAGATGCCACTACTTACCAGTAACTTCACATGTAAAGGGATTGCGAATCGCGGAGCCGGGGTCGGATGCTCTTGGTGCGGAGGTGATGTATTGGCGTGCACGTCGGAGATTCTCAAGCTCCCTGGATGAGATTGCAACTCGACCATCGAAAGCTTGCATGTGCTTCATCTTCCTCTTCCACCAGTCTTGTCGTCTTCGATTGCCCGTGAATGGATGAGACCTGAGGTTGCGCAAGCGCACGCCTTCCCGCAATGGCCTTACCCCTCCTGCACCCTCCTCCTGTTCTTCCAAGTGGAACGCAGGCCCGCACGGGTTCCTATCCGCCGCAGCTCCTTTCAATACTCCAGCAAAGCATGATATCGATAGAAGACGATGGAGACTTGAAAACCTCCAGCTTCCACTTGGGCAGAGAAACTGGAGAGCAGATGGGGCCAGTTGGGCAAGCATGGAGATCGCCATGACAAACCGAAACCGAAATATCATGATTCCGATTGTGAAATGCCTTGTGCGTTCCTTCCAGTTTGGTGAACATTGAACATCGGTCGCGGTACGTACCTTCCTCCAGCTTTATCGGTACTGACTGTGTACCTACCCTCTGAGCTTCGTTCCTTCTCACCAACTGGAGATTTCTTTTGTGGCGATTGCCATCAGTTGTTGCTGATGATGCCCGCTGTGTGCCCCTCTCTCCCACCTGAACTTTCTAAACTTCCTTGTCAACAACCTCTGACAATTTTTCCACGTTCAAGCTGCCAGACTACAACCAACATCGAACTCGCAATTTTATTGAGCTGCTGTGTGCGGGTAGCAGCTTGATCCTCCTGCGCGTGGCGTGAGCCAAGGTGCCGACCTCGTCAATGATCTTCAGTCGGGGCGGGACATATCACGAATATTGGCACCTCTACGAGCGAGCGACGGCGCTTCGTTCCCCAACTGGGCAAGAGGCCTGATGAGCCGGGGTGCTTCATCGGGCACTTTTGAGGTGAGTTTTGCATAATGTTGTGCCTATCTGACAGTGCCCTTTGTTTTCTTTCAGATCTGATCTCGTCAGATTGTCGATTTTTCCCCCCTCTAGCCCCCTTTACCTCTCGCATTGAGGGCAGCGTCATAACCCGACGGGACCTTTGGGCTCATCAGCCTGAACGCCTGGAATCTCTCCCCAACGCTGCGGCCGAGAAGCCCGGAGGGCATGACTGCGTCCGATTCGGACCTCGGGCGCCGGGCAGCTATCTCGACTTTGAGATATGCGTAGGGCGCGACTCGAGGTTGTACGTACATATAAGCCGATGACGGCGACGGCCAGACAACCAGACATCTTCTCGGGACACCAGACAGCATAGGGGGTCTCTTATTGCCGAACGTCTGCCATTCCCAACCCGACCAAGAACCCAATGTCCTTGACCTGTAGGAATGCAAGCTCAACACACGCTCCGGAAAGCCAATACTACTACGTGCATATCTACACACACTCCAGCCGAGGAGATGCCAAGATGCGCAGATTGTGTCGCGATATGTGGATGAGCTCCCGTCGTGTCACCAACGCCAGATGCATAACTATCTGAGCTGCACCTCAACGTACGGCTCCTCGCCCACCATTCACACTCCTGTTCGTCAGGCCAGTGGCCAGTGGCAATCGAATACACTACAAGAAGAAAGATGTGCGGGAAGGGTGTCAATGCTGTCTGACTACATCACGGCGGCAGTGATGGTGGTTGATGGTCATTGCGCCCAAACAGGGGTCGTAGACGTGGTGTGTTCGATGGCTGCTGCGAGGCACACAAGTCGAAAAGCAAAAAGCAATGGACACTGGATGGCACGTCTCGTCCCGTCGACGCCGTCCTTGCGTTGGATGGCTACTTTCGCAGTACCTGCCGACAAAAAGCTACCTGCCTCCATCACGGACCCCCCCTTCGGCCCCTCTCACCCCCTGATCCAGGCACAACCCTACCAGGCCCCCATCACCCCTTGAGCCCTTGAGCACCCCTACCCTACCGCCCCTTTCGGGAATGTCGTCAAGCGGCGCCGTTTTCCCTACCTCCGCATTTCACTGCCCTGCGAACCGAACCGCAAGCCAAAACCGCACTATGCTGGATGTACACTGACAGTACCTTTCCCAGTCCTTGCCAGATCGGCCCACCCATCAGAGGAAGGCCGCGACCGTTCAAGTGCCTTGTCAGGTTACTCTGCCGAGACTCGAACACATCGGGGTATTTTACCCGTACCCTATCGGCCACCTATCGCACAACTCGAGGGAATCGAGGCAGCAGGACGAAAAAGAACAAGCTCGCTCGGCCGCCATCCAGTTGCCATTCAGTTGTCAAAGCTGTCAACATAAGAGAACGACGAATGAAACCAGCGATGCTCCTAATCGCGCAAGGCGACCAAAGCCCAACACATCCGGCCGGTTATGTTCGAGGTCGCACAATTGTGCTTTCATGGTCTGATTTATCCCTTATGTCCTGGTACTTTTTTTCCTTCTTCACGTCGATAGTGTCAAACGAATCACATACAGGGCCTCTGTGTTTCCTCTCCCTTGAGATACGGAGTGGCCCGTAGACCCGCTGGGAAGGCTGCGCAAGACAGAAAGGATGTTTCGGCTGCCGCGGTCCTGCTTCACGTTATGATAGCACGGCCGGCCCCCATATCCTCATCTGGCCTCGGCTCCGTCAACAGCTTGTCAGGAGCAGGGCCAGGAGCAAGTCTCCAACCCGCTTTACGCCAGTACAGTGTACAAATTTGGGTTCGTCTGGAACCACCAGTCCACTTGTGAGGATGAGATGATGCATCCACAGTTTTGGTCAAAGCTCCTATATAACGACCGTTGATATTGCTTCTCTCTATGCCTCCTTTGGATCGCGGCCGTGCTGTTGTTCGGTGCTCAACCCGGCCAGGTGATTGACAAAAATCACCGAACATGCTCTGTGTGTTGAGTCAACCACCTCCGGCCAAGTTGGCTAACCAGGTTCTGCGATAGGAAAAGGTCAGACTGGAAGCAGGGGTTCCATAAATTTTCTGTCCTCTTTCCGCAGCCGAGCGTGCTGGGCCAAAGATGCTGGGGGCCTGGGTTGCTGGGGGGGACTGGGAGAGGGGCCGTATTGGCCCCTCCAAACACTCCGCCGTGGACCCTGGTCAAATGGCAATCTCATGAACCAAATTTTTCTCTGCCTCTTGAGCCCTTCCCCCCGTGCCCCCTCACAGTCAGTCATTCAACTCAATCCGCTCTGCTTGGAAACCACAGAAAGAGGGGATCCTCTAGCAGCATGCGAGTTTCTTGCCCAACGGTCTTCTAGAAATTGCGGGCCTCTTAGATTCACTTCTGCCCAAAGATGTTCGGAGAATCATGTATTGCTAAAATCATTCGCCCTGGTCCATCACTTACACAATGTTTTGACTGGGCCATTGTTACGCTTGACCCTGGATTGGCCAAAGGAACTCTGTGTGAAGCCAGTGGAGACGGGCCGAGGGGCGGCGACAAGGGTCGGCGGTTCCTCTGGGTGACGAGCCGGAGACGGGCGAAAGTGCACTCACACCTGTTCATCCTCTTCTCTGATCGCCTGGGATGTTTGGCCAGATGTTCCTTCAGCGTCTTTATTCCACACCCCCATGCCGTTATTGCTACGAGGTCTGTTCCTCTTCGAGCTAGTCCATGTTCCAGAGGCCCCCTCCACCGTTTTCAGAGCAGCCAAACCTCGAAACTAGCGTGCCACTGTTTTTGGTCCTTCCTTCTACCCCTCCGCTCTGCCGGACGGGGAAGAAGGGGCATGAAGCGGACGGGAATGGCAGTTGCTCGAGTGGTGTGTCTCCGTACAGTAGCTTGAATTCACTACCTGACAAATTCTTTGCGTCAGGGGGATCAAAACCATCATCACCCAGACATCACTCTTCATGGCACCAAGGGTCAGACTGCTTCATCCTCTTCATTTACTCTCCTTGTGTCGGATACGATGCCGAAGTCATTCATGGGCTCTGTCATCAGCAACAGTCTGTGTCGGGCATAACGAGAGCTTTGGTGCTCATTTCCCAGTGGATTAAGACCCAGAGCATAACACTGTCTGCTATGAAGAATCAGAGGGAAGAGATCGATCCTGAGCTCGAACTCTTTTCTGTGGGCTAAATGGGCCGTTAGCTCTTGATATCATACCCCATCTTGACTAGCAAGGGTCGCGGCCCTGCCTGCCAGATCGTCTCGTTTTCCCTCAACCTCCTTCCCTGTACGGTTGGATCGTTTCTGCAAGTGCGAGAGTGTTAGAAACAATCCCCTACCAACCCACCCTCGTGAAAGCCGCTAACTTTTTGGTCTTGTCCGTACCCCCTGTAGCTCCCGGGACAGTGCCGAAGTTAACCCTCCTCTCATAACCGTCCTCTTGACCATTGGTGGCACTTGGCTTGATACAAGTACATACATATGTACACCACCGCGCTCTTCTACGACTTCATTCTTTCGTTATCCGATCCTCCTGTCGTTTCTTCTGTATTCCTAAACAACTAAGACGGCTTCTCTTTCGATCTCTCCTATAAGCATCTACTTTGGTGCTCTACTCTTTCGCCCCACAACGCACGAGGAGGAGTAAAGACTACAAGGCAAAACTTTCCTCCAGCCTAAGCGACTCGAAGGTCCTTTCTGTTAAGGAAACCTTCGGGCAACCTTTGGAGTAGTGACAGCTGCCCATGTCAGCGACAGCAACATACACGGTCAGTATGGCAGAGTTGAGAGCTGAGACTCAGCACGGAGGCATCTGGCCCAACTACGGGAATCCGGTGCAGATGAATACTGGTCGGTATAACACTCAAGAGTCTTCGGTACCAGTAGGATCGACGGCATCTTCACATCTCGTACGCCCTCGCAGTCGTCAACACACAATTGACTACCACAACGCACCATACCATCATGGACGGCCTGCTCAGGAGGAAGGCGATGGCTACGAGAGATATCCACACCCTTCGTTGATGAACATCCCCAGCATCACCACAGGCATGAAGCGCAGCTACTCCCAGGTCGACCAAGCCCCCTACACGGAAATGGTCCAAGATCTCCGCGATGACTATAAGCCGGCCATGAATCACGACCAGAAGTTGCTCTCATTCAAGAAGGTTGGCGACAAACATACCATCGTCGATCACAAAGGGCGGATTCACGAAATCGAAATCGAAGCTCAACTTCACGGCATGTTCTTTCTGTCGGAATTTCCTTCGCCTGGCGACGGCAATGTCTTGAACGCCGAGTTGACTTGCTACCGCCGCAACCTGTTCCAAATTAGTGGCAATATTTGCTTTCCTCAAATACCGTTGTCCGTCATGCTAGAAACGGGCGAGACCAGCCAGATCAAGAACATGGAAGTCACCATCTCGGCAATCGAATCCGTCGACGGCCACCCTGTGCGCCTGATCGTCATTCCCTGGAAGACGCCCCCACCCAACTCACCAGAAGTCAACCAAGCTCCCGATCAAGAACCTCCGTCACTCCCTCTGATTCCCTGGTCCGAAGAGGAGGAAGACAATGGAGGAGATCACTACGCTATCTATCCTATCGGGTGGCGTCGACTTCAATTTAGGATGTAAGCACCACTTCAAAATCACCACTCGACTTCGCTATGTTCAGTAAGCTAATGAGTTCCTTTCTAGCGCAACGGCCAACAACGGTAGACGGAAGGAACTCCAGCAACACTTCGTTCTACACTTGAAGCTTCATGGAACCCTGGCGAATGGTACGAAACTCGTGCTTTCGGAGCTTACCACTGCGCCGATTGTTGTCCGAGGAAGAAGCCCGCGGAACTTCCAGGCGAGAAAGGAGATCCCGCTGTTGGGATCTAGCGCTGGTTCAAGAGGACAGACACTAGTGGAAACCGGTCACTCAATCGTTGCGCAAGCTGTCGCGCTCAACAAGCCTCCCTATGATTCGAGACCCCGTGTCTCGAGCATGGACTTGCCCAGAACAGCGTTCACTTTCACGTCTGCGAAGCAGATGCCCCAGAGTCCTATGCAAATGCGTTCGAAGTAAGTCAAAAAAATTTCAAGATACGGAAGAGTGGCATATTCAAAGCAGTGATGCCAGTTTCGCTAGGATCCTGACTTGAAGGAAGAAAACGATCCGCGATGCTAACATAGGTCAGCAGTTCTTACCCAACGAGTTGGAACCCATCTAGTCAAGTGTCGATGCCACACAACCCAGGATCGACCTCTTACCCGACAACATCGATGGCCGGCCCCGAGCCCTATCCTAAAATGCCCCTCTCTGGAGCGTCCAACTACACGGCCGAACCCCAAGAAATGCCTATCCAGCAGACCTCCATGCCTTCTATGCAACTGTCTCTGGGAGCCCAAGACCAACAACCGTCGGCCCCTGTCCGAACACAATACGCAACTTACGCATCGGCACCTCCGCCGCATCTTTCGTTGCCGAGCACGGCGGACAGCTCGCTTAACGTGCCGCGCTATGTGGACAGCAACCCCCGTCCTTCAAAGAGCCCTCGCCACGGTAGCCATGGCTCACTCACGAACGAGACGGCCTCTGGGGAGTACCGCTATGGTCCCCCTTCGTACCTTGGCAACAGCTCGAGCGATATCAGTTCCCAATCGCAACATCATCCGCCTGCGTCAGGTGCAGGAGCAGGAGCAGGCGGGGCGCCGTCGGGCGCTTACGGTACACCATCTCAAGAAGGAGGTGCTTCTGCCCCGTCGTCTGCGCCTACGAGTGCGGCTCCGCCGCGGGATTACTTCCCCCCATCTCAGTCCTGGACCAGCACTGCGGGTGAGGGGCAGACTTCGTCGTACTCCAACGGAGGTGACAGGTCCTACTCCTTCCCTACAGGTGTGAAAACCGAGCCACACTCGCAGCCTCCGCACTCGGGTGCAGCCGTGCCAGGCGTGTATGGCAACAACCACTATGCTTGGAATGCCACATAAGGAGAGGAAATGAGTTTGGATTCATGACTGAAATACCAGGCTGCTAGTTGCGTTTAAGGGCATGTTCTAGCGTGCTATTTCCCTAGGCTGATGATAACGAGGAGATGATGGCGTCATAAATGGTAACCTTTGCTTGAATGTCAAGCTTGAAAAGGGGTGGCGGTAAAACAGTGGTGGATATTTGGTGTCTTAATCCCATTCAAGATGGGCTAATCAACGACACTGTGGAAGATTTGCAGCTCGGCATTTTCAACATGCCGGTGACCCGCCTGGAAACAACGCACTGCCCGGTTGGCGGGATGCGCCTGGCGTCAGAAGAGAAGTCGAGAAAGCATAGGGAACAAAAAGGAGTCTGTATGTCTCCAAGACGGCGGAGGCAGTTTGATTTCTTGTTGGAGGTCCAAAATACCTTTTTCTTTGCGGTTCTGTGTTCCTCATTTAGGAACTCTGTTATTCTATATCCGTACATACGCATACACGTCAATGTACAATTTTCATGTATTTCTGTTGCGGGCGGCGATTCGGCTTCACCACTGACTGCATGATATATATTCTGAAGGGATTTCATTTGTCATTGTCTTCGGTTCTTGTTGCGCATTTTCAACGTTTAATCGATACCATCCAAATATCACAATGAGCATTACCTCTCAGAACGATCTGCCTGTGTTTGTATGATCAATATGGTGAATATCTGCGCAAGAAACCAAGTAACTGACGGCGCCTTTCCTGAGTGCTACAAACCCCCTTTCATGTGCATTTCCGTACACCCACTGACTGATGCCCACCCAGCCTTAGCCAGCGTAGGTAATCCCAGTCTCACTTTGCGGAGTGAATACATCATTCAGGATCATCATGTCACGCTCACACGGCACTCGCTCATGCTGTGTCTCTCCAAGTTCAGGGCATTCCCCCCCCACGTGGTCACCCCTTGGTCGCAGCTATAATGGTTGTTAGGTATACCGAACTTTCACGATAATGGTCGGTCTCTAGGTGGACATGGAAGTCACAGGCAAAGTACTAAAGGAAGATTAGGTATACAGGCTCGGTGAGAAGTTCGGCGACGAAACCCAGAAAACATGAGACATGAACTCGTGTGACTAGGGCACTAGATATATCCCCTTCATCAATTTCTCTCGTCTCCGTTTTTACAATTTGCTCGGTCTGTCATTTCCCTCTGGAAAGGAGGAGTACACGAACGAGATAGGCTCGAAGACCCAACCCAACCCAGCCAACCTCCCTTTTTTTTTTCTACTTCTTCTCTGCGGCATCCCATCGAATCGAGTTTGTAGGTACCTACCAACTTGAGAGGTGAGATATGTAGTCAATATCGCATCTCACGTCCCACAGCTTCTTGTCCACAACTTCTCTGCAAGAAACTCGCCGCCACCACTAGAAAGTCAGCAGATACTTGGCTGGTTTTGTGTATGTATGTATGTATACAAGTTTACCTTGATCACTACTGACATCGAGAACGAGCATTACGTACCTTTAGCTGATCTGGCAGGTGTTACTTCTACCCGAAATACCTACTACATACCTCTACCTACCTACCTACCTACCTACCTACCTACCTACCTACCTACCTACCTAAGGATGGGGAGATAGGCATCCAGGCCCGGCTTACTTGTATGCTATACATAACACATCAAGTCCAAGTTCAAGTTCAACACCTGCCGGTGTTACTGTCGTGCTCCGTCAGGCTCCCACCCTTCAAGAACCCCCCCGGACCCCCCGGATTTTATCAGGCAGGTAAGTAGGTAGCGTAGGTCCTACATACATGATGAAATGCTGTGTCACCAACCTCTCCCAACCTTCCCACCGACTGACTTACTTGGACAGAAAACGACGATACATGGCGGATACCTTGGAGCTTTACTATGGGGAGATGGATGGCTTTTTCGGATTTCCATTTTTAGTAGGGGCGCCGTTGTGTAAACCCGTTGTTCCGTTTTGTCTCGTCTCAAACGCTTGTTACGTTCTGTAGACTGTATCGGTACCCGGGATCGTGTGTTGAGTCTGGTCTTTGACGACGGACTTCTTGTTTGATGAATTTGTCTGTACAGTGAGACAAAAAAGATGACAAGCAGATAGATGGTGATGGGTGGATAAAAATGCTCCGGCCGGCTGCCTGTTACTTTTTTTTCTAGGGACCGGATCTCATCTACATCTTTTCATCTGCTGCCCTTGATCACGATGGGCACACAGTGTTTATATGAGACGGCTAAGGTGGTGGAAAGGGTGTGTAATGGTCACCATGGTTTGTATTTGAACCGCTCTCCTAGGAGGACAGATAGTCTCAGGACGTCATGATGAGACATTCGTAGAAGAAGCACCACCGGTGATCCAGTGGAAGTCGCTGCGCTTTCGACGGCAGCTTCCGGTTCTGGGGTCGCGCACGGAGATAAATCGGTTCGAGAGAGACGTAAAATATTCCGAGACGAAGGTGTGCAGAGTATGGCGTCTCGAGACAGCACGTGGAAATAACATGCCGGGAAATCATATGAAGGCAGAAGGGGGTCTCTCAATTGCAAGTTGGAAATGGGCAAAATGTTTGAATGTTGACAGAGGTTGGACAGACGCCGCGGCCTCGAAGTCAAGAACAGTGGTAGCAGACAGCTGTCAGTCGGGTGGCAGCCCGGCTCACCTGGCAACCTGGCAGCTGGCAAGGACCTTGCCAAGTGCGAACCTCCACAACCGCCCGGTGCACGGCGACGACGAGATGCAATCCATGTCGCGCGCCTGCGTTTCCTGATTCTCAACACCAATTCGCTCGTTCGTGACAATTGGTTTGGTGGATTGTGATTGCACGGCCTCATTTACTTACGCCCCTTATTTTGTGACCGCAGTTGCATCACACGGACCTGCCAGCTAGCTCTTCAACACCACCGGACCTCGTTGAAAAATTCTTCCATTCACATAATCGTTCATCAGTGGCACAAAATCTCGGCTCACAAAAAGGCCAACCACATAATTTCACATCACACGAGGCTTCTCAACCCTTGAAAGAAATTCAGGCAAAGAAAAATGTTTGAGATACCCGACGCAAAGCGGTCAGTTTCCCCCCCCCCCCCCCCCCCCCAAAAGCCTTCTCGTATCCAATATCTGCACCAGACAGGTCACCCCAAACCTGTCACGGTACACACAATACCTATGTACAGAACTTTTTACTGACCTGTGAAAACAGAGTACGAAGAGATGAGCTCTTCGGCTCAGGGGCCTCCGATCGTGGCTCCAGTCCGGACACAGCGGACGAAGCGGAAACGGAAGCCAAGGCTCAGCTCCTCAACGCCAAACTCTCCAGTCTGCTTTCATTGAAGTTTGAGTTTGACGACGGTGCGGCGGATGACGATGAGGCCACTGCTGCTGCTAAGGAGCCCACAAAAGCTCCGTCCAAGCAACCTGAAGTGACCAAGAAGGAGGAGAAGACCCAGAAGAAGAAGAAGGAGACAAAGCAAACAAGTCAAGGCGACGACGACTCCTCGACCTCGTCCTCGGATGATGATGACAGTGACGAAGAGGACACACAAATGCAAGACCAGCCACCACAAGAAGAAGAGGAAGAAGCCGCCGAATTCGAGTTCCGGCTCTTCTCCACATCAGCTCCTCAAAAGATCGTCCTCCCTTCCAAAGAAGAAGAGGAAGGCGCAGGCGAAACGGTCATCGCAGACCGGCCTATATCTTACTACATACGCGGCGAGCTCACGTCCGAGCAGCAAGAGCAGTTCCGGGCCGCGGCCGTGACCAGCCAAGACATCCTGAACTGGGCCAAGCAGCGGGCATGGGGACTTGAGGTGCCGTGGAGGGTGAAGAAGATTGTTGTGACAGTGAAAGGGAAGAAGGGGGAAGCGGCAGCGGCAGCAACCCACCAGCATGGCCAGCCGGTGGTCACGGGGACCGAAGTCCAACAACAACAAGAGGGTGGGGGTGAACAGCAGAAAAAGAAGAAGAAGCGACTGGGAAAGAAGGGGAGGATTGCCATGAGGATCAAGGAAAAGGCGAGGAAGGAGAAGGAGGAGGCGGAGCAGAAGCAAAAGATGACCAAGGAGGAACACCTGAAGGAGAAGAAGAAGCGGTTGAATAGGGAGAAGAAGCTGAAGAGGAGACTGAAGGAGAAGGAGAAGAAGATGGCGGGCAAGGCGGGAAGTTCGGTTGGTGATGCTATGTCTGCGGTGGGGCAGGATTCGGATTCGGAGTAGGAGGAGGTGGATAAGATGGTTGAGTGAGCGATTCGTGGCCAAGTGGCGATGAGTTTGTAATTGTTGTTTGTGATGACGGGATACTGGGGTGGTTAAGGGGGTTGCGGGCCATAGTTACGAGGCGGATAGGTCACTACTTTTGTACAAAGTTCTGAGGTGATGACGGCCTTTTGTAAACAAACCCCTGAAGCTCTATGGCAATTCTCTCGTCATGGTACTGCACCGGTTCGTCAGAGGAATTTGGGTCAACTTTGTCGCAATGAATGTACAAACCCAAAACGTCAGGTTTGCCTCCTCTTGAGCAAAGCACGTCATGAAGATAATTCATGACGGTTTTGGGCATGTTCCATGAGCTCCATCCAGATGTTGCTAGACAACGAAGGGCAAAAGCACTGATATTCCTCCCCTACAATCCCGTCGCGCTGTAATCTGGCCAATCATAGGCGGCAGGCGGTAACGCTACCCGACGTCAAGCTACCTAGCGCGGCAGGAACGCGGCAAGCTCTCCGTATCAGCTCTTCTCACTGTAGCAACTGCATTGCATCCACCACTTGAGCACAAGGAAAGAACATCTTGAATTGAATTCCACCCCAAAAGATCATCTTGACATGTTTTCTTATTGATATTCTCGGCCAGCATCAACGGTATAGCATCTTCAACAAACATGAGGTAGCCCTATCGACAAATCACGACGACCATTGACCCCTGAAACGACCCCGAATTCTTCAGTTTAGCGGTCTTGTCACTGGCACTCGCAGTTGCAGCCATCTGCCCCACCAATACCATCCACCCTCCATGACCATCATGAACGCGCTCTGGTCTAGAAGCACCTCCTCCTCTGGCGACAGCGCAGAGAAAAGCGCCAAACCGACCAGCGATGCAGTGAGCACCACTTCCGAACAAGTGGCCGATCTCTCGGAGAGACCAAATGCGCCAGCCCTACCAGCTCGCCCGGCCCTCCAGAGGAATCAGCCTTCGGCCCCTCCTCCAGCAGCCCCGTCGAACCCTCCGCCGCCAGTTCCCTCCGGTGCTGGCTCCGGCAACGCCAACAATGCGTCAGCACAACCTCAGGATTCCCTGTCTTTAGCCCAGCTACGTCGGATCGTTGCCGAGTTCCCCAAGTCCGAGCCGATCGCCTACGACTATGTCTACACGGATATGGGCCCCATCGAGGAGGAGGTGGACGAGTGGTTCCTCTATAACTTCTGGCAATGGGTGCGGTTGAACAACGCCAACCGGGCCTTTGACAGCGCCTGGGTCAAGATGTACGGGGAAGACGAGACTTGGGACACTGTCGACGACGATGACAGGGAGAAGTTTGTGCGGAACGCCGTTGAACAATTACAGGTGTCAACCGACAGGGAGGCCCGCGCCGAGGCTATCGGTACGCTCATATACATAGTGCTGGGACGTTGGGCCGAGACTGTCAAGGCAGCGAGTCTGCCCAACCTTGCGGACCACAAGGTCAAGTCCGCCGCCACCAAGGAGCAGCTGGATGCCATGAAGGCGGGTGTCAAGCTGCTCGCCAAGTGTGGCGGCATCCCTCCCATGTGGGATGCCCTGAGGACGGCCTTTGAGCCGTTCTGGGCAGACGATGGAGATGTTGGCCAGATAGTGCAAGCCTATGCTGAGGAGCTGATGCATCTGATGACCATCCTGTATATCTCCTTGCAGACGACGCTAGACGACCCTGAGGATATGGCCTTGGCCCGCAAAGAACTACGTACGAAGTCCCTTCCAACATATGGCGCTCTGTTGAGTTGCTAACATATGACAGTTGCGCTCAACCCGAACCTGGTTCACTTCATGTTGCACGCCACGGCAAAACTTCGATGGGACGACAGGAACATTCTCCCCCAAACCCAGGTCGGTTCAACTACCTTTGGAATCCCGGTCGCGGCCAACCAACATCGAATGCTCATGAGTTCCCAGGTTTTTCTTTTGTTCTGGAAGTCATTGCTCCTCGTTTTCGGCGGCTCCAAACACATCGCCGAGGCCAAAAAGGCTACGGCAGAGACACTATCCGACGTTAAGGACAAGGAAATCATCACTGCTTCTCCGCTCGACTACCATGTGTTCCGGCAAGAGATCACATCCAAATACCCGTCATATATCCCGCCCCAATGTGCCATTCCACTCGAGGCAGAGCAGACGTCAATCCTTCCTCCGCTACCTAACCACCCAACCAGGAACAATGGACAAAACGGTATCCTTCCCGGCCCACCAAACCAGAGCGCCTCCGCCTCAATTCTCCATCAACCGGTTCATATCGCGACTCCTGCACCTTCCCCTCCTCCGAGCCCGGGTGTTGGTGGAAAAGGCGGTAAGAAGCAAAACTACCAGACTAACCAAAACTTTCCGTTCATGTATCCACCTCTGGATGCCACGAGCAACAGCGCTGGCGGAAAGGGAGGCGCCGGCCTACAGGACCTGCTGGTAGGCAGGAAGTGGGAGGGAAGCGACGTTCCCGCCTCCATCATCGAAGCTGGCGAGCTATTCTCGACGCGAACCAGGATGACACGAGCTACCAGGCAACTCTGGGAAGAGCGCGAGAGATTTCTCAAGTCTGAGCGCGGGTGGGAAGGCGTCGATGAGGATCTCATTGACGAACTCGATCTTTCTGAACTTACACTTGAGGAGAAGGAGGAGCTGGGCTTACTGAAGGAGGGCGAGAAGGAGAAAGGGAAGCTTGGCCACGAAATCGACTTGGGACCCCGGCCTGTGGATGATGACATCAAGCATCGTCTTGAGGCCGTCGAGGAGTTTTATGTAGGTCTTGAGCAGTGATGCTTTTCGTCTCACGTCACATACTGACTCTATTACTCCCTACAGAAAGAGGCTCTCCCTCATCTGCAGTCACTAGTTATTGTACTGCTGAAGGCGATTGTTGCTATTGCCAGCAGTCTAGTTCAGCCACAACCCGGACAGCAAAATCCTGGCCCGCAGAACAATGGACGAGTTGGCGGGGGACCGCCCCAGGGTCGGGGTCAAAATAACGGCAACAATGCTGGCAACGACCCTCCCTCCCCCTCGGATGACAATGTCGATGAGGCCAGGAGCAGAGAGATCGCGGCGAAGGCGGTGACGGGTATCATGATCCTGTTGTTGAAGTGGCTAAAGCTGTCACGTAAGTTGATTATACGACCAAGACAAGTATGAATGCATCGCTGACAACCGAGTGTCCAGATATTCTCAAGTTCGAGTACTTCACACAGCTACTTTTGGACTCTAATTATCTTCCTCTAGTACTGAAGCTGTTTGCTCTGCATGATGTGCAGCAGGTGGTTGAGAGCAAGACCGACCGGATAGAACACAGGTGAGATTGCTTCGTCTCCTTCGGAATATTACCTCCAGAATACCAGTTACTAACTCATAATGACCAGTTTCTTCTACTTCTGCGGTTCCCGTGCCGGCGCAATTCCTCAGCAGGGTCTTATCAACCCAACCGCAACCGACTTCGAAGACGTTGACGTGAGCGAAGACGAAGCGGCCCCGCCCGCCATCAAGAGAAACCGTTCACCCCCTAGCGCAGGAAAGGGAGGACCACCCGATGCTTCTTCCCAATTCACATCCCCTCAATCAACCCAGCAGCAACAACAACAGCTAGAAAACTCCGGCGTCCCCAGCCGCCCCGAGGTCGACGAGCTCGGCTACCCCGTCAACCCGCTCCCGAAAGAACCCATCACCGACTTCTCCCGGCGCAACTTCTTCTCCCTGATCAACTACCTGCGCGTGATGCAAAAGATCTGCAAGCATAAAGCCCACCGCAACCTCCTTTTGGTGCACTACAAGTCGTCCAACATCCTGCGCAAATCCCTCAAAGTGCCCCAGCAGGAACTCCGCCTGCACACGCTCAAGCTCTTCAAGAACCAGGTCCCCTACTGCGGCCGCAAGTGGCGCCAGTCCAACATGCGCGTCATCACCGCCATCTACCTGCACTGCCGCCCCGAGCTGCGCGACGAGTGGCTGTCGGGCTCAGACGTCGACGCCGAGGTCGAGGAGGCGCTGCCGCTCGAGCAGGCGCTCAGGAGCCTGACGCACTGGTTTAACGTGCAGCGGTATCCGGAAAGGATGGGCGCCGAGGTGACGGCGGCCATGAGGGAGGAGAGAGATTTCTTTACGCGGGAGCTGGAGAAGAGTGATTGGATGGGGTGGGAGGGGATCATGGCTGGAGGAGGCATGGGGATGGATGGTGCTGGTGGTCCTGAGCCGATGATGGGGATGCCGGGTATGGGTGGTATGGGGATGATGCCCGGAATGGGAATGGGAATCGGTGCAATGCCCGGGATGGGCGGCATGGCGGGGATTGAGTATGCGGCTGCGGCGGCGGCGGCGCAGACGGAGCATGAGAGCTCGATGGGGTGGAGTTAGGACTGCACTTGCTGTTCTTAGTGAAGTTATGGTTGATTTCAAGGAATCCGGTAAAGCACTTGATCCTGATGCTATCATGCGTGAAGCTTCGTCGCGCATGGATCCGCTGAGAGCCTTGGACGCGCTCCTGTCGCTCAACCAGATGGAGGAAGGGTTACGGATTTGGCTAAGGGGGCGAAGATGGCGGATCTGTTTTCGAGATTTGATGGTGTGTGTGAATGAGTAAATGAATTAGATGCAACGAGGATGCCATCCATCCTGCAGCGTTCTCCCAACATTTCTAGGTATTCAGCGGAACTAGTAATGGGAAATAGTTGTAACATCAGTCGCGTTTGGCTATTATTATTATCTTCTCTATTTGATCAGACAGACAGAAAGCCGGACTGGACGGACGGAGTAACTTTGATCAACTTGCATCGAGACTCAAGTCCATAACTTAAATGTTATTCCAAGCCAGCTACATATATCTGAAACTGGCGGGTGGAGCGCCCTCTGTAACGTGGAAATATGATCCTGCCCCTTTCCGTGACGTCTGGAGAGCGCTTTGTAGGTATCATCCATAACAGCAAATACAATCTCATCAAGTTATCTCCTGTTTTCTTTCTTATGTGAAAGAAATCTTCAGAATGCACTCGTCATTTCCCCCGTATTCAAAGTAAAGAAAGGGGTATATCAAAAGAACAACAACAACAATAACAACAACAGTAAACAGGTAATGTAACCAAGAAGTTCGAACACAAGAAAAGACCAAACAAAGGTCCAGTGAGCTTTTTTTATCTAAAATTTTGTTCTTTCTTCTTTCTGAGGGGGGGTATCCAAGATATTGATATTGTTCACCACGTAATACTCGTAGTCCTTGTCTTCAAATCCATCTGACCGTTGCGCAACCCTCTCGTGCCGAGCTGGACCGTAGCCGTCCGCTTGTGCAGGTCAAACTGCACCGCCCTCACCATCACGCGGCGTTCCTCCGGAATGATGACCTTTGGCGGCGGCGGCGCCAACTGCTGCTGCTGCTGCTGTGTTGGCCAAATGTAGTGAGTGCTGCTGCTCCTCCCGGCAGTAGTAGTAGTAGTGCTGGTGCTGGAGCTGGAACTTCCCGTCCGCCTTCCCCATCTCGTCGAATTCCTCCCATTCATACTTCCGTTACTATCAGACCGAACCACTCCGGATTCACTTGCTGCTGCACCACCATCCATGTTCTCCACCACCACGGCAGCCTCATCCATAGCACCCATACCCATACCCATAGACATAGACATAGACATAGACATCTGCGAATAGCTCGCCACGGGACTACTACCCGGCGTGACGATCATGCTGAAATCATCCGACTCCTCAATCTCCGTGATCCACATGCCGATCCGGGCCGTCAGCTCGCTATCCCACATGGCCTCTCTCCGAGCACTACTGCGGAGGAGCTGGATAGCCTGCCTTCGGATCACGGGGTCGCGGCACTTGGTCGCCACCACAAACAGCGGCGGCACTATCCCGAGGTCGGCACTGAAGCTCGGCTTGATATGCCGGGCCGCATACTCATGCCCACCAAAGATGTCTCGCGCTAGTGCGTAGCTGTTGTTGTGGCCATGGCCGTGCCGGCAGAAATCAGGATCCGGGCAGCGCTTGGCGGCTGCCCGCCGCTCTTCGTCGCCGACTACTTCCAGGGCTAGGTCGACGATGGCCTTGAAGTAGCTGTTGAAGTTGTCGAACTGCATCTCGCTGGCGTTGAAGGTCATCAGAAAGAGGACCAAAGCCATGATCTGGGACATTTTTAGGACGGCGATGGCGGCCTTTTCCTGGCTGGTCACGCCGGGCGCTGTTCGCGACTGGAGGATGGGCTCGAAGGCTTCTGACCAGGCGTCGAGATCCTGCTTGAAGCTGAGGCCGTATCGCTTGAGGTTGGGAGGTAACAGCCCCATGGGGCCGTTCGGTACGTGCTTGAACATGGTCTCGGTGAACTTGAAGATGCGCTCGCATAGCTTGTCCCATGCGACACGAGCCTCTATTACGGAAGCAAAGCGGTCGGGAATGGGTTCTTGGAACTGAGAGCCGGGCGAGCTGGCATCGGAAGCTGGTGATGAGGGGTCCTGCTCGGTCGGTGTCAAGCGCACAACGTACGGTTGCGGGAAGTGGAAAGCCATGTCGTAGGACTTGGCTTGGATCGCCAACCTGGTGAACATCTGGATCAGCTCGTCTTCCACGGGCTCGCCCGGCTGGGTAATGAAGGCCCGCCTCCTCTCGGCACGCAGCTTCTCGAGCAACTGAAGTCCTGTCTGGATCTGGAAAATAGCTTGTTTGTGGTCGCCAACGAACGAGTCGAAGCATGCTAGCAGCACGCTTGCCATGAGTCTTGTCCGGTTGGACATGGGATCTGCCGTATTTAAGAGCGAGCGGATGGCCTCGTGGTATTTCTCCAGAGCCATTCGGAAATGCGTCATAGCAAGGTCGGTGGGATCTCGATCGCTGGCTGGAGAGCCCGGCGGCGACTCACACGTCTTCTCCAAAGTCTTGTACAGAGCGCCTAATGCCACCACGGCATGGCGGATCGTCGGTTCCGAGTGGCATTCTTGTAGGACAGTTCGCGACCAGAAACCAGAATCGAAAAATCCCGAAAGCTCGTTGGCAGTGTGTTCGCGGAACAACTGAAAATACAAGCCCTCCCTGTCGGTAAATGGCACGTTCGCGGTCGGCGCTCGGTGGAGTATTACGGCAGTGGCGGCAGACTCTTGTGGTGGTGTTTCCGGAGGTGTGTTCAATCGTCTTTGGTACTTGACAACTCGGCGGGGGACAAGCCGAATGGGAGCATCGCGGCCAGGAAGAGGTGTCGCTGCTGCCAGTAGTGGTTTCGGCGCGATCCTGATTTCTTCGAATGGCCTCGCGCTCCGAGGCGGAGGTGGGTAACCGGTGCATTCCTTCCTGGAACGGACACAGTTGGAACATGCCGGCCGCTTTTCATCGCATTTGATTCTCCGCAACCTGGCCGTGAAAGGCTTGTTAGCATCTCATCCATGCTTTCAAGCTGCCATCCGTATCCCCTTTCCATCCCAACTTCCGACACCCGTAATGCACTGTACGTACTTGCAGTTGCTGCAACCAGTCTTGACTTTTGGTTTGCTCGTCCTCGCCCGCTTTGGCCTTTGCGAAGTGTCAATTGCCGTGCCGTTCATGGCTGATATTGCGATCATGTCGGAGGAGAGACTAGAAAGTTGAGGAGAGTGGCCAAGTTCCGGTGATGATGACATGAAGCCGGCGTTTAGTCGTCGATCTCTTGAAGTTGATTGGAGCTATTTGGTTTCGGTCTGGGGTGAAAGCATGTGTCAAATAGCGGCATCGCCGTCGTTGAAGACTCGAAGAAACAGCAGTTGTGCGGCGGGCTCGAACTCGTCAGCGTGAGTATATGTATCGGACCGTCGCGCGCAAACAGGTCGTCGAATATGTGTAAATATGTATGTATGTGTATGTATTGTCGTCGAACTCGGGATGAAGTGGACCGCTGGTGATCAGACGCCAACGACGGGATGGATCTGGCTTGTTAGTAGCTGGTAGCAAGCAGCAAGCAGCGAGGCGATACGCCGACGTCGGTGTCACTTGAGGTTTGGGGAAGAAATGGAATCAAACAAGAGGCAAGGGTGGGAGGAGCTTTTCTTAAAGACACCCTCATCGGGGCATGCCTGGGAGGGTCCGGGGGACGGGACGAGGAGGGTCAGATCAAGGGGGGGAGAGCTTCTTACACGTACTAGTCCGTCCCGTACTACTGTAATGACTACTAGTAGGGGTGACATGCGCTACCATATGCAGGCCGCCATTCCGCCACGCTGCCCTATCATTCGACCCATGCTAATTAAACGGGTCTGTAAAAGCCATGTAACGGTAACAAACTGTGTGCCATGTATTCTCATGCGAAACAATCAAAACTCGAATCCGTAAATGGACGCCAAGATGGGAACAAAGTCGGTCACGGCTCTCACTTGAGGACGAGCTTAATGAGTCTCCAAGCAATCCCCATGGGGGAAGACCTGGGAGATGGGAGATGGGGTAGGTACATGATGCCTCCCTCCATCAGATCCCGAGATGATGAATGGATGGTGTTCACCCCGCGTTTCTTTTTGATGAGGTCTCTTGGCGGGATAAAGGCAAGGCAAGCAAAGCAAGCAAAAGCCAAGGTACGTAACCATAATTTTTCCATAGCGGGCAGGGGAAATAAATTCATAAGGTCACCGCTTCTGTTTGGCTCGTAGGACATGGGGTGCCACACGGCTGCAAGGTTGCCTCTAGAGGGACGAGGGTCTCACCAGGCTGTGTACCGGTAGGCGGAGGCTACCTACGTAGTAGGCTAGCTAGTCCGGCCGCGCGCATTGGCTGCCCCGGCTTTCGAAATCATGTGCCGGCGTCTTCACTGCCATTCTCAACAAACATGACCGCATGTCCAAGTCTTGTCGGTTTATTATTTCAACATCTAGCGCCTTGAAAGTCGCGCATGAGGTGTTTCGGCTGCTGTGGAAAGCGACCCTTTCACGGGGCCACAAGAAGTCTGTTTTGGCTGGAGCTTATCCGACTGGACTATAACCGACTTGTGTCCGAGTTTTCCCTAGGAATCGCAACTTTGCGCAACAAAGGGCAGCATGATGGTAACCGCGATGTGGCGGCAAAGGCTTGGATAACAGTTACATGGTCAACGTCAACGTCAACGCAGTCACCCCGTCATGTCTGTGTTACTAGCACACCCATGGCTTGAGCTGATGAAGATCGACACATAAAAGCATGGACAGACATTGCGCAAGATTATGATGCGGTCTGGACGGTGCCGGGCCGAAAGACTACACCACGGGACGGCGGCGTAGTAAGATGATGATGAATGACATCGACTTTGTGGGGGGTTGAAGAGTCGGTGATCCACTGACGAATTGAACTCGTGCCGGCGCCGGCTTTGCCCTCCATTCCAGCCCTACGACCCACAGGCGGCGGTGCGGCTTAGATGGCTCGGATGGTGATCGCGAGCTCACCCACCGTGATGATTGGGCCATGGCCTGGCTGCTGCGCATTTTCAAGACAACAACGCATGTACGAACGGCACCAGTCAGTCCCTATTGACCCAAGAGGATGGACAGAGAATGTAGGTACATACATACCTACATCGACTGCATACCCTTTCCCATGGAACAAGCTCTCAATGGCTGGCATCAGACCCTTCCCCCGTTGACTTGCAGTTCCTCATCAGCCCTAAATTCAGGGTGGTCGGTCCCCCCAAGGGATGGGTGGCCTCGCTAGGTGCGGCCAAGTGCACATTCCTGCGCAGTCTGACTTTTTCACCAAGGAAGAGCGAAGAGAGGTTGTGTCGATGGCTTCAGAAAGACAGAAGTCAAATTTGCGGCGAAGCTAGGATCGTGCCATGTCTCCATCACGACCAATCAACAAGCTTCCTATCTTCTGACCTCGTGTTCTCGGCGCCCCAGTTTTCCAGGGCTTCGTCCGGGATTAGCTTCAGATCATGATCTCCAGAATCGAGAGCTTGAGATGCCGATTGGCGGGGGGATTTAAATTTGCGGTGTCTCGAAATGGAAACACATTTATCTTGACAAGCAAGACGGCGGTTTCGAATGATCTCGAGCATCGTCGAGACAATTCGTCTAGCGGTGACGCTGGAGTAGAAGAGGCTGTGTCAACCGGTTGCGTCGTGCTATCGAGCTTCCATGCGGGGCATCTGTCGACGAGCTATTGTCCGGAGCCGAGCCGAGCTACGGCCGGTCACGGTGCGGGCAGCGCCCGGGAGCCGACCTTTGTTTTGCCGGAAACACGGTACCTGACGCAGGGGGAAAAAACGGCGACCATGAGGTCCACGAAGCTGGCTTGCATGTTTCGCCGTGCAGTCAAAATCGTCACTGCCGTGGTATTTCCGTTTCATCTTGATTGATGAACCTCTACAGAGAGGCTCGTCGGGCCGGTGCATTGATCACGAAGAAACAAAAGACGTGAAGCGCCAGAAAGAACATGTCCCGTACGCTGACAGGTCTGGGGCTGCCAATGAGAAAGCCGGGCATCCTTCCCGTCTGGGACTTTTGATTACAAAAAAAGGACAAATGGCGGCTTACATCCAGTTCAGGAGCTTGGCCCGAGCAGAAAGCTATCGGGAACTCCGAATGCCAATCGATCGTGCCATCATACGAAAAGAAAAGGTCCAACTATTTTCTGGTGTAGTGTAGGTGAACAGCTTGGATCGACTCGGGCAAAATGTAAAGCCGATTTTTGGATGAACCAATTTTGTTGGTGTCAGAATGGGAAATAGCCAAAATCCTTTCGCTTCGAGACAGTTTCAGTACCGCTGATGGTGTTGCAAAAAAGGCCCAGACTCTTCGTCATCAGTAATCAGTGCCCCTGGATGACTTCCAGATCTCATCCTTTTCTCGACCAAGATCGGCCATGATTGATGACGATATGTGCCTCCATGTTCCTATTTGATTAACTTCAGCTTGGTATTGAGATGAGTGAAGATGACTTGGAAAAGTTTGTCCATGGCTGATCACCTTGCTCTTCCGATTGTTACCATTCAAAGCAATGACAATATCTATCCACCAAATCTCCGGTGTTCATTCCACTTGCAGCAGGCGGAGTCTCGACAACACCAGACCTGTTTACGTATTGATATCTTCAACTCCGATATCTCTACGACGATCTTCGAGACAACTCATCACCAAAAAGATCAGCCTTGCGAGGCATACTCGGACGTGTTCATGTCCACTCCCGACCTCCCGCAACATCATCGGGATCCCCGAGCCCGGTCCCCAGCTCCCGGCCACTCGCCGTGTGGAGTTGATCCAGTGTGGACTCGAAACGGGCTTAGCGCAGTGGCTTGGGCCGCTGCTTTACCGCACTAGCGTACAGGTACAGTAGCGTCAGAATCCACCCTTCGTTACAAGCCGAGCCCGAGACATTCACTGGCATTGTTTCAAGGTTTCCGTAAGGTTTCTGTCACGCTAGGAATGGAAATCGCGGATTTCAGTGCCGGCCAGGGTTCATTCTTTCTTACGCAACTCTTCCTCAACACCAAGAAATCTAAGCCACGATATCGGGGTTAAGATATCGAAAAAGTCGGTCACAACATCAACATTTCCCCAGTATCGTATCGTATTGCAGATTTTGAAACAAGGAAGAAGCATCGAAAGTCAATCACGGGATCATTCGTTATTCGCATCGCGAAACTCTCCGACTCGAAACGGGGTTTGGTCCGGTTTTCATCATCGCTTATACAACACCCAGAAGAGATATCGAAATTGCTCCGGCATAAGCCCGTAAGCCAAAGTCAAGTCCCCGGCCTACCTGCCGGCCGTAAACACAAAACATCATGCCGGCTCCCACCCTGGCAGACATTGTCTTTTCGGAGCAAGCCAACCACAACTTCTCCAAGATCCTGGGAGATCTCAAGAAGTCGAATCTCTCCATCACCAATCGGCTCAAGTCCATACAGCACGATGCCGCCTTTGTGCAGGAAGTAGCTGATGTCCTCGGCCTGCCGCTCGTGGCCAATGAACGATGCGGAAGCTGGTATATTGATCCCCAACTCAAGAGGTCGTCTGCTTACTTTAAGAGCACCGATGGGCATACGGGCCAGTGGAAGTTCAGCACGAGGAGGTTGAACTTTCATCTTTTGGAGGTCATTGGAAGACATGATGGGTTTGTTTACCTTCGCATGTCTCATAGCTAGTATCTCCTCTCACTCACTAACAATCATATCATGACCACCATAGATGCATCATCGTAGACTCAACCCGGCGCGGAAAGCGTAAGTCAAACACACACACCAAACCTCCACATACCATCAAGTGAACCACGAACTCACCACTCACTCATCCAGGCATGCCCGACGCCCTAAGCAAAACAATCCCAATCTGGTGCACCGTCCTCAACCAAGCCCTCTTCCCCTCCCACCCCTCCTCCTCTCACACCCTCCACGTTCCCCCAACCGTAGTCTCCGACTCCGAACGTTCCCAAATGTCCTCCCACCTCCCCCTTTTCCTTACCTCCCTCCTCGCCCTCCAACCCGACATCCCCTCCCTCCGCCACCACATCCAAAAACCTCTCCGTCCCCTCTGGGTAACCCCAGATGACGAACTGACTCCCGAAATGGTCGACGAGATCAAGACTGCCTACCACCCGGTCGTCTGCTGCACCAGCTCCCGCCGGGTGGTAGGCACGGAGATGAGTGAGGAGGGGTACATCCAGGGCGCGGGCGACGACACGGAGAACTGGGCGCATGGACTGACGGCGCCGCTGTTTTGGGGGAACCAGAGGCAGCTTTTGGGGACGCCCGAGGGGGATTTGCCCGGCTTGATAGAGATGCTGGTTGCGAATTCGGAGGCGGGCGGACAAGCGGTGGGGGAGTTGAAGAGGGTTGCGCCGAGACTGTTGGTGGGTGCGTTATCAGCTGAGAAGACGCTGGCTTCTTCCCAAGGAAAGGAGGTTTGTGTGGTTACTCTGGTGCCGAAGACGACGGAAAAGGAGACGTGGGAGAAGTCGAAGAGGCATATGGAGGTTGGGTTGGGGAAGAGTAAGACTGCAAGCCGGTTTTTGAGGGAGGCGTTGCCGAGTATTTGCGAGTTTGTCTCGCGGTTCCTGCAAGCGCCCGAGACTACGGACGGGAAAGCAAACAAAGAGGTGGTGATCCTGTGCGAGTCCGGCAGGGACTTGTCGGTTGGAGTGGCACTGGCTCTTTACTGCTGGTGCTTCGTCGACTCGGCTGGGACCATCAGGTCTGCTGCAGTGGACCAGGAGCAGAATCACAACAAGGCTTCCATTAGGGTGAAGCTGGGTCATATCATGACAGCGTTTCCCGATGCCAACCCGAGCAGGGCGAGTCTTCAGAGTGTGAACAGCTTCCTGATGGACTGGCGGAAATGAAAAGGGTTTGTTCTAATTCAATGCAAAACCAAAAAAGAAAATATGATGGATATCATCTAAAAACCCCTCTAATAGTCGCCCTTCTCTATCGCCGCCAAAAACCCCTCAAACTGGTTCCAATCATTCATGATAATGGACGCACCCGCCTGCGCCAGGACCTTCTCCATCTTAAGTCGTTCCTCGGCCTTGTAGGGTCCAACATAACCAATGACCTTGATCCCGGCCCTCGCCGCGCTCAGCGTCCCGCTCTTGCTGTCCTCCACAGCCACGCACTCCTCCGCCTTCTTGCCCAGCACCTTGAGGGCGTGCAGGTAGATGGCCGGGTCGGGCTTGCTCGTCGGCTTCTCCAGGCTCGTGGCCGCGCTGAACACCCTGTCGCCAAAGTACTTGTCCTGGCCGACCTTCTCGATGCTGGCCTTGACGCGGCGCAGCGCCGAGCTGCTCACGACCGCAAGCTCGTACTTGCCCTCGGCCGCCAGGCGCTCAAGCACGCCGTCGACGTTGGGGCAGGGAGACAGCTTCTCCTGTATCTTGGCGATCACAACGTCCTCTTCCTTCTTCACGTACGTCTCCAGTTCCTCGTCCGTGAGCGGGAAGCCGTACCGCTCCTGCAGCGAGCGCAGCATGCCCCGGAAGTTCTGGCCGACGAACTCGACGATGAGGGATTCGCCCGTGAAGGGCTTCTCGAGCGGGACGTTCTTGGAGGCGGCGATCTGGTTGATCAGTTCTGCGCAGCCTTCGAAGGCGACCTCCTCCGAGAGGACGAGAGTGTTGTCGCAATCGAAGAGGATGGTGTTGACCTGCGTGACGGATTGGCTGTCAGTGATTCGTACGTACAGAGCTGTATGGTCTGGGGGAATGTTTCTTACCTTGCCCATTTTGACTGATTGGTAGCTTATCGTTTGAATTGGGGTATAAAAGTGTCTTTAATTGATGACGTCGCAAGCGGTTTCGGTGTCTTTGGCCTTGATCTCCAAGAGTGATCGTCTAAAACAAATCGCCGAAAAGGATGAACGTGATGAGCAAATGGGTATCTCGTAAACACGAAGCAAGTTAAGCTATAAGCAAAAAGCGTATACAGCAAGAGCAAAAGCACGTCTTCTAGAGACGAGGAGGATAGAGCGAGTGAGGGAGGAAGGTAGGTAGGCAGGAAGTTGAAGCCGTTCGTAGGGAGAAGAGAAGAAAGAGGGAAGAGTAAATAAGAGGAAAGGAAGAAAGACCGAGGTAAGAGCGGGAGAACTAAAGCATGAAGTACGTAGACGAGAAAGACTACTGAATCCAACCTAAGATACCGTATTACTTCCCGGTCTCGTTCTTCAACCCACCATCCAAGTCCAGGGCACAGACAACAAAAAAAGCAGGACCTGGGACCCAAGACAAGGACTCGCGCATCGCCCGTCTACGAGTTAGTTCCCAGGTCTGTTCCTGAAACTCCACCCCACCACATCACTACCCGGCCGCACATCTGTGCTCACTGACAAAGCACGATGATCTTCCCGATCCTTTCTAGAGTTTCTCTGACCCCTCACAGCACCCCCTCTCGCCAACACCTCTTCCAGAGAAAGCGTGCAGATGGGTCCATGCCTTCTCAGACAGGATGTTGATCGTAGATCGGCGTCAGACTTGTGGTAGTGGGGGGGCCTGGTGATGTCATTGCCCGGACAGAAGCCCCACCGTGGTATATAGCGGGGCGGAGAAAGTACGCTAAAGACTTTCTAGTTGGTTAACAATAGCGCATAGAGAGTATATGACTGGAAGTTAGTTGGATAACTGCTACTATCAATGAGACCAGAAACTCATGTGCAACTGCAGCCAAGGACAGCCCGGTCGAACCACCCGGACCTCACTGACAAACCGAAAACAGGTGAAAGCTCTCAATTCAATTCGAGTCCAGAACTTCACAGAAACCTTGGGATGAGGACCTGCAAATCACACTCCAAGCTTCTAATTTTGCAATTCCCTTCATAGGTATCATCTTGAAGACCGTCCAGCACTAACACCGTGATCAAGTCAGAGCAGCCATCAGAGTCCAGAAAAGAAACAGTTCAAAAAACGACGGGATGCGGGAAAGGTAAGACCGAGTGGTTACTTCCGCTTCGCTTCCACTCTGCTTACCTTCGCACCTTAACCCGGCTTCAAAATGTCGCATTGCCATTCTCCCATTGTGAATTTGTGCCGCGTTTCCCGATCGACCGGCCGGCCGGTCATATGTCCCGTTGGGTAGGCGGGCCGGCTTAGAAATACAATGCCATTGTGCCTACTGCCTCGCGTCTGAGATTTAAGATCATTAAGTGAGAACAATGAAGAAGTGAGAAGTGAGTAAGTTGAATCACGGGCCTAAGGTAGTTGGGTTCGTCGGCTGCTTCATGTTAAGGTAAGATAGAGTGTGTTTGTTTGGTTATGTTGTAGTTGTCCTGTGTTGGGTTGTGTCGGGTTCGGAACTTGGGCTCATGTTCCCATATGTCGCTCCGCGTCGTCTTTCAGCAAGTTCTGATTTCTCTTCAAGGTCGAGTCGAGAAAGGGAGAATTTCTTTGGGCAAATTGGTTTTCATTCTGTAGTAACTATGTCCATCTATCGGTTTTAACCACCCCGCTTGTTCGTCTATGGTTATGACCAGTTTTCTCTTTGCACGGTAGTTCACTGATGACGACAGAGGACTATCGCCTTAAACCCATTCCGAGATGCAATGATCCGAGCGTCCTCTACAAACAGATATAGCCATTTGATATCTAAGCTTGGTGTCTCCGTTGAAGTTGACCGCACATGGCTTTCTGACCATTGCCTGTTTGACCTTCAGAAAACGTAGATGCTAACAGAGACCCGTGCCCTTTCCTCATTATCATAATAATCGTCATCACCAGCTCCCACTACACATGTCGCCTAGACCAACAATACCAATCTCAATGCGAGCCCTAACGTAGTGAAAGCTGAGCACAAAAAAGAATCGACTCCAGTAACGCCCAGATATGGTGGACCATGGTCCAGGACCGCACGTGGCGGACAGAGACCAAATCAAACGCCCCCCCAAGGTAGAAGATAAATCCAACACGCCCACCCTTTTACATGCTTTCGAGGGGATGGGTCCGAACAAGTTCCCGAATGTTCTCAAAGGCCGGCGTCGGAGCTGTTCTTCAGGCCGATCCTGAAGACTGCCGGGCCCTTCTTGTTGAGGCGACAAGAAGGACAGAGTATCCGAGATTGAACTACCGCAGAAAACCGATAGTCGTCGCTTAACCCCATTTAGAGGATTTCCTTCAATTTTTCCTTTTGTTCAGCCGTCAAGCTGGTGGGGAACTTGACATTGTACTTGACGATCAAGTTGCCCCGTTGGCCTGGTTGCTTCGAGATGGGCATGCCCTGGCCCGGGTATACATCTGTGCTCCCAGGTTGTGTCGGGCCGGCCTTCTCAATGCTAATGGTCTTGCCGTCGATTGTTGGGATGGTCCTCTTCCACCCTGTCAATGCCTCCTTGAGGTCTAAGTCGACAGTGTGAATGAGGTCGTTGCCGTCCCGAGTGTAGAGCGGATGTGGTTTCTAATGCAGACACAGTCAGCTAGACGTTCCTCAAAATGACAATGTGTGAGGAAAGGGGAGGGAAATTATACGTACCTCTTCGACGATGAATACCAAATCTTGCTGGCCACCCTCTTCTTGATCACCAACACCCTTGAACCGGATCTTGCTACCCTTCTTGAGGCCGGGCTTGATTGGTACCTCCAAGACGGTGTCGCTCGTCGTGCGCTTGCCGGTTTCGTCAAAGGTCTTGCGCTTGATCTTCATCTTCTTCGTCGTGCCGTGGAACAGATCCTCGAGGGATACGGGCAAGGGGCGTTCAACTGTCGTGACTTCGGGTGTTGCTTGGCGGGCACTGCGCATGTTGTCGCCGCCGAAGGCGGTTCTCGTAGACCCCGGCCGTCGGGAACCTGCACCACCGCGCGCAGCATTAAAGAGGATGTCTTCAAGACCAATTCCGCCCATGCCACCGCCCATGCCACCGCCACCGCCCATCTTTTCATCCCGGAATGCATCCCGGAAGAGATCCTCGGGGTTGCTAAAGTTGAATCCATAGGAAAATGTTCTCGCACCTCCTCCGCCGCCAGGCATGCCTCCTCCTCCAAAGAAGGAAGCAAAGCCCTCGGGCATGCCACCGGCTCCTCCGGCAAATGGGTTTGCGCCTCCCTCGGGCGGGGGCGCGCCGCCTCTCAGGATGAACTCAAGGCCAAACTGATCGTACATCTTGCGTTTCTCGGGATCCGAAAGGATTTCGTACGCCTGGGAGCACTCCTTGAATTTTTCGGCAGCCTCCGGGTTGTCCTTGTTCTTGTCGGGGTGCCATTTTAGGGCGGCTTTCCTGGTGAGGGGTCAGCAGGGGTCCAGCTTGAAAGCTGTAAGAGGGGATGACGTGAATTGCCAAAGTGAAAGAATGATGGCATCGGAAAGAGGAGATCTCCCCCTCGATCATATACTGCGAGAGCAATGATATGGGCTTTCGGGCTGGTGAGGATATGCTTACCTGTAGGCTTTCTTGATCTCGTCCTGGGTAGCCGTGGGGCTGATCTCTAGCGTGTCGTAGAGCTTCGTTTCTCTAACCATCTTTGTGACGCGATATCAGAGACGAGTGTGCTGTATGGGAATCTAGTAAGAATAAAGAGGTTTATCGCGAAGCTTGATTAGAGCCGCGAAAGGTTTCGGTGGTCGTTAGGTGCAAGGGAACGATCAACCCGACGTGTTTTGTATTGTTGTGGTGGTGCGGGTAGTGTAATTAAGGTAAGGTAGCGATGACAGATGCGTGTTAGACGTCAGCGATTCTATAGCGCTCGTGGGTCTCTTGGATGGCTCGTGAAAGCGCCTGTTAAGGTCGTTCTTTGCTGGAATGCGCGGGAGCAAATTCGCAACGCAAGAGTATAGATTTTAGATATTGAACAGAATTGAGATGCAATAGCGAGTTGGAGAGTGAAGCTATCACTTCGTGGAAGAGGGAGGGACAAAGCCGTAAAATGCCTTAGCGAAGGGCGTGTGTATCAGGAGTAGGAGGTTGTAGAACCTTCGACCGTGAGCCTATCGGCTTCCAAGACCTGGAGATAGTGACGCAGGGCTCGCGTAGTGGGTACATGTGGGAAGTAGCGTCTGTTAGTGATCTCCACCTCCCCGGGCAGTTTGCTACTGCAGGGAAAGAGTCACACTAACACGTATGAGTCCGGGTCAGGTCCCCGCCAATTGATGCGGGCCGCCAAGCCAGCTAGCAAGCTCCATCAGTTGACCCTCACTTGACCTCGGCGAAACTGTCAGCAGTCTGCTGAGTGGTTGGGACGGGAGCATCAAGGATGGACATCATCACCCAGCACCTTCGATGGGCTGCCTATCACCGATATTTGAAGTTTGATCCAGCTCAATTTGTCATATTAGTATACCCATTCGCTCTCAATCCCATTCTTCTAGTATTCGTATGAAACACCATCGATTGCCGTGAATTGCGAGTCTAGATCAATCATCCTTACGTTGTGCCCTATGGTAGGGTAGCGAAGGAGGTTACGCCATCTCATGGAAGCTAACAGCTAGCAACGGCCGCACTCGATCTTTCATTAACAGCCCCATGACAAAGAACATCCGCGGGCGGTTTTCATTTGGCATTTCCCCAAGGTAATATTGAAATGGAGCAAAGCACCACACAAACCAGACCTGGATAGCCCACCACAAAAACTTGTAGCTAGGAGCAGATCTAGTCAAAGCAGGTCTTCGAGAACTTCTCCATATGAAGGGTTAGATCAGTTTGTCAAATATCAGCCATCAACCACTAAAGAGAAGCAAAGCAAAACTCTACTTCTCAAATCACGACAATACAGAGCAGATCTATTAGTTAATTCGCATTAACGGGGGGACGAGAAGCAAAAACTTGGCAGTTTTTAGGGCAAAGCTCAACTATATTCCAAACAGAAAAGAACATCTGCCCAAGTTATTTGATCTCCATCTCTAAGATCCGAAGCAAGCTCTCCTTTTATCCCTGAGGACGTACAGATCTGAGGCCTACTGTCATGACCCTCCGGGATAAGCCCGGTTGACCTGCTCCTATCTATTTGTCCACTGTGCTTCTGATAACCCCTGACGAAGGCAAAAAGTGCAAAAAGTGCAAAAAACACCCCAAATTAATATCGAACAGAATAATCCGCGTTGCTCGGTGTGCCCTAATTCAAGCCGCCTCGTACACATAGAGTGTCGAATTCCTTTCATCGGGCAAAAAGAACAGCCTCATTTTACCATCCACGACAGCCACGTCCATCGGATTCTTGGTCATTGCCGCACCAAGTTCCGACACCAAGGTCACGGGAACCTCGTGTAAAGGAACCATAGTCTCCATGTCCACTATCGCGAGACCGCCGATTCGCGTGTTGGCCAGGTCTGCAACGCCAGAGCATAACATCACCGGCCGGGACCCATAGAGCTCGTAACGACCCAGGAATTTGCAATCCTGATAGTCGACGAAGCTGCTCGGGTTTCTGACCTCTGCCTTGGGTCGAGTAAACTCGGGCGGCGCCTGATGCTTGTCGTGCCCGTTCCAGATCGACGCTTTGCGCGACCCCCAGTTCAAGGTGACAACGGTTCCGGATTTTGTGTCGTGGACCGCTCCTCCCTGGTGGTCTGCAGCACTCAGGATGGGCTCTGGTACCAGCGTGTCGGGGCGCATCCTCACAAGCGTTCCTGTTGTGTTGGGACGGTATTGGGAGAGGGTGGCCCAGATGTAGGTTCCATCATAGTCAACGCCGCCGTTGTGGTACTACTTGTGCTGTCAGCTGCGGTAACACTGTAAGAACGAGGTCGCGCAACGGATGGACAGACCTCGAGAGACTTGGCTTGTGAGATTGAGGCATCAGCAATACGCTTCCCTTTGCCATCAAAGATGATCATATGGGCGAACCCTTCGCCAGCTGTTCGATCCGTGCCATTGATGGTCTCATTGTATTTGGACGTTGGAACAATGTATTCACCAGCCGATACGAAGTAGCGATCATTGCCAATGCGAACTATGCCTTCGGGTTCGTAGGTGTCGCCTTCGAACTTGACCTTATCGACAAGCTTCCATTTTGTTGAACGATCAAGTTCCACAAATTGCCGAATGATCTCTTTTGCGTCGGAAGCAGCGCCGGGTAACGGGTGAGGGTGAGGGACAAAGGGCACGTCGGGTTGAAGGATGGTGATGTTGAGACCTGCTGGTTGAGGAGGCTTGGAAAAGAGCAGAGAGAGAACGGTAAGTGCTCTCAACATCTTGCCGATCAGGCAAATCGTATAATTTGAAGATGTTTGAGGGATGCAGTTCTTACTCGATGTCACTGGTTGTTTGCCAAGGTCAGTGGCATTCCCTCCCGGAGGATCCAAACAACGAAATGCGGAGCATTGGATGCGGGGACACGGGCCGGGGACGGGAATTATCAACATTCAAACATGACATTGCCCGACGACCGACCGGCCGTCTTGCCGTGCAGCGGTCCGGATTCATCATTTATCTTCTATCCGAGATCCAGAAGTCAAATTATGCACTAAAAAAAACCAGGAGGCCGTTGAGTTACGAACTCATCCTACTGTGGAATACAACAACACAACGCAGAGCTGGATCTATAGACTGATATGAAAGAAGCCGTCCACGCACTCGACATCGTGGTTCTTCTTTTTTTGTGAAGTCATCTTCAAGTCTCGGGCATGATTGTGACCTGAAGCTCAATTTCTAACTTATCCAACCGACAGTTCCGCATCTGTGCAGTGTTCCTTCCCAAAGGAACTATACCACCGATTGCTTTTCGGGCCTTCCCTTCTGGCTTCTGGTCTCATATTGGATCGAGGAAAGGTCGCACCTGCCAGATTTCGAGTTGTTTCCAAGACCCTACTTCACCCACAGAATCCAATGTGATCATTTCCTCCGGTTTCCCCTCTGTTCGTTCACTTATCTCCTAGGTCTCTTCTGCACTTCCAGATCGCAGCCGTTGCTCCTCGCTCGCCAGCATTGAACACAGCCAGTTCTCGCCTTTCGTTGCTTGACTGAATCCAAGGTCTTTGCACCCCAACAGTGGTTCGGAAACAGAATCGTCAAGATGGCAAAGCACACCGTCAGTATGTACTACTAACAATGGTGTTGCCACGCTTGCAGGAATTGTTTGACTGACCCCAACAGAGGTCGGAATTTCCGGCAAATATGGCACCCGGTAAGGCCATGATAAGCTTCCTAATTTGAATAACTTTCTTCATTGCTCCCTTCTCCAGAGGAAGATGAGCTGAGAGTTGTTCCAGATACAGCTCCTCCCTGAGAAAGCAGTGCAAGCGAGTTGAGATCGGTCAGCACGCTCGCTATCCTTGGTTTGTGCCCCCATTCTCCCTCCATCTCGTCGATGAGGCTGCTCTCTCTCTGGTCCAGCGGGGATTCTGTTTTACTCGGCGGAAGAGATTGCTGACTTTCAACCCTCCACCACAGCACTTTCTGCGACAGAAACACCGCCAAGCGAGTTGCTTTTGGCATCTGGAAGTGCCACGGCCAAGGGTGTGTTAAAGTTTTGAGCGGCGGCGCTTACCTGCTCGCGTAAGTTATCCACTTGTCCGTTCAAGACTGCACGACAGCCTGTTCAGCTATTAGCCAACTCTAATATTCATAAACAGTACGCCTGCCGCCGTCACTGCCAGATCGACGCTTCGACGTCTGCGCGACATCGCGTCTGTCCAGACAGGCCGAGCTTAGAGCCGCACAAGCATGTTGCAGACTCGTCCCCTTGTTGTCGCCCATACTCCCCTTGATGGAAGTTGCGGGCCGGGCGCAAAGTATTTGTTGTCTTGTTGAGTAGACATCTATTTCGGGACCAAGTTGTCGAGGAAATCTGATGTGCGTTCGCCCTAGTTTTAGTCAAGCTCTCTTGTTCATCCTCGCAACGCGGCGATCATTCAGCATATGGAGTCGGACAGGACGCCCATCCCAAGCGCTTGCAGCATACCAGGGTGACTCGGCAAGCCATATTGTTTTTGTTAAGCGGGAGTTGTACGACGCTCCGACAGCTCATTCGATACCTGGATCGCGAATTGTTGAAGGCGAAGAGACCGAGTGAGCGTCGAGGAGCCCGAATCTTGAGGATGCAAATAAGCCTAATCGGAACTGCATGGTTCCTGGTTTCTTGGCAGGAGAACGTTCGACACCATCCCGACAGTGCCGATGGAGCTATTCCGACAACGGTATGGACAAAAACTCAAGACTGACCGGGCCAGAGTCCAGACTGACGGTGTGACAGTTCTCCTTGTGGTCACCGCAAATTGTCGGTAGTTTTAGGTACGGGCAGACGGGATATAAAAGCGCAACAAAGCCTTTGTGTGTTTCACAGCTCGTTCCGCCGCACCCACGTTGAAAGGTTTCGGAATGCCATGTGATTGTTGATGGGTTGAAGAATCACTGCACCACCGAAGAAAGACGCCGCGTGTACGAGTGCGGCACAGCCGCCCTGCCACAGTGGCGTCGCCCAAAGAAGCGGGTCAGTTGAAGAGATGGGATATTTGATTGGACAACAGCTTGCAATCTCCCCACACCTTGATGTCATGCAGGACTCCACTCAATGGACCTTTTGGAGGTTGATCTGCGGCCGGTAGTCGACGGCTCGTCATTCAGCGGTGCATCCAGGGCGGACACTTTGTGATCGGCCGTCCACCGTCAAATTAGCGAGCTCCGGATTTTTTTCAGGGGCAAAGAAGTGTTCTGAACAGCTTCAGAGTGGTGGCTTAGACGACTGAATGGCAAGAATAGCAAGGAAATAACTCAATTGACCCGCAAGATAGCTGTTCTTGCAGAGCTGAGGCTGTCATGTGTCGAACATCAACTTGGAAGTGTTGTTGCTCGCTCGCCCGGAACATCGCACAACAGAGTTCGAGGCCTCGTGTCACCTCCAAGGTTCTTTACGTACCTTTTATCTAATCTATCCTTATATTTTAGGTAACTTCCCGAACCTCCCGTTGTAGAAAGATCACCTCTCGTTGGTGTAGCTTCTGAAGCTTTGAATTATAAACTCTTTGTCTGGTCGCATTCAGCAATTCTAAACCGGGCACTTCTTGAAGTTTCCAACTGATCATTCCCCCTTTCACCGGTCACGTAATAACCGCTGCAAAAAAGAGTGCCACCTGCAACATCCCCTCCACTCCTGAGATCCATCCGAACTCGAAGTCGGTGGCCTCCAGCCCCTTGGCTTTAACACGAGACCCCTGATCCCTTCTGCCTAGCTGCCTTCTCTTCAACCGCCCAAGGAACTGACCCACCAGTTCCACGACAGTCCCACACCGCAGATTGCGATACCCCAGAGAAATAAACAGGACGAGGGAGCATTCCCAAACCTTACTTCAACAGCATCTTCGACTTCTACACAAAACCAAACCATATCATACATATTACCACCTTCATCCCCGAACACGACCGGCTCCCGCCTCCCCCCCCTCGACCAAGTGAAACCTAGCGGAAGCGAGCAGTCAACCGAAAACACACTTCATATCATCCAGATATCATGGGCGCAAAGACGGGCCTCTTCCTCCGGGGCCTGCAGGGCACCATCCGCGGCATTCAGTTCGGCTCTGCCGCCACGGTGCTGGCCCTGACCTCTTACTTCTTGGCCACCATGGCCAACCACGGCCTCGCCATTGACGTCCACCTGCGCGCCGTCGAGGGTATCTCGGGCGGTATCACCGCATACACCCTGATCACCATCTTGCTACTATGCTGCATCCCCGGCCAGCCGTTCTTCTCCTTCATCATGATGGTGGTTGACGTCTGCTGCGCCGGTGCCCTCATCTACGTCGCTATCCGCAACAAGAACGGCGCCAGCACGTGTGTGGGCATTGTCGATACCCCTTACGGCAAGGGCAACGCCGACACCAACGTTGTCGATAACGGCCATGGCGGCTTCACTATCCTTCCTAGCTTGCACCATGCTTGCAAGATGGAGACGGCTTGCTTGGCGGTGTCGATTATCGGATGGTTAGTTATTCATTTCTCCTCCTTATACCTCGCCATTTTTTTTCTCATAAAAACAAATACTAACCCTCTACCCCCATAGCGTCTTCTTCATCCTCTCCCCCTTCATGGAAGTCGTTCTCGTCCGCCACCGCAAAAAGGAGCAGCGCTACGGCCCCTCGCCCGCCAACGACTACACCTCCGGCTCGGGTCGCAAGCCGGGTTTCTTCGCCAGCCTGCGCGGCAAGGGTAGCGGCCACCCCGACGCCGACCTGATGAACAACAAGCTGCCCGAGCACGCCAGCCCTTCGGACATTCGTGATAGTTACACGACGGAGCAGACCCGTGTGGGCGGTGTCGGTAGCTATAACCCGTACAACGAGACGCAGGTCGGCCAGCAGCAGCCGTATAGCCCACCCCATGCTGGTAACAACTATAACAAGTATGATATGAGCTTTGGTCAGCAGCAGCAGGATATTGCTATGGGGCAGTATCATAAATAGTGGCGATCATGTTTATGACCGGAGATAAGGGAAGGGGCCTTTTTTTTTTCTGAATGAAAAGAAGTTCTGGGCTCTACTTGGAAGAGGATGAGCTGGATAAGAAAGATACCCTGATGGAGTGGAAAGGAAGATGGATTATAGCAACAACAGAACAGGTCTCACGACTTCGACTGAAACGGAGCCAGCCGGACAGGATATATCCGGAAGCAACAATGGGACAGACGGGAGACAAACCCACCCCACGGCAACAACTCCACGGCTGGTCCGATGCGGAAATAATCATCCGGCGTTGTTGGAATATACAAAGCCATGTATCAGAAATCACGTCACACCGATTTGAAGAAGGAAGGGTTGAGATAAAGAGGATTCACGTACACAGGAAACCACAGGAACCAAGATACCCCCCGGACATAGGTATAGAGCAGGTCTTGATTGGTACAAACCAGCTAGAGGGTCACTGTGCATATTTCTAGACCCAGATAACTACTACCAGATAACCCGCGTAATATTAATTGATGATGAGGACTCAAAACTAGCTTCCTCGCTAATCGTGTTTGTGTTTTTTTTTCTTTCCGCTTTACGTGACATCGTTGGAGTCTTATTCATTCGGGACTCAACTCTCATATTTGTTCCCGTGATCAAAATAATCAATATGAAGACCGGGAGATACACTTCATTCTAGATCGTCCGAGATGTTGTACCTTTAACCATCACATAACAAACGAGACATCCAAATACTCCATTCCCAAACAACCCACCAACAAACGCCTGATAACATACATGACTATCCGCAAACTCCACATTTCCATCCATACATTTTGAGTTTCCACATTTCCCGGTGTTCTTGTTCAATCATTTGCTCGTGTTCATTCCAGTTTCGTTCCCGCCTACCTCTATTCCTCATCCTCCACCTCCTCATCATCAACCGTCTCAACAAAAGTCATTGTGACACCCTCATTGCTAGTATCAACGTTCAAGTTCACAGCGTCGATAGTATCCCGCTTCGATTCAGTGGCGGTGGTGGTATCGCGTTTGGCGAACTTGATGGGTACGTTGGCGATGTGAGAGTGAACGACCTCACGGGCTGCGAGCTCGGGGTTGTTTTGGAGGGCTGTGAAAAGAGATGTGTTAAACTTGGAAACTGAGAAAAGGCAATGGAAGCGGGCGGGTAATGTGACTTACAAGCAGGAATACCCCTCCGGACATACATAGTCGTCACCTTTGTCCTGCGTCTCGGGGCGGTAGAGGTAGGTTCGTCGGCGTCGCGCTTCTTCTTCCCGGCAGCAGCAGCAGGTCCTGCGTTCACACACATGAGCTTTTAGCAAATTTTGACTTTACACCTTTTGACATCGAGCTCCATAACCACGAGCGAGTGAGTGACAAAACACTTACGACCAGTACTAGCATTATTATCCACAATAATGCCCACCCCCGATCCCTCACCACCAGTACCCAGCTGGACCTTGGGGCCCTTGGTCAAGGCAGCCTCCGAGAACTTGAGCGCCCTATCAAAGCCGGAAAGATCTCTCTTCGCCTTGTCTAGAGGTGCCGTTTCTGTTTCTGTATCATCATCCATGTCCATGTCCAGATCGTCGCACGGCTCTTCTTCAGTGCGTGGGGCGATCGACTTCTTGCCCATGCCTTGGAGGCCCGAGATGGACTGGGCCTTTACAACAGGGGACGACGTCTTATCATCAGCTTAGAACTCTTTGACTAGTCACAGGGGTAAGGTAAGGTAAGGTACTCACTTGTTGAGCAAGAGTGGGGTCAATCTTGGGAGCATTGCTGTTGTCGACCGCCGCCGGGCTGCCAGCTCCTCCGGGTGTGGTGGGTATGATCACCGGCGAAGAAGGCGCAACGGTGGGAGCAGCAGCAGCAGCAGCAGCAGGAGGAGGGACGGCGGCAGCCTGAACTGTCTTCTTTTCATCGGCCGCGGGAGCGGGAGCCACAGCGGCTTTGGTGGCAGCACCTGCGGCAGCGTTAACCGCAGCGCCTTCAAGTGCGTTCATCAGTGTTGAGACGTCCTGTTTACCTCCGAAGCTTATTTCACCATCACCTGTTTCCCGTGTTAGTAACCGAGTATGTAAAGCACGGAAACAAAAATTAGGGCAGTGACTTACCGACTACCAAGGCGGGCGAGTACGCCCCCAAGTTGATGTTAAGTGGAAGAGCGGCAGCCAGGCCGGCGAATGCGATGAAACGGTAATTGACCATTTTGAAAGATGGAGGAAGACCACCAGGGACTTGCTTTGAAAACTCGGTAGTGAAAAAAAAGTATTAAGATGATAAAAAGAATATGCGACCAGCGACTACGACCAGCGTATGAGAATGAGAATACCGAGTGAAGATGAAGGAAGAAACTGGAAGGCCGAGCGTTGCTGATGGATGATGAGACAGAAAGGCAGCTGAGAAGGTGTTTACGAGTGATCTTTATAGATAACTCACGACAATGACGAAGGAGTAGGACGAGTTCCTGTTCACCTCATCCTCATCATTGCCGTAACTCGATCTAGAAGCGCTATCATTTCGAGTGACAGGAGACTACGACACAGCTCTGTGAAACGCCAAGTCAGACTGATCACCTACAACTGAAGGATAACTAACTAGCCGTGAGTGGTATCTTGAACGCTGAAAAGCTCCTGTAAGGGGGTAACAAATACCGGCATGGGGTATAAGGGCGGCTGACTGTTCGTGGAGGCGAATGGTCGACGAGAAAGGCAAGGCGAGGAAAGTCTAAGGGGAATAAAGATGCCAAGACGATGCAGTACCGGAGGAGTTGAGACGATCTCAGGGGAGAGGTCCCGGAGAGCGATCGTATGTATCGTCGAATTCCAGTATGGCGGAGGATAGTATAATCGTTTAGCTCGGTATAGCGACCGGGTCTGCCATATGTGAGACCTGCCAAGAAGTTCCGAGCGACATTGAGATGTTCGAAGATAAGGTTCGAGGCGCTTTGCAGCATCTAGACCACGGAGTACAGGCTCCTGGCGATGCTACCGACCCCGAAGTCTGTTTAGGAGATCCGAGGGTTGCAACGTAGAGAAACCTGGGGGCAGGGGTCGCAATGCTACCTGGGATCTGTAACAGAATCTAGCCCGTGCCCCTGATGGTCAACACGGACCGAGACTCTCTGTCACAACAGGCGGCAATGTAAAACACCAACCACAGTGACTTGGTGTACCAAAGGAGACATCGTGGCTCATGCAAGCGAAGCACACCTTGGACACGAGATTCCGGGCTCGATGCTGATTGATTGATGCTGGCAAGGAGAAGATCAGATTAGCCGTCGATATGAGAGCCATTGTACAGTCCAATACTGGTTTCTTTGTTAGCTCGAGACCTCTGGTCAACTTTCCTAGGCGTTTATATATCTAATTGATCCGTTTCGTTCCATACCCAAAGCGTGATCTTACCTTGCATATGCTATTTTGGAAATTTGATATGCCATATTGAATCTTGTTGATGCCTTTCCGACCCGAACCTAGCCATTCATTTTATCTCTTTGTAAGGTTTGGGACAATTCGGGATAGATCCCGTCCGGGATACTAGGAGTACCAAGCTAACAAACAAACCAGCATTAGATTGTATTGTCATGAAGACTGGCGTCTGAGTCGCCAGCTTGAGCGCGTTTGAACTTTGAACACACAATCAGATGGGGGTACTCTCATACGGGACAAAGAGACACCATATCGACTCCGATCAAGATGACTGTTCCATATAATCTTTCCCTTCAGAAAACTCAGCACCATCGCAGATTGCTCTGATGTCTGCCGGGTTCGAATTGAAGGTCATAGGAGCTGAGCCGTGCAGAGCTTTTCCATTCCCTCGGTATAAAGCTCGGACGAGATATGTTGCGATGTAAATTCAGCTGGCTATATACGCCGTAGCCTCAGGGATCTCGTCACTACCAGACCCAAGCAATGTCCACCGGCGTTTGGACTTGTTGCTCGTTCTTCTCCAACTTTGGCCCAGCTCTTCCAAGGAATCCACTCGACCGCACAGATCTTGATAAACACGTGAAAGACGATATTCATCAGTTTCCCCATACTTATGGCAAAAGTGCTCGAAGTTATCTCGTTCTAGTGGCCATGAGCCGGCCAGTGTCCAAGTGTCTCAGGGTTATGGGTTTTTTTTCAGGCACTTGTGAGATGTTTCCCAGGATGCTCGGCTTTTTGCGCACTGAAAAATGTTTGAAGGAAAGCCATGATGTGATATCCTACTTAGGTATCTTTCGTGAACAGGCTCTGGAGGAACATAAGCAAACCAAGACGGAAGGCATGAAGTTCGCTCAAAGGGACAATAGGTTCGGTTGATGCTGGGGAAGCTGTACCCGCCGTGTTAGTAAAATGTCTCCACTCTCCACTTTGATGCTATCACCAAACCGTAAAGGTGCGCAGCCGCCTGAGCTCAAGGAGATGAGCGAAAAAGAGACGTGAGGGTGCTCGATGCAGAGGAAAGGAAGAGATATACGACGGTGGCAAAGCTTATAATACTTTCAGCGGGGAAGAGTGCCGTGCCATGAGAGCACGTCGGTAAACACTTGAAGTTGTGAATGGAGACCAACATGTGCCGCTCTGATGGATGAACTGAAGTTCGGACTGGAACGGGAAACAGTTCACCCCATCTCGATCTCGGCGGGGAGCGCGGCGTGCACGGTTCGCACAGCACTTTGTGCGCTCCAAAAATGCCCCGCACGATAGGGAAAAGTAGGTCTTGGCATGGCAATGGGCCCATGCGCGACAGGTCCAAAATTTTGGATCGAGCGCCAAATATTTTCCCCAGGTCGAAGGTTTCCTATCCAGCACTCCTCGTATCGTCTGAGGTCTTGTTGGCTCGCTCTCCTTTCAACTCCTCCGCTCATTCCTTGTGTGTGTTTTTGCGGATACCCTCAGTCAACATGTCGATTCTCAGGACGATCGCCCCCTTCATGAGGGCGGCCCGGGCCGGTGCCAGCACTAACCCCCTCATGACCATGAGGTCTCCCATCCTCAACTTCAACCGCTCCTACGCCGCCGTCTTCCAGCGTACCAAGCCTCACGTCAACATTGGTACCATTGGTCACGTCGATCACGGCAAGGTACATATAGATATATCTTCCCTAGATCTTCCCTAGAAAAGGACTGACATATATACCTCCCCCTCCGCGTAGACTACCCTCTCTGCTGCCATCACCAAGCGCCAGTCCGACAAGGGCCTCGCCAACTTCCTCGACTATGGCTCCATTGACAAGGCCCCCGAGGAGCGCAAGCGTGGTATCACCATCTCCACTGCCCACATCGAGTACTCGACCGACAACCGCCACTACTCCCACGTCGACTGCCCTGGTCACGCCGATTACATCAAGAACATGATCACTGGTGCCGCCTCCATGGATGGTGCTATCATTGTCGTCGCCGCTTCCGATGGTCAGATGCCCCAGACCCGTGAGCACTTGCTCCTCGCCCGTCAGGTCGGTATCCAGCGCATTGTCGTCTTCGTCAACAAGGTCGATGCCATTGACGACCCCGAGATGTTGGAGCTCGTCGAGATGGAAATGCGTGAGCTCCTCTCCAGCTACGGCTTCGACGGTGATGAGACCCCCGTCATCATGGGTTCCGCCCTCTGCGCCCTCGAGGGCAAGCGCCCCGAAATCGGTGTTGAGAAGATCGATGCCCTCATGCAGGCCGTCGACGACTGGATCCCTACCCCCGAGCGTGACCTCGACAAGCCTTTCCTCATGTCCGTTGAGGATGTCTTCTCCATCGCCGGCCGTGGTACCGTCGCCTCTGGCCGTGTCGAGCGTGGTACCCTCAAGCGCGACCAGGAAGTCGAGATTGTCGGCAAGGGCACCGAGATCATCAAGACCAAGGTCACCGATATCGAGACCTTCAAGAAGTCCTGCGAGGAGTCCCGCGCCGGTGACAACTCCGGTCTCCTCCTCCGTGGTATCCGCCGTGAGGACATCAAGCGCGGCATGGTCGTCGTCGCCCCCGGCTCCGTCAAGGCCCACACCAAGTTCCTCGTCTCCCTCTACGTCCTCTCCAAGGAGGAAGGTGGTCGCCACACCGGCTTCCAGGCCAACTACCGCCCCCAGATGTTCATCCGCTCCGCCGACGAGTCCGTCTCGCTCACCTTCCCCGAGGGTACCGAGGATGCCGACTCCAAGATCGTCCAGCCCGGTGACAACTGCGAGTTGGTTGCCACTCTCTGCCACCCCATTGCCGTCGAGGCCGGTCAGCGTATCACCGTCCGTGAGGGTGGCCGCACCGTCGCCACTGGTATCATTACCCGCATCATGGAATAAGCTATCAACTACTCACGATGAGATGTTGAGGTTGTAACAAGCTATGTAATGATATCTAACACCGAGCCGAGCCTAGACGAGCCCCGGTGAGGTAGTAAAACACACACACACACATATACAAGGAAAAAAGGGACCGCGAGCCGCCAAAAGAAGCGGGTTTGTTGTCAGGAGTTCAAAGAGAAATATACCTACAGTGTACGATGTAAAGCAATGAATGTTTATGGATCTGAAATGCCTTTTTCCTGGGGAGCCTGCCATGTTTTTTGTACAAAGAGTGTTTTGGGCTCTAGTGATGATCTCTCCCCTCATATTCTTCTCATATTGTCTTGTTAATCTTGTAGTATAGATGGTTCAAAAGGCAATGATAGAAGCTAGAAGGCATTAAGTCAATGTTCATTTCCTCGTGTGCCTGTGACCAAGTTGAATGATGATAGATGCTTGTTGAGACTTGCGAGCCGACTGGTTCAATGGCCACGCGCTTGCTATGCTCCCCAGACCACCATTGGTCATCAAGGTTCGCACAAGTTGTTCACCGACACTAGGCGCGAAACATACAAAGTTCACAGATCACGGCTTCAGAGAGATATGAGAACGAGACAGAATGCTGGTTGACCAAAGAATCACGCGGGTCTATTGATCGCTCGATGGGAGAGAAACAGACAAAGTCTAACCTCTGCTGTTCCTCAGTCCGCCGCCCTGTTCCTCTTTTGCTTGTGCTAACTCCGCAGGCCCCAAAACCCGAATCCCGAAAGAAAACCAAGCAAGCAAAAAACTCCAGGGGATGTGATGATGAACAAAAGCATTGCTGCTCCGTCCGTTTTCGTAAAAGTGTCGTCGTGTCGTCTCGGGTTGTTGTTTGTCATGAATCAAGGCTGAACCCCCATTTTTCCGTTATGTCGTTGTTCCCTAATCCACCCGTGTCGAGATTTCCGTCGTCGGCATGTCGTCTAATATGATATAGGGACACACGTTGCGCGCGCGAGACAAGTTGGTTCGGCTGGACATTTTTTGCATTTCCCGTAGATGACGAAACGATTTGGAACTCGGCTGTGATGATGTTGTGACCCTTTGTGTCCTCCCCTCATCATCGTCCTCCACCAAAACCTCCCATCATGTCAAGAAAGGGGGGAATTTAGCGGTGCTACAAAAGAGAACAAGCGAGTTAGCCATGCCCTCTTGTTTCTTTCCCATGACCCTTGCTTCACGCGACTGGGAACAGTGTTTGAGACCCCCGGGCCGTAGAGGTTCTCTTTTCGTCGCAAGATGTGTGTTCTCTCTCGTTCGTGGCACCGCGGATTTCCACTGTTCCAGTCGCGTGTGCGCAATTCCGCCAGTTTCTGCCGTGGTATTTTCTTCTTACCTTGGTGAAGCCAATGTCGTTGGCCTTCTCACGGAAGCACTGACGGCAGATGTTGAGGCCGTACTTGCGGATGAGACCGGCAGAGTGGGTGCAGACACGGCTAAACAACGTCGAAAAAAAACGCCCGGTTAGCAACTCTTCAGTTCTCCGTCAAAATTTGGATTAGAATGTGAAGCCATATTTCCATCCTCCGTCGTTTCGCGCATTTTGCTCGGTGCTCCCAGTTTTCCCTCCTCTTTCACATTTCCCCAACAGCCATTTCGCCCCAGCAATGATCCTCCCAAAAAATCCCCATCTCTTGCTCATGTGTGATGTGTGTATGGATTATGGATAATTGGTGTTGTTGAATAACAATCCTTACCAAGAGCGGGCGCCCTTGCCGTAGGTGCGGGGGCGGGAGTTCCAGACGGATTCGTGAGACATCTTGATTTTCGGGGTTTTGCTGTCGCAGCGAGAAAATCGTTGTCGTGCGGGCGGCGGGTTGACGATAACTTGGTCTGTCGGGCTGGGGGCGGGAGGGGAGGTGGTTTTTTTCGCAAGAGGGTTGCCAAATATGGGGCGAGATTTTTCTGTGGGCGGTTTCGCGGGTCCGGTCCGGCAGCAACTGCTGCCGCCAGGGCTTGTGCACGTCGGGCTTGGCACTCTCAGTGCACAGTTGCGTGGCAGATGGGTGTGGCTGGTGCGATGCACTTTCAAGGAGGAAGGAGTGACTGGATGGCGCGGCTGAGCTGTGGCTGACGCCCAGAAAGTCTTATCGATAATAAAAGTTCCTTATCATCTTATCGCAGTTGCACACCGCTCTGGACACAGTGCGCCTGCAGACAGACCTGAGCTCTGACGGCCCCACCAATGACCGCAGCATGCGGGGCGACTCGGACGACGGATTTCAGGGGATTTTGGGGAACTTAAAAGCTTTTGAGCGCTGACATGACCAACTGCAGTGGCAAGGATCACAAAGGTTCGACCAGTGGCTATTGACCGGCCCGGGCGGACAACTTCCACTTTCGAGTTGCCAGCAAGCGCAAAGTGGCATCTTCCCCCGAGTTTCCATCTGATTTCAAACCATTCATCTGGAACTTTGCCAATTTAGGATACCTTGCCCAATTGTTTGAGGTCCGTTGCCACCAACAGCTAAGTTCCAAAGCAGGACATCTCGCGCCTGTTAGTGTTTTCTTCTCTTCTTCTCTAACATCACCTCCACAGAGCGTTTCCGATCAACAGCTTCATCCACGCGCTTCTTCACACACCATGGTCCTCCTCAAGAGCTTGGTGGTAGCCAGCTTGGCTGCTGCCGTTGCGGCCAAGTCTGCCGTCCTCGACCTCATCCCCTCCAACTTCGACGATGTCGTCCTCAAATCCGGCAAGCCCACCCTCGTCGAGTTCTTTGCGCCCTGGTGCGGCCACTGCAAGACGCTTGCCCCCGTTTACGAGGAGCTTGCTACCGCTTTCGAGTACGCGAAGGACAAGGTTCAGATCGCCAAGGTCGACGCCGACGCCGAGAGAGCGCTGGGCCAGCGCTTTGGTGTCCAGGGCTTCCCCACCCTCAAATTCTTCGATGGCAAGAGCGAGAAGCCGGTAGACTACAAGGGTGGTCGTGATTTGGAAAGCCTGTCCAGCTTCATCGCCGAGAAGACCGGTGTCAAGAGCAGGAAGAAGGGTTCTGCTCCCAGCCTTGTCAGCATTCTCAACGATGCCACTTTCAACGGCGCCATTGGCGGCGACAAGAACGTCTTGGTTGCTTTCACTGCTCCCTGGTGCGGCCGTACGTGACCTTTAAAGACCCTATTGTTCAGAAATGATTTGTACTAACAGACTTCAAGACTGCAAGAACCTCGCTCCTACCTGGGAGAAGCTCGCCGCTACCTTTGCCAGCGAGCCCGAGATCACGATTGCCAAGGTTGATGCCGATGCCCCCAACGGCAAGAAGTCCGCCGCCGAGTACGGCGTCTCCGGTTTCCCCACGATCAAGTTCTTCCCCAAGGGAAGCACTACCCCCGAGGACTACAACGGCGGCCGCTCCGAGGCTGATTTCGTCGAGTTCCTGAACGAGAAGGCCGGTACCCACCGTACCCCCGGTGGTGGCCTTGATACCGTCGCTGGCACCATTGCTGCCCTCGATGAGATTGTTACCAAGTACACCGGCGGCGCCTCCCTGACTGAGGTTGCTGAGGAGGCTAAGGAGGTTGTCAAGAGCCTGAAGGACTCTGTCGACCTCAAGTACGCCGACTACTACCTCCGCGTTTTGGACAAGCTCAGCAAGAGCGAGGGTTATGCCGCCAAGGAGTTTGCCCGTCTCGAGGGTATCCTCAAGAAGGGTGGTCTTGCCCAGGCCAAGGTTGATGAGCTTACCGCCAAGGTCAACGTTCTCCGCAAGTTTGTTGAGAAGGCGGCTGAGGAGGTGAAGGATGAGCTCTAAATGTACAGCTAACAGCTAAACAATCCTTTGAAGTTATAGCTGGCTGCGTGTGATGATAGATCCAATTCTGAATAAATGAACATTTGGTCCCAATGCTTGTTCCCGTATCTTGTTGCTGCAATGACACTAAAGTGAGGAGACATTTCTTGCTGCTCGTCATGTTCATGGTATAGGTTTTGTACGTGAACTACCGCACTCGCGTAAACATTAGACGCTTGCTCTGTATAACTCCGAAAACTCCATCGCCCTAGCATGTCTCGGCCCACACATAACGTTCCCTGAACCCGACCCCTATTCGCACGTGGTTTGTTTACTTTCACGACGAAAAAAACTCAGGCTGGTCCGTTTGGCTTCTCCTTCCCGGCCATTATTTGAGACTCTAAGTTGTCAAGACGTCTTGACATCTCGTCCACTGACCCAACCTGTTAGCATTCACTGACTTGACAGACTTCAACTAGTAAACACCGTCTAAAGTCTTACTCTTGGCAAAGATCTCGCTGGAAACACCGGCGAACTTGTTCGAGAGGGTATTTAGAAGATCCTCAAGCTGAACTGAGAGCTCCTGACGGGCGTCATCCGCAGACTATGAGTTGAGGTCAGCCATGGTGAGCTATGGGTATACGAGTTCGGAGAAAATGTCCCGACTTACGTTGGTCGCTGTTGGGCTCGTGGTGGTGTTGGCCTCGCCGTTTTCAGACATGATGCTTTTCGAGGAAAGATATGTGAAGACGGGATGTGTTAGAGGGCGCAAGACGTTTGTTTGACAAAGTGGTTCCTGAAGATGCTCTCACTGCCAGAGACGGAGTGTTTATGTTGAAAAGGGATGAGCACCTTGAGGGCAGCGGATGATTTCCATCATCTGCAAGCGCTACGGCGAGCCGCCTGGATGCAGCGGGGTTCAGCGGCAAGAGCGGGTATGCACTAACAATACCCTGCCTGCATGGAGCTGTCAACGGTCGCTTCCATCCAGCATCATCACTGCGGCCCAGCTTCCGTTGGTTCCTTGATAACCATACACACCCGACCGCAAGCTCACCAACATCCATCTTCTTGGTCGTGACGCGGCACGCGATGATAATTACACTATACCAAATATTACAGTTCAACTGAAGCCACTACATACGAATCATCGCCACTCAACGATGCTCCCTTGAGTTTCCATTCCTCTAACCAGACGCCAAAGCCACCAACTTCAAGGGGACATGGAAAGATGACAAGGCGCGACGACGTTCCGCAATGCCTTCCCAAAACTCAGATGTCAGAGCTCTACTGATAGTCCTCATCCTTCTCTGGGTCTTCTTCTCCCCGGACGGTAGCGATCCCGCCAGTTTGACGCCGCCTGAAATCGCCCACGCGCGACAAGCTCGTTTCCAGGGTGCGCTCGACGTCCTGAACACCACACGATGGGGTGATTTCGCTCCTGATGCGCTGCCGCCGTCGCCACCCGCGCCTCCTACCGAAACCGACGGACCAGTTGACGGAATTGGGAATGGGGACGGCAATCACAAACAGGGCCCTCGATTTCTGAACATTACGGGGTTCAGCCAACTCGATGGGAAGGGGTATGCGTGGGAAGACCTCGGTCGGTTCAGAAACCGCTGTCGCGAATGGAGCCGAAACGCTTTTCCCTCGACCACCGTTGGCCGGCTGGACGATGATGATAGCTGGGAGCGCAGTATCGGCGGCGGCACATGGAAGAACGCTACGGGCACTCTGCATGGAACTTGGGTGCGACGACCGGGAACCGTCGTCAGGCAAGCCGCGGGATACAACCTAAGTGCTATTGCGCCAGGGGCGACTTGGCCTAGCGGCCTTGTTGAATGGGGGAGAAACATTTCGGGTGACCATGGCAAGATCGAGTTGCGAATAGACGAGGACGAAGGGGATGGTGTTTACGAAGAGAAGGTTGAGGGCAAAACTTCAAAGGGTGCAAGTCTGGCGAGGGAGATTCAGGCTGTGGCTACGATCCAGGACGACGCAAGCGAGGCTAGCAGCTGGAGCTTGTTACTCCATGGTGTTCACTGGCCACGGCAAGGCGCTATCCTTCTCACCACTAGCAGCGAGAAGTTCGACGGCATCTTTGGCCTGCCCCATCTGGCGCCAGGTCCCAACTTCTTCCATACCGCCCAGCATTTGCTGAATCAGACGTTGGGCAAAATCATCCAGGCCAGAGAGAAGAGTAAATACGGCTTCCCAGGCAACCCATGGGGTTCGAGGATGGAGGACGATGACGGCTTCCCTGCGCAGTGCGAGTATGTGATGTACCTCCAACTACTTCCGCTCGAGCTTTCTCGCCGGTATGAATCTTCCCAGCTGCTCGAATCCTACATCGAGGAGCTCGAGCGCGAGTTACGCCACCCCACAGGGGCGCCCGTCGGCAGGATTCCCGATCTGCGTGCGTCTATGGTGGCATGGTCTCCCGACTGTTCGTTCTTCCTGGAGTCCAAGGGCCCGCCAGAGTTCCCTTCGGTCGACGGAGAGCACCTTGTCGGCATGAAGGAGGACATGTTCACCTACACGGCCAAAGAATGGCTGATTGCATTCGCTGCCGTCATGCTGGGTCAGATATGGCTCTTCAAGGCACAGATGAAGCAGTCGAGCACGCCGTCCACTACCGGGCGGGTCAGTTTCTGGACAGTAGGCACCATGCTGTTTGCCGATGGCATGATCTTTGTGACTGCTTGTGCCTGGAGTCTGAACGCGACAGTCACACTGCTACCCTGCTTGCTCGTCACATTTGCGGCCTTCATATCCATGTTCATCGAAGGCGCATTTTTGTCAGAAGTCTGGAAGATTCAAGAACCAGAGAGGAGGATTCGTGAGCGGGAACGAGAACAAGCTGCTGCCGCTGCGAACCGCAACGCCTCATCATCAGCATCAACAGCACCACCGCCCACCACTCAACCTCAACCACTCGCAACACAACCAGCTCCTCCTCCCGCTCAGCCTCGCCAACCCATCATAGTCCCCTCAGACGGTGACATCGACGAAGCCGAACAACTAGCCAACCTCCTCTCCGGCGCCTCCGCCCTCCCTCTCCCCGCCACCGCTCGAACACCCGGTCAGCAACCACCATCAAACGAACCCCGCCCACCAACCCCCTTCAGCACCATAACCGGCCGCTTCGTCCTCGCCGGCTTGTTCCTCCTCTTCCTCTCCGCCGTCGCCACCTCCTGGCCCTCACACATCCGCTCCTTCTACGTCAACACCCTTTCCTTTTTGTACTGCTCTCTCTGGGTCCCCCAAATAATCCGCAACACGCAACGCAATTCCCGTCAAGCTTTCTCCTGGCGTTTCATGATCGGCCAATCCTTTTTGAGGCTATTGCCGTTCGCCTATTTCTTCCTAAGGGAAGATAACGTCCTACTAGCTGACCCGGACCCGTTTGCGTTTTTGGTGTTGGTCGGATGGGTGTGGATCCAGCTTTGGGTTATGTGTGCTCAAAGTGTTTTGGGGCCGAGGTTCGGAGTGCCTAGGGGGTGGGTAAGGGAGGCGTGGGATTACCATCCTGTTTTGAGGGATGATTTTGATTTGGAAGGTGGTGGTGCTAAGGGAATGGGGTTGCCGATTGGATTGGCTAGGACGGGGACGGGGTTGTCATCGTCGTCGCCGACCGAGGAAAGGGGAAGGTCGTGGAGTGTGGTTTCTTTGACTGGCACTGGTACCGCTTCCACTGCTGAAGCAGGGGAAGGAAGTGCCGCTGCTGCTACCGGTAGTGCAGGAGGCGCAAGGAACCGTGAGAGAGAAAAAGAAAAAGAAAGGGAAAAACAAAAGGGCGTCACCATGCGATCTGTCGACTGCGCCATCTGTCGCGAGTTATTGGAGGTGCCGGTGTTTAACAATAACAAGGGCAGCAGTGGCTCCTCGGAGTCAGCGGCCTCGGGCATCACGGGTGTGTTTGCGAGAAAGGCATACATGGTTACGCCGTGTAGACATATTTTCCATACGAACTGCTTGGAAGGGTGGATGAAGTATCGGTTGCAGTGTCCGATTTGTAGAGAGGAGTTGCCGCCTTTATAAGCTGTGTAGTTAGCTAGGGTGTTTGTTGGGAAGAATGGGGGGAAGTATTGGTTGACGGGTATAGTCTATGGGTAGACTGCAGTGGGATGGGATGTATACATTAGCATTGTGGAAAGGTTGAAAGTTGGAAAGCGTTATAGATTGGTTGAACAACAAATATATACAGACGGGAGCATGAATCAGATCAGAGCAGAGACATGGTCCATCAGCAGCGTTTGGTTTGAGAACCTCAATACAGAGCATTACTCTCTATAGATTCGTGAATGGTAGAGGCCACCTAGAAATTGTATGTAGCTTCTAGGACAGCTGTAAGAATGCTTTTCAAGCTCCAGCATTTTTATTTATTTTTTGACAACATCGATGATGAAAGCCACTCGCTAGGTACAGTTCGCTGAGCTACAATTTCTTCTTCCCCGGCAGAGTGCTAGCTTGTAATATCCCACAAGACGGTTGAGGTATACACAGTATAGACAAACGTGATCCCGTCCCGGCCTTCGAAAAGACAGGCCAAGAGTATCCTACGTAAAGCTCTTCTGCTTCTGCCTAGTATTCCAACCAAGCTTCGCATTGATACTCTTGATCCATTCCTCACTCCTCTTCCCCTGCGGCTGAACACTGGCAAATGGATACCTGCTCGCGCTGATGGTCACGTAGTCGCCCGGTCTAAGCTCGATACGCTCGCGGCCATCGAAACTCGCCCAAGAGCCGGTCCGGGCATCGTAGGGCACGCCGATGCGAAGCACGATGGTGTCGGGCAGGATGATGGGCCGGAAGGAGAGCGTGTGCGCGCAGATAGCGGTCACGAGCATGACGGGGTTTTCGGGGTGACAGAGAGAGCCGCCGGCGCCGAGGTTGTAGGCGGTTGAGCCGGTGGGAGTGGAAACGCAAATACCATCGGCGTGGACGGAGGTGAAGTGCTCGTCATCGCCGAAGATATCGATGGATGACATTGCTTGAAGACGTAGGTTAGTTGTATGATCCCCGATGTGGGTGAAATGGCAAGATGACGACTTACTTGGATTGGGTCCTCTATCCACCACCACCTCGTTGAGCACGTCATATGTGCCGTCTGGTCGATGGGTTCGTTCGTCATCCTTTTCCTCGCCGATGAGTTCTTCTACGAGATCTCGTTTCCTCTCTTCCTCTTCCTCTTCGCGTGTATCATTCCCGTTCTGGCCATCAGGACCCTCTGTGCCGCCCGGTTTTCTATCCCCATCCTTAACGAGCTTCCTTCTTTTCTTCTGACATCGCATGACGGTTCCTTCGAATCTTAGCCTCAAAGCCACATTGACACCTTCTGTGAAGGCAGCTGTCAAGGTCTCTTGATAGTTGTCAAAGTCGAACTTGGTCAGAAACCCTAGGCTCCCAAGAGCAAAGCTCAGAACAGGTGGAACGATCCGCTGGAATAACCAACTCGCAAATAGTACGGTTCCATCACCGCCGAGTGTGATCACAAAGTCGGCCGTGTGTGGCCTGGCGCGACACAATTCCTCGTCCCAGTAGCGTAGACGCTGGGATATGTCATTGCCGGCTTCCTCTGAGATCTCGCCAGACTCAACATAGTCCTTGCGGACCTCTTCGATCAGACCGGGTGCATCAAACTTCATGTTGCTACGCAATGCCTTGTCGATGTAGACAGTATAGCGCACGTCGCGCTCCTTATCAAGTAACCACCGGATCAAGGCGCGTGTCTTGGGAATTAGTTCCTGGTCATACGGCTTGGTGAGCACGAAGATGGTCTTGATCTTAAACTTCAAGCGCACGCTGCCCAATCGCCGACTCAGCTCCCTCACTCCCCATGCCATCTCACTCAACTGCTTCTTGGTGAGGAGCCTGCTGTGTGTTTCGTCTAGGTCTGTTTCGGTGAGTTGTGTGGATTCGATCCTTACGATCTCACTTTTCCATTCCTTCTCATCAATCTGACCAGCATCACTGGTATCGCTTGAGTTGGCATTGGTAATTGAGCACTCCCGGGCGCGCGGATCGGCGGCATTGTTACTGAGAGTGCTTGGGACGCCTTTAGGGTCGGGCACCCGGTCCTGGCCATTTTCACGAGTAACATCGAGGTGTCCATGTAGGGTATTTTGCCGTCTAGGGGGCCGTCGCTGAGCGTCGAGAAACTGGTGGACAAAGCATTCCGTCCTGGCCGGCTGTGACCGCCGGAGGTGAAGGGGGACACGAACGTCGCTGTCTACTATAGAGCTCTTGCGCCGATACGGACTAGATTGATCGAACGAGACCTGTGGAGGGCAAATTGGCCATGATTCAGCTGGTGCACATAGTAGGCAAGTGGGCAGGAAGGGACGGAAGGGACAGAAGGGGCACAAGGCTGTGCTTCTCGGTCATGCTCGGCATGAACGGACGCGGGGACTGTGATGCATTGGTTCCCTACCTCAAGCGCATTCTGGTCCTCTTCACTTGAACTGGAATGGTCGTCCTTCTCAGGCTGCTTTTCACGATCGGGAGCAGCCATTATCCTCAATCATGCTCCGTTGCTCGCTGATTGTCCTGTCTTCCTCCGCTCGTTATGCTCGCTCTCGGGGGCTCGGCGTCAGGTCGGCTTGGTTGGCAACCTCCACTCTTGTCGCTCCAGGGTGGGTTGCAGTCCCTTCCTCTCAATAGAGGTATCGTTCGACGTCAATCAAGACTACTGTGTAGGTGCGTACGGGTTGATGGAGGTACTTTGGCGCAGCAGGTAGTAGGTACTTTCGGAAGAACTGGGTTGAGTGACTCGGTGGCTCCAGAGTTCAGACTGTAACTGGTCGATCATCCACCGCTGGCTGACAATGTTGCTTTGTGCTGTATCGGATCGGTAGGAACGGCTTCTGGTGGTGGTCGCAAGGTGTTTTGGGTGATGGGTGCTATGACGGGAATGGGAAATGCTACCGGTTCGGCCGTGCACTGAAAAGACGGGAACTCGAGTCACGATGTTCATACTAGTTGCTACTCGTCAGGACTAGAAGCGTCCCTGACCCCATGATAGCTAGCACAATGCTCCTTCTGCTTTCTCCCACTGATCGTGGTGCTCTCCTTCCTTCCTTCCAATCTGTGAAACAAGTGTCCTGATTCAGTCAAGTCAAGGGCCGTCATTGCACTTGTAAGGCGGGGTAAGTGGTGATGTCTACACTGGGCGGAGAGAACCGGCAATACGTCATCGGTTTTCGTGCACACCAGCAGCTGTCTCGGCTCGATGGTCAAACTTTTCCAAATGGAATGTCCGAAGCACGGAGTTGATCTACTACACTACAGTATACATCAATCTGTACTCGGCATCAATTCGGCGAACCGAGTAAATCGTATGACGGTTGTGTTTTTGGGCGACAATCAGGACAATCCCACGGTTGTGGAGGGGTTGGAGACAATTTGGAGGAGGGGAAGCTTTGGATCTGTCCCGATAATCGGATGTGCCAAATGCAGTAACCTCATAGGTCCAGGTCTTGGCTCGCTTCGCATGGACGGACAGACCTCATGCAGCTAGAATATCGACGTTGTCGATGAGGGACATGCTCCGATAACCACCACGCTTGAGCCACCGTCAAAGCAACAACCAACCACTCCCTCATTGAGGCCCCGCCCCTCCTGTATAACCAGCTCTGGAAATGGCCTCAATTTTCATGCACTAGCGTGGTGTTCCGGAACGCGGGCGACACTCTCCAACCGATGCTTCCATCGACACGAGCAGGAAGAGGCCTTGTCAACCTGCCTGTGAGCTGCATCAGCTTGTTGAGGTTGTCCCGCACTGCCGCACTGTTTCAGCAATCTCGGTCCATGGAAAGGATCTGCCACGGCTCCCACGGGTCAAAGGCTCTCATCAATCAATAGGTGGAAATAACCGTGACCACATAGGGAAGGAAGCAATCCACGCACACTGCACATCACATCCCCAAGCCGCTCGGAGACAGAAGCTGCGATTGTCCTCCAGCCAACATCCACTAGCCGAACGTACTTTCCAGGTTCACGAGCCGGTCCGCCTACCTACCTACAGTGCCCCCCATCTCACCACTGGACGGCAAGTACAAGTCACTCCAGTTGTTATTACGCGGCTCAAAAGGTTACCACACCCCTACACTTGCGTCTAGCTGTTTCTGCGTATGAAAGTGTTCATGCCTGGTCGTTCTTGCTTGTTCCTCAGCCTCCTTCGGATCCAGAGGTCTCGAACATCCCAAAGACACCCACCAGCTACCTGAACCTTGTCGTTACACTGAAGGGCCTGAGCCAACAACTTCACAACCCGTCTACGGCTTGTCATTTCCGACTGTCTTGGTGGCTGTCAACCCGTCCACGCCAAGCGGGCACTCGCTCACTTTGTTACGGACGAAAGATACGAAACCCAACCAAGCCATCATCCCCACGAACACTGTCGTCCCCCAACTTCCCTCTTGACTTGCATCAAAACACAAGGTCAGCAAGGGAGGCCAGGCGGTCGGCCGGCTCCGAAGTTTCGACAGTACCGTTACCTCAAACAGTACCTCTGGTTGATACACCTCAGACATACAAATTCCCTTACTTTCATCTCAAGCCAACAACAGAGACAGAGAAATAGAGACAATGAAGCACCTCATCTTGGTGGGGGCGTGCTACTTGGACACTATTCTGACGTGAGTTCACCCCTATAGTTGCCGGTTTGTTGCTGGCGAGAGCTGTAGCTGTGGCTGGCATTACCGGGATCGGGATGTGCATGTTATACACAGTCCTCCATTTTATATAGTTCTGTGCTCACACATGAGATACCACTCTGTGCTCATCGTCTGTAGTGTTCCTCAGTTCCCCGAAGAAGACTCCAAGCTACGAGCAACGGCCTTGCAGGTGAGACGCGGGGGCAACTGCCCCAATACAGTCGAGGTTCTCCAGCAGCTGCTCCTCTCAGGACGTGGCCTGGCTTCTTCATCAACTCAAAACCAACAAGACAGCGCTGCTGATATTGTTGCTGTTACACCGCCACCATCGCAGCAACAACAGCAGCTGACTTTACACCTGGTTTCCATCCTGCCCGATGTCGGGTCGTCCGCCACCCGCAAAATCCTGTCATCCTTTGCAGCTCCTCCTGCTCCTCAGCCGTCTCCATCTTACGACTCTGAGTCCATGTCCGAGTCTGTGACCGGCGCCACTTCTGCTACGGCTACCAGTGTTGACTTCAGTCACTGTCTGTACCGCAAGGGGCACGATGAAACAGCCAGCAGTTACATTATCCGCAGTGGCGCGACAGGCAGCCGGACCATTGTGAACTACAGTGACCTTCCAGACATGACAACGGACGAGTTTGTCAATATCGTGCATGATTTCGTTGCCCTCCAGCATAAACACAGTGATGATGGAAGCCTTAGGGGGTTCCTTGGAGAGGATTGCTGGTGGCACTTTGAGGTAGGCTCAGACATCCCCGTTATACACATGCTCACAGAGCACAGCCTACATGCTCTCCGTCTCCTGCTCCATACTCGCCCGTATAACAAGGGTTATAGGTTTCTTGAGGAAGCTATTGCTCTCATCAGTCTCATTCGCATGCCTACCCCGGGTTTTCTTCATATTAACACGCAGATGGATCACGTCTAAAGGGTCGAATACCAGAGACAACACTGCAATGTATCCGCTACCTGCGCCAGGTCTTACCAGGAAGCACTGTCAGCGTCGAGGTAGAAAAGCCAGGCCGGGAGGGCCTTGCTGAGCTAGCCGCGGAATCTGACGTGGTGTTTTACTCCAAGAGTTGGGCAGAGGTAAGTCATATTATTCCCGTGCCACTTCAACTTCTCGTAGAGACCAGTGTGGGCATGCGTGGCGTGTGACATGCTAGGTATAGCACTTGGGCCCAGACATCGCCCAAGGTGATCTTCTGGTTCTCGTCCATGATGCTAAAGTCTGGTCTTGTACCTCCGGTTGTGTAGAGTCGAGGATACACCGAACCAGAAGCCTGTCTGAGAGGCGAGCTGTCCAATTGCAAGAAAGCGTAAGTTTTGCTGCCAAAGAGCACAAATCCATAGTCCGATAAGTATCGGTCAGAGGCAAAGGGCTGTTGCTGTTCTAACACAAACACTCGCAATACCGCGCTATAGTTCTCTCATGCTGTGCACATGGGGATCGCAAGGAGCTGGTGCTCTCTTCCCTTCACCCGCCGGCGCCAGTGGTGGCAACAATGAGCAAACAGCAGAAGTAGCAGACCCAGAATATCTGCACTGTTCTCCGTCAGAGGTGTCCGAGACACAGACAATCACCGTGGTTGAGTAAGTCTCTCTTTCTTCTGTTTGATCGAGATGGATGTTTTACATGATATCTTCTGTCGTCCCTTTACCTTAACCCTTGCTTGAGCCCTGAAAGAACCAGAGTGAGTACCTGCCACAAGCGGCACGCATCTGAACCCGTCACTTCATTTGAGAAAGGTTCACGAAAGGGAGACAAGACAGGACAACAACACAGAAAGAAAGACATGCCTGTATTGAATGAGGACTGAGCCGCCCGGGACCGATGAACGACTCTGCGTGTAGCCTGTTCGTTGCCTTGTTTTACTTGTCTTCCTTTCCGTCTCTCACCAGGTCACGAGAACATTAGAGAAAAACGAAAAGGTTAAAGAAGCCAAGTGGAAAGCAACGTAACCAGAATATTCGGAGTAACTAAACCAAAAGCACATAAACACGGCTGACAAAAACCAACCATCATCACCCGATCACAGTACAATCGGCGCAGGAGATACCTTCATAGCCGGCATCTTGTACGGCTTGTTGATGGCCGAGCCGGATGCAACGGCGGCATCAGCATCAACATCCGCAACCGCAACCACAACCACAAGCCATGACCGATTCTGGACCCAAAGTTGGAGTCAAAAGGAGAAGAAGAAGCAGCTTTTGGCGTTTGCCGTGAGGTTGGCTACCAAGAAGGTTCAAATGGAGGGATTTGCCGGGATTCTTAAGGGATGGTAACTGTCTGTCACAGGATGCTGTGACGTTGGCTATATACCTAATTTGCACACTTGAATTCTGTTGGCAACAAGCAGAACATCGTCCATTTTTTTGATGGTTTCAGAGCTGGTGGGCTAAAAAGTGCACCCTAGCCCCCGCGATAATAACCTAACCTACCTCACGTTCGACAAAGCCGATGGATAGCGACCGAGTGTGCACGACAACTACTATGGACACTGGTTGTTTCTTGCTTGTGATAGACAGTTTCCGAGTTCTCATGTGATGTGTAGAGGTAGTCCCGGCGAGCTTGTGCTTGGTTAGTTTGAGAGTGGAAATGGACGTGGAACTGTAGTTGAAACCTGACTATGTATGTACTTACGCTTCATACACTAGTCTAGGCCCTGAAGAGACGCCAGGCCGTGAAGAGAGTTGTTGTGAAGAGAGTCTTGCTTTTGCTTTGCTTTGCTTTGACCAAGTAATGGGAGGTGACTCGTAAGTTCGTCGTAACCATGGTCTGCTTGGGGCACATGGAACGAACGAGGGGAGGAACAGAGAAGACTACCTAGTGTTATTGTATTGTTGTGTTGTTGTTGTTTTATTATTCTTAGAATCCCATGTGACAATCAATGAATGGATGTGGTACATACATCCCTAGTTAGGTATGTAGAGATGTAAGTACCTGCCTGCTGCGGTCATGTTCTTGGTGATTCAGAACGTACGTGACTCTGTGTGAAGGTGACTTTGGCCCAGAAAGAAATCATGAGGCTAATAATGACCACTTGGGTCAAAGTAGGTATGTACAATGAGAGGTTGACAATCTCCCTGGCCAGCCTGGCAAGCAAGTCTGGCGAGTCTGGGTGGGTACGTACATACCTGACCCGAGTACGAAGGTACATTCTGGTATTTGGCAGAAAAAGGAAAGGCTCCTCGTTGTCTCTCGTGGTCTTTTGGGGGTCAGATCAGATTCCCGCCCCCGTGCGTAGGCTTGTGAGGCTTGTGTAGGCGTGTGGGGGGCATTCCGAATGGAAGCCATGGACTCATTCATGTGTCAGAGTGTAGGTACTGCGTAGGGATAGCTTTGTCAGGAGTTAGTGTAGGCAGGTACATAACGAGAGGAAGCATCCTTTACATGTACCCAAGGTACATGTGGTCGAGGCGCGAGTTGAGATTGAGTTGGTTGGTTGATTCGTTAAGCGGTGATATCCATGGCATGGGCATGTTGCTATGTACTTTGAAAGGATATTTGATTGTTGTGCGTAGTACGATTACTTGTTTGAGAGTTAGGTATGTCTTTCATCCGCAGTTACTTACTGTCCGCCATCTGTTAGTGAACAGACTCTGAGACTCGATAACATGCCAGCATACTATGTGGCATGTAAGCTGGCGAGGCAGGTGGTTGGAGGGATTCCTTAGATAGGCATTAGGTATTCCGAGGATGAGAGTACCTGGCGAGGAGGCCAGGAAGAGACATCGCAGGTAAGGGTAGGTAAAAAGGGTAGGTATTGCGTGTGGAAAACAATCATCCATCCCGTTAACGCTGTTGGGTTTCAATATTCGGGATCCATCTCGTGGTCTCCTTTTCCTTCTTCACGCCATATTGCCCTGTTGCGTAGCGTGGCTCACTACTTGCTTTGCTTTTCCGTGATATTGAGCCAAGATTGTTTGAAGGTTGTTTCTGTTGGCTGGTTTGAGGCAACAACAACGACAACGACCATTGGATAGTTGTTTCAATGGGTTGTAGTGTACGCAGTACAGTACTGAGTACACATGTAGTTGTCTCGGGCCATCGTGATTTGATGCGTTTCTGAATGGCTCGGTGGCTCGGTGGCTTGACGTTTGGGTTCCCGTCCTTCCTCAATCCATCCATTCACCCATTCTACCCAATCCCACAATGTAATGTATGCTGTTTGACTCTTGTCTGACTTTGACGGAAGGTCTCCCCGTGGCCTTTGTTTGGCCTCACTCACCCCCCGTGAACATGGCCTCCCCCGTTTGGGTGGACAGGCGGTAGGGCTGACCACCGAATCGGAGAAAAGGGAATAAACCAGTTGGGAAACGAATGAGGTTGCGCCGGTCCATGTACTGTATGCAGTTGTGCCTACCTAGGTACTGTATTGGTCGTACAAAATGTATCTTTTATTTCCTGGTACGTCCAAGACGTGGGAGAGATGCTTTCCACTCAGCACTCACAGGGAGTCGAGCCGAACCATGAGGTGCCGCATATGGCATGGCAACCTTGAGAGCTTGGCCTCACCTTGGCACCGTCTGGGGAAGTATCTTATGCATGCCATATCCTAATTCGGATGGGCCGAAAAGAGGAACCTACCGCTTGTGTGTAAAAGCTGATGGGAAGGGGAGAAAGCTGCCGAATGAAGAGGAATATGCCAAGTTCAAACAGAGGCGGCTTGACTCGTGGTAACGTAAAGAAGCGGTGAGTGAGCCGAGTGAATGTGCAAGATATCTGCCACAACCTCCCCAACAAAGGGTAGCGTAGCGTGCTGCGCATTTATAGCATCCCAGCACCCGGCCCGTTCGTACCTTTAACAGTAGTCTGGGGATCTGGGGGTTTTAGCGAAGCGCCAGTGGCACCCCAAAGCAAGCAGTGAGCAGCATGTTGTGCTTCGTCCACAAGGGCTAGAAGGGATTTCGTTAGTCCGCTGCTCCGTGCCTCTCTGGCCATGGCCAGTAACTTGCATGGACACCACGGATCGGAACCCAGAGTGCCTAGTAAAGTGCCTGAACAGTCAATATCTACTGTCCTGTAACGACCTGACTCTTATATGCACTTATCAAGTGTTAGGCTGTTAACGAAAGCCTTTCGAAGGGGAAACCTGAGCCTGGGACAGTCAACTCGGCCAGGTTGTTTGATGGCCCGGACATCGATATGTAGCTTGAATAAAGAAAGGTAGCATGGGAGAGTCAGACCATCCAACTAACATGGCTGTGAATGTGATGGCGAAGCGTTGGAAGATGCTGTTGCCATTGCCTGCCTCGGTCATCGTCAGATACTCTCCAAAAGTGAGCCCCGAGCAACGCTGGCATGCCCCAGGCGGATCCGTTACATTGCTTGTTGTTAAATTGGGCAGTATCTGGTCTGAGGCAGCAAGGTGGAACAGGTCGAAATATGAGTCGTAAGACAGCTTGCCTGTTGATCGTCCAGTGTCTTGCTGAGACATCATGACTGTGGGGATGCATCAATACAGAAACATTTCCGGTATGGGATGGGGAGGTGTGGTGTGGTGTGGGAGGTCGATCCGCTGTTGTTTCGGTCTTTCAGGGGCTCATTGATGTCTCTGTAGTGTACTGTATGGATGTAAAGACACTACAACCCCGGTAACCCTCGGACAGGGCGAGACTCGAGGGCCCCAATCGAGGTCTGAGAGTTACGTTCCCTCCATAATCGTTCTCTGGAGACCAGAGATTGACGGCGCAACGGAGGACCGGCCGAGTTCTCTACTGGCTACAGGTATGTGTGACGAAGTGATAGACGTGTTGTTAAGGGTCCACAGGCAATGAAGCTATCTCGTCAACTCGTCTCAGCAACTTTGGTTTCGGATCACGACAGTGTAGCCTCAGTATGTTCGTTCGTGGGTCTCGCAAGCCAACTCTGGAAGATCCCACCTACAATCCCACTACATATATTGGGTGGGGGAGGTGCGGTCCGGGGCTCAAGGCGGGGAGAAAAGTGGCCATGATGACTGTTCCAAAGTGGCTTTTGACCTGCTGAGAACTCGGAATGCCAGGCATTGCAGCCGATGGGCGGTCCACGTCAGGCAGACCAGCTCGCTATGATTTTCGAGTAGATTATGGCGTAGCTTCCAGCAGGATATACCGGATAGACAGTACGCCCGAGTGGATCGAGTAGGTGCAAGGGAAAACTGACATCTCCGAAGTCGAGCATGATACCTATGGAGCATGACGGGCGGCGTCCGTGATGGTCGTTGCTCCGCCCCTCAGGTTTGTTGACCAGAGAAAGAGAATCTGATTCGTAAAGGAGTCTCATCTGCAGGATGTTACCTCTGTGGGAGCGCCGAAGCCAGACAGGCCAGGGAAAGCGAAGCAACCCCCTTTTGATACAAACTATTCCCGACCTGGGGCCGTCGTATGTAATTTCGAAGGGGCAGCCGATAGGGGAAACATGTGTACCTGTAGTGTCATCCGATTGATAGGGCAGTTTCAAACAGATACCTCGGGAATTCGAGCTTGTGGTGGTTATGCCGCCACATGCTTTTGGGAATGTAGTGGTTGTTATGCCGGCTGTGCCTCGGGGTTTATCTGCATGCCTTCCAAGAGCTGTTCGTACGTATCAGATTTCTCTGTCGCGGAAGCAAGTCGCCATCCCTTTTTGTGGATGGCGTCGTCTTGATTGACATCTCGGCGTCCGGTGAGCAGGCGCTCTTGATCCTTTCCAAACATGCCAGCGACCCCTTGGCTCTAATATGGGAACCTCATTTGCCCACTGACAACAGGCAGCAAGCAGAAAGCGCCGTCACACCCTGTTGCCAACCACAGTTTTGGAGGATGAGGCGCACAAAGCGCGCATCATGGTACAGTCGAGAACCGAGAAATGGTTGGCATGGACCGGGGCATCATCGTTCATTCAGAGTGGAGGTGAAAGTCGGAGACTGTCGTAATCCGTTGCGCTTCTCACTTTTTGTGGTGCGCAAGTGAGAAAGCGTCCCGGTAGATGCACAGCATCTCTTCTGTGACGGGATGGGTCCTGCGCGATACCGGAATTGGCCTGCTGGTGTAGATGATTGTGGTGTACGTGGAATCGCGGATTCGGGTGAAGGCCAACAAAATGAGCGGCATCACAGGCTGCAACCGAGAAAGAGCGGCAGGTAGAGGTCGGCCGGAGAACGGCCAGCAATATCATCGTCTAGGGGTTGCCAAGGGGCCATTTTGGGGGCTTGCCAGTTGTGCCTGGGGTTCCCGCCCACGCCGTCCTGTCCTCGCTTTCACCTCAGCCAAAGCGTGTGCGTGCATGGGGCAACGCAGTTGGCCCCATCAGCCAGTGGAAACCGTCAATCCAATCTCTCCAACAACGAGGAGAACAAAATCCACACCCCTAGGACCCCTTCTTCTACCCCAGTGCCTGGCAAAGCTCTTCGGGTGCGCACGGTTGGATACAGCTGCACAAATTGTACACAGTACAGTGCGAGCTCAGCATAAGCCTACACAGTGAGTCGTGATATTTAGCTTTTCTTTTCGCGTAGTGTACCAAGTACTTCACGAATATGCGCTTGGCCGGCAAACCCTGTTATCGTAAAAGGAGGCGCCAACTTTGCCCGTTATGGTTGCCATCTCCACGGTTCTCAGGAGCCTGTCTTGGACTGATGAGCCTGAGCCTAAGAGCCGACCAAAGAGATCAGTTATAGTATTTGCAGGGCAACGGCACAGATGATTGTCGCGGCTCCCGAAAAGCCCGGACCATGAAGTCGCGAACTGCGTTGGGATCGGGATTAGGTTCCTCAAAGCCTCCGGCGCTCTCAGCGTACGACGCTATGCTCGGTCCACTGCTTCGAATGTATCGATGGGCCATGTGACCCGTCATGTTCTGCATCGCTGCTTCAATATGCCGCATATTTCTTTACGGGCCCGGGCAGCGGAGGCCACGACGGTGAAGAAAATGGGTATGCTTGAACAGGCACGACGGGGTAGATGTGTTGACGGGGAGAGGCGAGTCATGATGGACACGTATTCTTTCCGACGTATTGCCGTCTTGGGCATTAGCAAGGCTCTACAAGCCATCCCGCTTTGCGTGTCTTCAGAGCGACCCGAAGCTCCTGTTCATCTTGGCCGAAACGACAAAGGCTCCGAGGGAATGATCGTGTCGGAGCTCTTCCAACATTAGCTACCAGAGGAGAGGATTAACTGGTGTTGACGTCAATAGGCACCTATCAGGCTGATTCATGCCAAGTACGAAATGCGTACATATAACCCAAGCATAAGATAATGTGTGCCTACAATGTGTCGCAAAGGCGGTACTGAGGACTGAGTGGGACAGACCCTTCACAGGCCGCATCTCGCGGCGTGGCAAAACGTTTTACCTACTTCGCTCATGTTTGTCATCGCCAGCGATATCGATGGTGATTGGGCCATTGTGGCGAGCAGCAACATCGTGAGTGAAGTGCATGCCGAACGTCAGTGTAATCCATCACCAGAAACCACGGCAATCCGATGTACACAGTACATACGTGGGCACTCGATAATGTTTCGACATTTCCAAGTCCCTCTGACGGGCAGGGGTGCTAAGAATAGTTACTCTGTAGATGGTGCACAATGCTGGGTCCGGGCGTCTCTGGTTCAGTGGCTCTGGCCTCTCCGGTGGCTGGGCCTTGGACCAAAAGCTGCTATGTTCCAGTTCTCTCTGTTGTGGTGGTCTTGGGAGTTGTGCTGTTGTCTGGAAATGAAGTGAGATGTCACACACCTGAGCACCGACTCGCACGCTCCGCAATATCCGTGACGGGTCGATCTACCTCTGAAATGGCAGGTGACAACTGTAGGCAGAGGAGACAGACGTACCTTGGGAAGGAAGGGTCTTGTCACAGCTCGGCAGGACGCCAGGGTTCTTGGTAGGATTCGATAAAAGCTAAAAGGTGACCAGGCTCGAGAGTCGAGCCAGGGAATGATGGTCAACGAGAGATGAGGCAACATTCTCTTTCTCAGTCTGGGACGAGTATGGTTGCAATCTGGCTGAATGTGTGAGGTCCTCTTGTCGGAGTCATGAGCGGCCGGAAAGTGGAAGCTGAGAGAGTGGATTATTACGTGTTGACATCGTCGAGTCGCTATCATGGTGTCAGAACCCATTGAGCAGTTGTCGATTCTTTGGAACGGCCCCGTCGGTTGGAACGTAGAGTGGCATGGTTGGGTGTCATGTTGGAGGGTCGGGTCTGGATGAGACTACTGAGGTGGGCTCCTGAATGGAAACGACACTGCTCTCCACAGGGACTGGAATCGGACTGGATTCCATATCCAGATGAGGAGCCTTGCGGGGCGATGCGCAGACGAGAAACGAAGAAAGGACGGAGGAGAAAAAGAAATCTTTCTCGCCGTGGTCCGCGGTCAACGGTCGACCTCACACAGTTGCGGTACTCGTGTGGGCTCGAAACGCCAGTCACACCCCTTGGCCCGGCCAAGGGGTGTGGCACATTGAATCGCAAATGCACATTGAATCGCAAAAAACAGGGTATACCTAGCCAACTATACAAATCGTTAGCAAATCGGGGTATACATATTTTACTATATAACTAGCTCAAATGTATTAGTTTAACTTCTATATTCTTAAAGCTATTACGACTATAATTAAATCAATTCTAATCGATTTGAATTAGTTTAAATTGATCTAGGACTATATAAAATAATAAATATAAAATTTCGTACATTTTAACTGGGTTAGCGCGCGTCACCGCCTTTCTAACGTAGTAAACGCGGCGGGTAGTATTTTAGTACTTTCGTTTAATTATATTATTACCTAGCTTTCTTTATATATCCTCTATCTATTTGAATAATTATTAAATTATCCGTACGTAAATTAATATACTATAGAGCCGGTTAATAACCTTTTCAATAATTTTATAATAGATTAGCGTATTAATTTTATTATTAGTATATTGAAGGTAGTGAAATTCAAATCCGTTACTATTACAGCGAAAATATATAGCGCTAACTATTAGGCGATTCGTAATTATTCGTAAGGAAAGAACCCATAGTCTTAGAATAACGGAGTAAAATTATTAATAAAAAAGGAAGAATTTGCGCTCTTTACTTAAGTAAATACTTAAATATTTATCAGTTCGTATATTATTATCGTTAATTATATTCTATTATTATTAATCGTTAATTAATTATTTTAATTTAAGTGTTAGAGTTACGAACTAGGAGGTTATATACGTAGTAAAGTGGTTTACCCGTATTAAAAATTGCGAGATTATAATTAATCGATAATAGGTTTAATACTTTATAATTTAATTAGAATTTAAATCTATACGTACGAAGTTGCTTACGTAGGTACGTAAGGTAGTCTAATTTCGAATTAATATAGAAGAGCTATGCAAAATGTAGAAAGAGATGGTTAAAAAGAATACAATTGCGCTAGATAATATATAGAATAGTAACAAAATTGGATATTGCGTTAGTATATAATTTAAATCATATATAATTTAAAATTACGTCGAGATTCTAATAATATATATAATTAACCTAAATATATGAAAATTTATTATAATCGTTAAATATATTTCTACTTCTAGCCGCATAGTCCCTGCCTTTATTATTATCCCGAATATAAATATTAGCGAGAATTATATTAATAACCGTTTCGATAATTATAGTATATTCGCGACTTCTTCTAACGAGTATATTAATAACTAACTTACTTTAAATTAATTTAATTACTAGGAGGAATATTCTTACTTATTTAATAAGGAGGAGAAGCGTCTTTCATTATTAGATAATTATAATAATTATTATATTATTAAATCTTATAAGCGGTACTGTAGTAATAATATTATCCTCTTTCTATTACCTTCCTACTCGATTTATATTCTTTAGCCGCTAAATATAAGGGTTTTTTTTAAATTTGTAAGTAATATTATTAAAAGGATATTATTTATAGAATTATATACAATAACGTTGAATATAATAAATTTACTTTCTTAGATAGGTTATTTATAATTAGAAAGTAATCTTTTAAAGAATTTACTATTAAATTAATATGGGCAAAGATTGGTTTCTATTTTTATAAATTGTTTATTGTGCTTAATACTCTACAAAACCCCTTTACGTTAGTAACCGACCTTAATATTTTGAAAAAAAAGAAAGGATATATTACGATTAAAAACGACGAGGGTTAATTTAAATTAACGACGATTATAAATAACCGTAAAATATTTCAAATAGAAGAGAGGGAAAAGGAGGCAACTATAGATCCCTTATTATATTAGCGGCTCGAAGAATTTAGCGCTAACGAACCTTTTAAAAAAAAACTTATAATTTAATAATATTTCCTAAAATACTTTATATTTAAAAAGAGTAAGTAATAATTATAACCCTACTTCTTAATATAGCTACAATTTTAAATTATAATACATATATTTAATAAAGTCTATTAAAATTAATAATCTAGAAGATACCCTTTAATCCCGTTATAAAATACGTAATATTTAAATAGGATAAATGCAAGAGCATAGTATGGGTGAGTTGAAGGCAAAGCTAGGATTCTATTTATAATAGAAGATTTCAAATGGGGAAAAGAAAAGAGGAAGAGAACTAGGTATAAACGTACAAACTCTAAATAAATACCCTAGTCACACAAATGACAACGGGACCCATATACGAGTCGCTATCAGCTAATCCCTTTACTCGTATCCCCTTTACCTATAAAATAAATTCCTACACATACTAGGGTCTACCCTATAGCTAATCTTAATATAGCCAATTAAATAGCTTATATCCTTTAAACTGTATTATATCTAAAACTTCTATATACCTTATTATATTGCGTATAGTACCTAAACATAAACTTAATTCACTAACGCTATTATATTACCCTCCCTATACAAAAAATTCGTCTACGAATGTTATTAAATAATTATATAAAATATTTATTTCTTCCTTATAATACGCCGTAAATGTTTTAATCCTTCTACTTTAAAATATTTGTTATTATTGTACTATTTTATATTTTCGTTAAATTAATTTAGTAATCGCCGGGGCGGGCTTAGCGTATCTGGGTTAATTTTATAAAAATTTTAAAGCGCCTTCGGTACGTATTTAAAATTGGAAGTAGAATATTATTCTAAATCGGAGTTTTAACTTTTTTAATCCGTTTAGTAAAAAAGTTTTCTATTAGTTATTTTAAATATTGTAATTTTATCGACTTCCTATTTAGAATCGCCGTTTTCGTCTGTATTAATTAGGCTGGGGTATTTAAATATTTATTTTAAAAGTAAATTATTATCGTATTTCCGTAAATAGTCCGCGTAAAAAACGTTAGTACCCTTTTAATTCTTTAGTAACTCTAAATAGTAGGAATACTCTACTTTCTTAATAATTTTATAATATTTACAAATATTAGGGAAATCGAATTTATTTTTAAATTAAATAATTATACATTAAAGCCTTTTAATAATAATAATAATTTTATTTCCTAACTTAAAATTAAGCTCTCTCTATTTTTGATTAGCTTACGCTACCTATTATTTTTATACTTTTAATATAATTCCTCTAATATATTCGATATACCTTCGAATATATTAAATATAATTTTACGTTTATTCCCGGATTAATTACTTCGTCCGCGGTATATTAGGATCCTAAATTCGGATATCCTAATCGAAAGGTATTCTTATTAAATAT